CCGCCTGCAGGACAAGAGCAATAAGCATGGGATACCTGCAGCTGGCGGCCTCTTAATTGCGGACCTCTGCTGTCTCCAACCGCTCTTCCTCCTCCTCCTGTCCGGCTCCAGGCTGGGGGGGCTTGCTTGGCTTCACAACTCAAAACCGCACACCAATGATTCGGCACCCCTCACCGTCCCCCCGACAGTCCCACAGCCCGCAAGCGGTAATTTCACTGCCAGTGACTGACTGCTTTCTCCTGCAAATGGCAGGTGTGTCGTAGTTCTGAGAAATGCTTGGCCCTGCCGTTGCCCCTGTCCACTCGGAGAAGTAAAAACCGGGGGAAGTGTCCGAGAGACATGGCGCCAAAATCCCATACTCGACTGAACGTCCTTCCGTGTGCCGCAACTCGCTCCATCTCGGGCCTAGGTGTGCGGGGAGAGAAGGTCGTGGACAGGATGCGCTGGTATTGGTGCCAAGAACTTTTCGTTTCCTCGTTGCTCATTTTCATTACGCTACTCCGCTCTATTTCTCTCTCTCTCTCTCTCGTCTCGTCTGCCACCTGCATGTCCCTGCACCCGCTTAAGCCGCTCCACTGGCGCGAGGGCAGGTATGCATGCTTCGGATGAGATGGTGCTGCCTCATTGAAACCCTCCTATTCATGCCGATATCATATTTTGTGTGAGGATTCCCGAACATTTTGACGTGACAGCAGCGAGCGCAAGCCATCACCGCCCTTCTGTCTCCCCGGCTCTGGCCAACAGGCTGAACTGGCGGTGATGCGATATTAAGAAATCCCATCCGTCTCGGCAGCCCTCGTGCAAACAAGCTCGCAGCTCAGTGGCCCAGTAGTCTGGTGTGCCCAGCACGCCAGTCGCACCCTCCCGCCTGCGGCTGCCCGCAGAACCACCAAAGTGAACCCTGGCGAACGCATGCTGGCCACGGCTAGATATCAACTTGAAATTTCCTCAGGGCCAAGGTCTTGTTTGTCAGAAAAGAAGGTAGGTGGGGGCTTGATTGTTGCTTTTCGTTGGGAAAACCGCACTGCAGGCCTGTCTTATCGTATATGCGTATTGGTTTAAACGGTTCTCCACACGTGGCTACTGCTGACCATCTGCAACCTTTCACGCAACTTCATGATGTACATCTGGCCCCCCCCCCCCCCCTTTTCCCCCTACTTACTACGTTAGTGCCCGCGGCACCACTTGGGTACCTCGTAAGTTCATCGTGGCTCACTAGTCAGCCCTATTGCGATCATGTACAGTCCCGTATCCTCGTCAATTTCCGGTGAGCATGCTGGCCGAAGGAGCTCGGTCGATTAGGGCTTCCGCTGCCGCGAAGGGGTCCCAACCGACCGGGATGAGACGAAGCGGTGAAGCTGCAAGCGGCTCCGGACGGATGCTCGGTTCGATAATTTCTCGCTGCCAACCAACTTTGACGCGTAGACCATCTCTCATCTCATTCTCGGTTATGGATATCTCTTTGGTCGTTTCTCCTTCCTCAGCTCGCTTCCTCACCTGCGCCCCTAGAGCATCATGCATTTGCCATGTCTCTGGCGACGCAGGAGGTTTCTCTCCGTCCTGCTGGGCAATCTTTTGATAGCTTGATGCCCAGCTGACTGAAAATTACCTCGACATCCTATCGCTTCTCATATGCGGATGACCCAAGGGGGAGAATGATCCTACCCTCCGGCTTGACCAAAGCTTAGTTGGCACAAGCTGCTGTCTTGGAGAGGTCAGAGGGCCAACAGTTACTTTTTTCTCCTCCTTTTTTTTTTTGGTCTCCTCGCTTCTCGGTTTCTCCCCCCAACTTTTGGTGACCCTCACCGTTGCAGGCCTGGGTGGCCATGTCTCATGCTCTTCCGGACGTGAAACGATATCTGACAATAGTCTTGGCAGGCAGCCGCTTGGATGTAGAGTGGTGCGGAAACGGGCCGGACGCCAGTTGATGAGACGGACGAGGCTTTGGCCCTATCCGATCTTTGTCTTCGTAAAATGATACCTGCCAAGACCGAAAGAGAAAAAAAAAAACACCAGCATCCCTCGCACGCCATATCTGCTATCCAGACAGATGAGGCTGTCGAGGCAATTATCGGCTTGTTTGGACGTTATCGTCGTTGTGAATGGCCAAACCGCCTAAACTATATGCTCTCAAACTGGACATGCTTGACATGACGGGCTTGAAACTTGGATAGTAGTTGCTTGATGTGACTTTGTAGACGAGCGGCGAGTTAATTGAGCTCGGCATAGGTGTTGGGCGAGAGCCGTGGAGCTCCGGGTGCCGTCAAGGAGTGGCCATCTTACACCAACAACATCTTATCTCCCTGCGACGCCCATTAATGAGATCATGTTCAACTAAGCGCTTCTTTGTGCTTGCTGAACTTGCATATGCTTGTCGAATGCAGGCTGTGCTAGGAAACTGCTGCATGCTGTCAACCTTCGGCTCCTGCCGCCGGGTTTCGTTCGTCATCTCTGGTATCATTACATACTTCTCGGGGATTCGTCCATCGTAACAGGTATAGATTGGTAAACACCTAGACATCAAAAAACTGCGTGGACTCGTCATTGGACCATCAAATGTTGTATCATCCGCCAGGAGATTGTTCCCTGAAACCCGAGATTCATAATTTCCCGAGGTATCTACGGCGTCAGTTCGATCTCATTATTAAGTTTAAAATCCTAACGATTTGATCTTCGGTTGGGTCGACGACGTTGTAACCGCAACAAGTGCCCAGGGAAAGCTGCAAGGCCCATTATAATACTTATGTCTCATGCCAGTTCTCGCCTTTGTCTGTTTATACCCCAGCTCATGTGACCCCTTGTCGGCTGATCCCGTTACTTTGTAGATCGTGGAAGTTTCAAGACACGATAGTATTTCCCCATACGAAACTCGACTCCAACTAGGCATGGCCTCCGTGCTCTTCTCTGATGAATTACAAGAGATAGGCAAGGCAGATGGGACTTTTCAAGGGGGAAGTGGCAGCAGTGACGAGTCTCAGGGTCTTTTGTGCATGCGACTGGTTCACGCTGTAAGCTTACCCCAGGCTCTGCCAATGTTCTTTTATAAAGCGAAGAGCTCTAAGGTTGGATTACAGATCTTCTGGAAACAAAGCGCTCCTGGTTGAGTATATGTAAATGCAGCTGGTTTCTGTCGTCTTAGGCAGACGTTGGGAAGTGGTCTTTCTGCCCTGTTAGTAGTCATAATGACGTAAAGAGGGAAGAGGCTTAACAGTCATGGCAGTGAAGCACTATGAAGAGTAAAAACTACTCTTGGGCGACCGAAATCTGGTTTAAGACTTGTGGTTGACCTCACATCGGGAACTTAAGCATTTCAGTTACTTGGGAGTTAAAAATACGACAACTAGGCAGAGGCAAACTGACGACCGTAATAGATGCAGTTGAGAAGACATCGTGAGTAAAGTGTTGTGCACCACGCCAGTATGATGATGGACAGGTAAGGGTGTACGTAGGAGTAACGACTTCCTGTATCAGTTTGGGATGAAAGGTTTGATCGCCTGATCCTAACATCAACCCCTTTCAGGCGAGTCATCAGCTTGATATGTTGATCAATGAATTATTTCGATGCTTTAGCACGATAATGGAAGTTCAAAAGGTCCAAAGTGCATAATTTACAACGTATATGGAGGTAGTAGAGATGCGTTGGAAGCATGTCATGATCATACGGCAGCGTGCGCTCTCTTGAAGCCATGCAACCTCTAAACTTCCTCATCACCATGCCAACTCAAGTCTAGGCTCGACAGCTTTGGCTTTGTGTAAGTGGTGGAAGACTTTCTAAATCAAAGTCGGGCGTGTACGGCGAAAACACTGGTATTTCAGCCGCGCGGCTGTGCCTAGGGTTTCAGTAGCTTTACTAACCAACGTTAGGCATAAATCATTTCCGTTTTTCCGGTTATTGGCTTTAAATTGGCTGTCCAAGATAGCTTTGTAGCGACTAGCTGAAAGTTAGACCAAGTGTCTTTTGGAGACGCTTCAAGCCAACGCTGGAACCAGCCTGTGCTTACTATGCAACCGCAGTACTTGCGGCTAGAAGCTACTTACAGCCCTATGTGATGCTGAGTTGTATTTTAGTAGACTCTAATTAATTCGGTAGCGTAGACTAACCTCTTTGGGGTAAACTAGTAAAGGCTGAGTTGCGAATGGAGTAGGCAGACAGAAAGTGACTGCATGAAGAGCTTGGAAGCATCCCGTGGCTGATCAATTTACTAATAAACCTAAACCTAGAGGAGATTTTAATTCAACACTTCCAAAGGATTCTGTCATCGTTAAGGAGTTGGCTGTGGCTAACGGTCACTTGAAGGAGGAGGGATATGAGGAATCTTACGTTATTTGAACTGACAGAACCAAAGCAAGACGATAGGTAGCCTCAACGGCAACAAACATCGACTAGACTTCTGTAAAGAGTTTATAACGACCCATTGAAAATCAATCTTATCTGCCTGAAGGGAATCCAATTATAACATTGGAGACGTGGCGTATGCACTTGTGGAAGGGCTGACTATCTGGACCCAGGCTAAAGTGCGGCTGAGTAAATATGCCTATTGACTTCTACCGTCTCATTTGCATCATCCCTTCATAAAGGTCACGTCCCTTGGTCTTGTTTGTACACTGTGGTAACTGTGTAAAGCTACATTCTAGTTGATTTCTATTCTTCCACAATACCTTATCGGTGCGCGCTTACCAAGAAGCATTGGTTAATTGAAACTTTCAAAATGTGGCCACTCCAGTCAGTGTTCACTCGCTCTTCGGCGAGATCTGTGTGCAAAGAAGGGAACCTCACTGGGACATTCTTCCAGCCAACAGGTAATCGTTTATGGGTCCGTGGGTCTCCGTTGAACCCGCAGTGGTACGTCGGAATAGGGGATAACTACACAAATGCAACTACGGCTTCTTGGACCGTTTGGTTTCAGGACGCTCGGTACGATGAAAAGACTCAGCCAGCTGAACCTCTATTCAAGAGAATTGTTTGTTGTTAGTCTGCCAATTCCTGCCCAATTCGGCAAATGCTTGGATACCGACATGATGACATTGGCGCAGCGGATCAATTTACCTTCAACCGAACAACTGACACCTGGAGTTGGCGGATGTCCACCTCCGAGTGCAACAACACTTATGTACAGTGCGATTGGGAAATTCCAAATGATACTCAAGTTCCTGGCGTATATGTCGTGGTTGCCATCCGGAATGCAACAAACGGAATGGCCGTTACCACCGTAAGGAGCGACAGTTTTGCGGTTGTGGCTTCCTCAGCACAAACGACACTGACGGCAACGGCATCATCGATTCCTCTCTTGACTGGTGCCAGGGCTTCGGCGGCGAGTGAACTGCCTACAGAAAACACTGCCGAATCGTTCCAGAGTGATGAGATTTCCAACATGTCTCCGGGGGCTCAGGCTGGAGTTGCCGTTGGGTCAGTGGCCATTTTGCTGGCATTAGCTGGGTTGTTGTGGTTTTGTTGTAGGAGACGACGAAACCGTAAGAAGGTCGCTGCTGCTACCATGGTTGAGAATGATGGGGAGAATTGTAAGTTTGAGAAGCCAGAGTTGGATGGACAACCGTTGTTAGTCAACGAAAAGATTGTTGTTGAAATGAAGAATAATTCAATCGCTTTGGCAGAGTTGGATAGCGAGCAACCGTGGAGGCATAATAACGCCGCGCCTGTGCCTGCGGAAGCAATGTGTCGAGTTGACAAGATAACTGTGGCTGAGATTGGTTAGCAGAGGCTATCTGAATGCTATTGTAGCGCTACTCCATGTTTATTACCCTCATATAGCCGCTTAAACATGCCTTGCCCATGATTGCAGCAAGCGATGGATGAGCTGTGGGCAAAGGGCGAACATGGTTAAGACATGCAATTATACTTGGTGCTGGCCAATATAAGCACTAGAGACTAACAACTAATTATCTGACAATAGAAAAGTTTATATTACTGTTCCTGGGATTCATTCATCGGTAACCCTTTTTATAATCGTATTCTGATTAGTCGAACTTCTCGCTTTAATTAGTCAAGCGTTCTGTGCTTTACTAACATGCGATAAGCTTGAGATCCTAAGACTGAGGGCTTCTGATTCAGATATCAGCCAGTTTATAGAATGATTTCAGATCAATGGCGTGATTTGGGTGATGTAGATCGAATCATGGGTGGTGATGGCCACGGTTTGCGTCGGTATATACAAGATGGACAAAGATTAGAGTCTATAAAGAACACAGGTAGTATATCGAAGCCGGATATTTGGAAGGCGGCAACTATGGTTGCGTCGAAGTGTACCCTCTTCCAGGTATAACTTAGGTATGGGCAACTCCTATCTATATTGATCCTCTCGCGACAATGCGCAGGTCAGTGAATCTACATCAGTGAATCTACAAGTCTAAGGCTTGCATAAGCAAACGATAACTAATTTTATCACCATGGGTTCAAATCTAAACGGTAGATAAATTAGTTAGAGGGAATTCTTCAGTGAGTATGGTTGTATTGATGAGAATGGAAAGAAAAGCAGCACGAAAGTTAGTCGTCGGAATAGACGTTTGAGCCTTCACGTCCACTTCGAACCCCTAAAGCCCGCTCCAAGTTCAAACGTAAAAACTGCACAGTATATAAACTAAAAAATCTGTCAACTTCTGCTGAATTGTAACACTTGCGAATTATGGGAAGTCATCTGGAGCTTGAGTAGTAGCAGAACTCGGATACAAGACGTAGACCGGGGCCGCGAGTTAGATATTTCCGTGATGGAGTCCATTCTGACATTGCAGATTCATCCATCGTTGTATAACCAAATAGTCTGGCAAAAATGTCAAACATGAATTCGGCCCTTCACTGAAGGAGCTCATGTTGGCCAAAACGGCTGGTGAGTAGACTTGTGGAAACTTTAAACCTCTGTTCGTCTATCTCAATACAAACATCTTGTGAAGGGCCGGATCCTGCCTACAGGGTTGCAGTGGCAGCCGCACATTAGCCTCCAGCACGTATTAATAACAGAGGTGCTACCCCGTTGAGCTAAACGCCCAAAAGGATACGTAACAACAAGTCGTGCACTTGTTACTTGGCTGCACTTAAGTAGGAATAATGGCATTGTTATCAACCGGGAAAAGCACGTAACACATCTCAGTCAATTACTTCTAGTGGCATTACAAAAGTCTGTATACTGTTGTCGAATAGCTGCTGAATGTCCCTTTTAGTATTATGCTGAGTTGGAGAACCGTCTGCCGACAGGTTGTCACCCGAACATGTTTTCGGTGATGATGGTAGACCACTACCTAGGCATGTATCATAATAGCAAGTGTGAGAACATAAACAAATAATAATTTTGGATTTGCCAACAGCACTAGCCGGATGGGTTACAGAACGCAAAAGCTAATTGGTCGAAAGCTAATGAACCATAAAGCCTAGACAGGAGTTTTGAAGCTTTTGCTCGCATGACTTTCTAAGAACGACTACTTTCATATTGAAAGAATCTTCAATAAGAAACCGTGTTATAGACAGCAACGTACTCTGCCTCATATGTTCCACCAGAAACAGTTGAGTTCAAGGGTGTCTTCATCCCAGCAACACCATCCGGGAAGCCACCACCCATCGCTAGGTTCAACAAGATGAAGTGAGGCTTGTGAACAGTCTGCGCCCATACCGCCTTCGACATTTGGGTGGCATTGACCTGATGGTATTGCACATCGTCAACAAACCAACGCAGAATTTCAGGCTCGGCCGATCTATCAACCTCAATAGCGTAGGTGTGGAAGTTTCCGGGACAAGGACTGTTAGGACAGGAAGTGCTGTTACCGAGGCCATTGGATTCATCACAGAAACCGCCGGGGTTAACATCGCAGTGCAAGACGCCCCATACGCGGTCGCCTACGTTGACATTTTCCATGATGTCCATCTCTCCAACGAACGGCCAGTTCCTGATTCCGTATCAGAAAATGTATGATATTGGAAAAGAGATGGGATGTTCTTACCAGTAGTTTCCGCGGTACTCGCTGCCAAGAGTCCAGAAAGCTGGCCAGTAGCCGTAACCGTGACCTTTCATATCAGGAGTCTTGAGGCTGGCTTGGATTCTCATCTTTCCACCCGGGTTAGCCATAAAGTCGGTCCGTTGAGTTTCTATACGAGAGCTTGTCCATCCGCTCGTAGAGTTCCTGATGGCGGTAATCTGAAGGTTTCCTTTCCCATTTACACGGACATTCTTCACGCTATTGGTGTACGTCTGGATTTCCCAGGTACCCCAAGCAGGAGGACCGCCCGGGTAGCTAGTGCCGGTGTCAATGATCCAATTGTCGGGATCCGGAAGGGTATTGCGGCGGCCGGTAAAATCATCGGCCCAGGTGAGCTTAAATCCAGGGACTTTGGGCACCTTGGCCTCAATCAAGGGCAAAGCAAAGAGTAGTGCTGGTAAAACTTTCGCGAATCCCATGATGGAAGTTTTCAAAAAGTTATGGATCAAATTCTGTTCAAGAAAAAAAAAAAAGAAAAAAAAGAAAAGAGACCTTGCAGGTCTGTATGGTATGAGAACGTTGGTAAATTGTAAAAGAGTGACAATAGTGAGTTACTAAAAGAGCGACATGAGCAGAGCGGTGCTGTAAGAACGAAGGGAGTGTGGACAGTTCTCTTAGAGAGAGGATACTCGTGATGTTTTATTTCAGAAGACATTGGGGATTTTCGAGCTGCAGCTTGCATCGAAGTTTAAAGTTTACCTCTGAAATTAATTCAATATGTCCGCTGTATTGCCACCCCTTTGGGTGGTGGCCAGTTAGAGCCCCTTAATTTGGCAAAGCTTCCGCTTGGCTGGTAGCATGTTTACTCATCATGTAGCCCGTATTCAGGGAAAAAAAAAGAGGCAATGTTGATTGCGCAGCAGATAAACGCGTGGAAACTTGCCTAAACTTAACAATAAAGGCAGTTTAGCGCTATTTGACTTTGCGGGTGGCCCGAGCTGACTTCGTAAATATTGTAACGGAATACATACAATACTCACCCCGTGGGAATCCGAGGTACAGACAGCAGTCATCGGCCATCTTCTATCGTTACGAGCATGCAGTCTATTTGCTGAACAACGCTGTACATAACACTCCGTACAACGGCTGTACTCGGACTCCAAGCAGGCTGAGTCTGCAGAGAGAAAAAAACCGTAGTTTCTCCCTGACGCTCTACTACAACAACAGCCAATATCTTTTCAGTTTTGTACCTTAATCCATTGAATGCGGCTGGACCTCATTTTTGCCAAGATAAGTGGTCCCGCTTCAATAGTTACTTTTCTCCATATTCCAAGGTATTCACCTCTATGTTTCCTATTTCTATAGTGTAACGTTCCGTACCAAAAGGGCTCGCAGGTACCTCTAGCATACCCAGACTTTTGACAGGACTAATGAACCTAAGAGCCCTAACTGGCTCCGCCCTTCGCAAAAACGAGGTGACAGTGTTGAACAACAAGGTCCGCTTAGCCACACACCAAGGAAACAGGGTGTAGACCCCATGTGATGTAGCGCTATGGCAGCTGAATAGGTGCTTACAAACGCATATCCGAAGGCAAAGTTGTAGACAGTGTTATCACTAATATCAACTTTGTTGTTCAAGTGACCTACCGTCAATTCGACAAGGACTTCGGCCGCTTTCGTAGTCATTGACAATGCCAACCCCTGATAGAAACTCAAAAAGGGTAAGTGGAGAAGTGAGAAATCAGTGAGAAGCGTCTTTATCGTGAAAATATGGGTCTTAAGCGGAGTTAAAGGATACCCATGTTGCGGAGAGGCAGGCTCTACAGCGGAGATACAGAATGCTTACACTACCTACCTGCTCTTACATCCGAAATCTGGTTATCCGGTAATTACACTTATTTCGGATGATTCACTCCTAAAACGGACACTAAGTTTACAAGCGCGAAGCGCATGTAGCGTGAAAGATGATAACTTTAGGTCATCCGAATGATAAACATACCGTCATCGTTGGATCCTCCTCACTACAAGCTCTACTCCCACTCTCAGTTTCTTTCAGTCTTCATTCGTTATTTGTTTTAACTTGCGGGATATTTCCTTAAATGAGATCGCTTGCTTCAATGGCCAGAGAAAAATAAATGGTATTAATGCCGATCTTAATGCATTTCCACCACATACTGACTTCAACTTGAATTCCATGGCTATTGTTTATGCTGGATTGTCCATATAGTTCTCAGTTTTGGCCAGAAATGTAGAATTTTCCAAGCAAACTCAAAATCCAGCGAGCTTGACAGATGGTTTGTTACGGAGTTCGGTGCTTTAACTGTGCGGTGTAAACTATCCCATCGGCTGCGACATGGCAACATGTCATTTAAAGACCCATATTTCTCCAAATACTAAATAACATAATGCTCGCCATTCGAGTGACGGCCATAGTATCCATGTCTTATTGGCTACTCTCACGCAGGCCATGTATCTGTTGCCATACCGCAGTCGATGGGATAGAGCGCAGAGCATGTGAATGACGCAAAGTCATCATTACCGAAGCCCTACTTTGTGCCACACAGTTGATTGACCTGGCCCCCTCGTAACACCAAATTGTTCTGAAGTGGGAGACAATGAATACCGACGGCGGACCCGTGGAATCCTAAGTTGGCCACACTTTCAATTATATTAGAATCTCAGACTTTAGAGAGCAATTAGAGGGTGAGTCTCAATCAATGTCATACAAAACCAACTGCTAGATAGGGAGAAGTTAACTTCGTCCGCGCAAATTTTCTTCAAGCAAACCGCCAAGACGGCCAAGTCAGGTCGAGGGTAAGGCGAATGTTGTAATGGAAAGGCGTGTGGCATAAGCATGAATCAAGCATAAAAGACTTAAAGAGGCGTTCAGTAATCGTGCCGAAGAAACAGACCCGCTCTTGTAAGACAAGATTGTCCCAATGACTCGTAGCCAACTAAGGCCCTTCACTCCCAGGACAGAAAGCTGCCCTCGTCCCTGAGCACGATTTTTAGGAAGTGTACGCCTCATTTCCGACCTATGGAATCCGCGAAACAGTAATTCTTACTCATCGCTGGTGTGACCTACATAACCATATGATGGGTACAATCGCATATGAACCAGGTGATTTGTGCCATTCGAAAGCTAGTTCACCATATTCTCAAATGGCCAAACAGACAGGATGAGTTTAACCATCACTGTTCTAAAATGTTTGCTTCAAAGATAGAATGTCTGTAATGTAGAGGAGAAAGATGAAATGTGATAAATCATGTATTCACCACGTTGTGCGACTGAGGAAGATGCCTTACAATTTCCAAGTAGTCGATGGGAACATGAGCACCTAGCTGTGAGTTTCCCCATGGCTTTTCAGCCAGCTAAGGCAAAAAGAACTTGTGCCTCATTTCCGAAATGTTAAATTATACGTCTTCGCCGCCATGAGAGCCCCTTTACTTCAATAATGGAAGCCAAAATCATTACCGACACCTGCCAGGAGAAGTTCAAGAGCTGAAGGTACTTGCAGCATATCCATATCATCCGCATCTCCAGTGAGTCCCAGGTCACTCCCGACAAAATTGGTGCCGTAGATCTGATTGTTTTGAGTGATATTTTGCGCCAGAGGTCCTGATGACTGTTCCCCAATACGCCTTGGATCAGAACTTTCTAGACTCATTTGCTCCAAATAGGATGGCGCAAGGTTTGAATGTTGCCCTAACCCAGTGTTGACCAATTCTGGCATGGAGGTCCTTGAAACACTGTTCTCAACTCCGAGATGCCCGGAGGATTGAAGACCTCCAGAATTGCCGCCGTGACGAAAGCTGTTCTGTTCGGCCCCAATATCTGTGTTTGATGCGCTGAGCCGACTGCGCCTGGAAGTAGCCATGTTCCGGCCATCAAACAGAGCCAAGAGGCTTTGTGCATACAGCCATTGACCCTTAAGAGCGTGCAAGGTAAGTATCAGTGAGTCGAAGAGGCGTTTAGATTTAGCAGCCATAATTGGGTTGGCGGAGTACATCTGCTCGCATACATGTACCAAAGCAGTGAAGAGCACATGGATGCTCGGGATCCAAAGCCTGGTTAGGAGATTTCTGGTCCGGAAAGACTCAAGAATGGAACATATTGTCGCCGCAGCATCGCAACAGATACTCAAGTCCGTATCAGACGTGGCTGCTACTTGCTCTGCGTCTCTGTTAGGGGAGGCCCGATGCAGCAGGATGAGGAAGTTGTTGTATGTGAGATGGAAGATAGCCTGCCATAGGTCTGGATCCGTTTTTGAGTATTGGAGTCGCACAGGAAGGTTACTGATCAAGTCTGCAAGTTCCATATCAGCCTGCCTTGTTGCATCGGCTCGTTCCGCAGGCGTAGAACGCAGAGCGACTCTACGCTTCATCGCTTTCGAGAATATGAGACATAGAGAGGTATGTTGAATGGTGAAGTTGTACTCTGCTTCACAGATGCCCTCAAAATGATGTTCTTCCACTGGAGGAACGTCAGACTCATCGAGATTACTAGTCGCGCCATACACTGTTAGCACAGATCATAGCATAACAGAACGTCTACACTTGCATAGCTTGCGGTCGACCGTAGGATGCAGACACCAAAACGTCGAATTGAAAGAGGATCCACCACAGTCGAACCCATAGTCGTTTGTCCATGGCGTTGAGACTGGAAGGCCTCGCATCTCGATGCATACCCATGCCGAATGCAGTCCGCGCTGCAACGCCTACCCAGTGCCAGGTATTTGATACAATGTCTTCAAGGTCATCACATTGCCACGTCAAGAGAAGGGCAGCCTGCAAGTATGTCTCACGATGTTGTTCGAAGCGGCAGTCGAAGAGCGCTTTCGTTCTCTTAAAGAAGACGGGCCTCAGGGTTTTGATCTCTTCTCGGGCTGGATCTAGAACACGTGCCCCGACGAGAAAGATGGCATTCAGCAATAGCAAAGACAGCGGCCTGCATTGCGGCCTGCATCTGGGAACGTGACCAGTATTGCCTGCACCGTTGTAAGTCCTCATAAAGTCCTCTTCGTCAATGATCGGAAAACCTCGGTTGACATGGACAAAATATGATTTGACAAGCTCGTCTGCCAGGGCCTTCGGGGGTAACTCAAGGACCTCGTCTGGCACCGAAGGTACTTTTGGAGCCAGAGGATGACTTCCAAAATGAAGTACTCTGTGATCGGGTTGCTTTGAACGCTGCCGTACTAAGTAGTGGAGGTTGGAGAACTCTGTGCCTATGAAGAAGAGCCGGCCGCAACGCGAAATCTCTCGATGCTCGGCATCCTCCCGGTTCAAGAAGTCGGCCATATTGTTTGTCGCATCTTCATTGTTGTTGTTGTCCACTTGGGCCGTAGTATTACATGCTGAATGAGGTCGTGAAGGAGCGTCTACAATAACATCTGCCCACTCGCTAGATCCATTGGGTGTCGTGGGTGCTGTCACAGACTGTGAACCAGCAGATCGAGGTTGAATGGGCACGTTGGAGCCATGGGCAGCACGAGCTGAAGAACGAGTCTTCCTTTTCTCGTATATTTGACAGTCGGCTACGTTGTTTGTCTGGCACCTAGAACACGGTGCGCCCTTCTGTAGGATGTCGCAACGAACCTTCCTCTGATGGCAAGTCAGACAAGCCCTTCCGTCTGCAGTATGATCGAGAGTTGGTTAGAACGGTACCCTACTAGGTATGTGGAATGGGCAATCTGAGACAAAAGCAAAGCCGAAATCGGGGGTCATACTACTTCTCCTTTTGTTCGGCAATTTGTCAATTCGCGCCCTACTACAACTGCGCCCTTCTGTCACCATTTCCGATGCAGTGACGAGATGAGGGGCTGGATTGCCGAGGAGGACACAAGGGTTGAAAGATTGGCGCCGAATTATGAGAGTGATATGACTGATGTGAGTCGGAAGTTGACCCAGTTCCAGTTGGGCATGTCGTAAAAACCGAAGCTCGGAAGTCTTGCAGGAGGCAATTTTCACCTCTCGGCAAAGACAGCCAATCACGTAGCGTGATCCACTTTGTTTTGTCAGCTAGTTGCTCCATGACCATAGAGGTTCGGCAAAAGCGACCAATAGACTTGCACGATATCCTGCTCCCAAGTGGCTACCAGACTAGTAAACGAACCTGCCTTTGAGCCACAGGGAAGAAACTAAGAGAAGACGAAAAAATAATGCATCGAGAAAATTTTGGCGGTCAATGAAACGTAAAATGTGTGGAATTGACATACATAAGAACCAGTCGGTTGCCTGTGACTTGTGCTCTGAACGTCTACAACTCGTTTAAGACTCAGGGCTTGCCTCTCGACCATAGACTGAACTGCTAGCCTTCGTTGCCAGTTACTATGGGTTCCGACGCAGTTGAAAATCCTAGCGGCGGATTCATACAGAACAAGCAGTCAAGGAATGATGTAGAAGACCAGGGAAACCTCTCCGAGGACCCGTCTTGGGAGAAGGATGAAGTGGTTGATGCAACAAAGTTGTCACCGGTAAGTAAAGCATTTACCCTTTAGTTAATTACATGCTCAACTTTGACTTTCGTAGATGCGAAAGCTGCACATTGTCATCGCCGGATTTACATGCACTTTCAATGGAAACCTCGGATCATCGATGCCATCTGGCGCTCTTGACGCCATTAGTGCTCACTTTCAAGTAACCGATCGCGTTCATCTCATCCTTCTCAACTCGCTCTTTATGGTCGGATATGTCATCGGCCCTCTACTCTTCGCCCCTCTCAGCGAGTACATCGGACGACGGCCAGTTCTCATCGGCACGTTCCTCGGCTACCTTGTCTTCATGCTTGCATGCTCGGGAGCTCCTAACTATCCTGCGTTGCTCGTCTTCCGCCTCCTGAGTGGTATCAACGCGGCCGCGCCTACAAGTGTTCTAGGCGGACTCTATGCCGACATTTTCGACGATGCTTCTGTCCGCGGAAATGCCATGGCTCTCTACATGACCGTTACTACCATTGGGCCTCTAATCGGTCCCATCATCTCAGGCTTCTCGTCCCCAGTGTCTTGGCGCTGGCCTTTCTGGATCGCTTCCATGATTGCAGGTCTGGGCTTGCCTCTTGTCCTCACACTGCCCGAAACCTACGCGCCTGTCCTCTACAACAATGCCTTGAAGAAGAGGCTCAAGAAGCAGGGTACAGATGCGGACAGCGGACAGCACATGGAACTGAAGCCTTTTGATGTCCAGAAGATCTTTCTTCGGCCAGTCACACTTCTCATCACCGAGCCCATTCTGCTGTCTACTTCTGCGTATCTGACATTGGCATATGCTGTATTCTATCTAATGTTTCAGGCATATCCTGTTATATTCCAAGGGTTCTATGGCCTCTCTCCAGCGATGGCAGGACTGGCATTCTTACCTCGTAAGTGACGTCGGCAGTACTGTTGTGCCAGTACTGGCTCTTTCGTAGGCCAATCGGCTAACAATCGGTTTACAGAGGTCGTTGGCGTCATCTTGTCTCTTTTCATGTTCGGCGCTTTTACCTGGTATCACAAAAAGCAAACGGAGGCCGGTGCAGAATGGACCAAAAACGAAATCTACCGCCGACTACCTCTCGCATGTGTAGCCTCTCCATGGTATGTAATTCCTCCCGTCACGCGATGTTCAGCGCATGATTAACGAGACTTGTCCCGCAGCATGGTAATCGCTTTATTCTGGCTCGGCTGGACAGTCTGGCCCTCGACGTCCCCGATAGTTCCGATGTTGAGCGGCATATTTTTTGGCTGCGGCTTTCAACTGCTTTTCATGGGTATGATAAACTACCTGACAGACGTGTTTCGTCAGTACTCTGCATCGGCGCATGCAGCAGCCAGCATGACACGTTCCATCGGTGCAATCACGTTGCCTCTTGCGGCCAACAGCATGTACACCAATCTCGGGGTTCATTGGGCGCCTTCAGTGCTAGGCTTCATCGCGTTGGCGATGGGCGTAATTCCTTTCATCTTTATCAGATATGGCGATCGTCTCGCTCGCAGTAGCAGAACAGCCCGCGAGGCATTTGTTGTTCAAAAATGAGTTATAGATAGTAATGTAATGAATGAGTCATGGCATATAAAGGCGCGCTATTTCTTGGTTCAGGTCAACTTGAACATTACCATGGTTGACCTCAGTTTTGCGACAAGGCTTTTAAAACATAACAAAGCTGTGTGTTAAGTTTCGAAAGCCCCATCTGAGGCTTTTAGGCAGTAAAGATATCATAAGGTAATGCATTTTTATTATTCGTGCTCTCGACAACACAGTACTTCGGGGAGATTCATCCTATCATTGTATAACTTAGTATGGTCATGCCATATAACAATGTCTTAGGTTGCCAAGTCGTAGGGTAAGTGGTCTGTTTTTGCTCGGCATGTCAAGAATTGAACCTGTCACTCACGTTGACTATACTGACAGTATGAACTTATGTGGGATGTTCTCAGTAAACATGTCAAATTGTTGATTCAAAGATGAACGAGTTGGCTCACTTGCACAACTATCAGACGCCAGGAAGCTACAAACGATATTACGTCTATAATCAGAAGATAATTTCTGGCTTAGCAGTGCCCCGTGCAGCAAGTCCTCGGTGCAGCTGTTTATACTAACATCACTTTCCTTATCATGAAGAGCTATTATTATGCTTGTGCTCATTGATGTTACTTTCAATGAGACAAGAAAGCCTCCAACGTCAAAAACGTGAGCTACTTGAGATGGGTTTTCATGGATTTCACCACCCCATCCATGATGATGGCGCAGAACGTGAGGATCGGCACCAGCGTCAAGAAGAAGCTGTACAAGCTTTTTATCACCGCTAGGATAAGACAGCGCTATCAAAGGGGGGATGCATACTCCTCGGGCGTTAGGATCGGCCCCCTAGTTCAGGAGAAGTTGGGCGATCATCAAGTGGTTTGGGGAGAGAATCGAAGGGTCTTTCAAGTAGATCTAATCCAGCCGGACAACAGGTAAGGGCGTGGAATTGGCAGTCAACCCATCCAAAGCTGCAGAAGAGTTAGCAAATAGAAAAATGGTTCGGATTCATCAAAGTTAACTGACACCCCATTGGTACGTTCTGTCAATGCAGCCTCAATTTCGGGATGCTCATCTTTCGATTTCCGAAAACGGCGGTTCTTTTTAAGATGCTCTGAAATATAAAGAGGGACATCCTTGTCTACTGACTCAATCTTCAAAAAAAACTTGTTCCTCTATGCTTGGACCTAGTGCATCTCCAATATAGATTTCGTTTCGACTAGTGACCAAAAGGTGTATACCCGGCTCATCCCATGCGCAGGATCAAGTAACATGTTGAGGACTGTCTCGCGATGTTTATCTCGAGGGCTTTTATCAAAGCGCATCTACAATGAGGTAGACATGCTTAAACAATCGGAGCATGTCGTGGAAACATTTAACAAGGCCTCGCCAGGCGGCGTGGCGCGCTTGTATTGTTCGCTCAGGTGTGCAAGAATTGCACGACCATCATTGTGTTGATTCGCGGGTTGAGCTATCAGAGCGCGAAGCAGAGCGGAAATGTCATGCTTGTCCGCATCATTGAATGCTAAAGAGAAGAACGCAAGACCGATGCATGAATTAGACTTCCTTTGCCCAAAAGCGTATTGAATTGCCGTGGATGATAGAACCAACTTTCCACATCCAGCAAAGCCATTAAGCCATAGAAAGGAGTTGGGCTTTCGAGCCAGGAGAATGAGGAGCTGTTAATGAACCGCAGACCTGTTCCAGAATGTTTCTTCTTAAACGCATTGTTGGAACTGATGAATGCATTAGGGGGCTTAAGCCATTCGTTGCGCCTTTCAACCGATATGGTCGCCCCTGATCAAATCAAGCAGGGCTTTGGTGTCGTCAATGTCATCACGGACCTTGCTGATGTCCTTCTTTGGAATTAATTGCAGCGCGAAGGAGAGATGATCAACAATCTCATCCCCATCCTCGTCGAACTTCTAGAGCGTGCTTTGTCGGAAGGGATATCCCAGACGGCGAGCTGTGACTTTCACAATGGTCCGAAAGCTGTGAGGGTTGATTTGCTTGAACTTATCGTTCTCCTCTTCAAGTTCTTGTATACATTCTTCGCCCTCGTTGACGTGAGCCTCGATAGATGCCAACATACTCTGATTGTTAGATCACGACTTTCGGCTGGCAAGTTGGTGATGTAAGTTGCCAAGCAGCAGCAGCAGCTCAAGGAGACACCTGAACTTGCCAGTCGTATGAGGGGCCCCTACAGTGCTTCCCGCCACTGACAAACGGTCGGACATAGTTTGTGGCTGTATGAAATATCTGTGAATACGAGGGGGGCCAGGAGACCTTGGGATAAACAGAAAATTTGGTTCAACAACTGTTGACAGTAGGCGCTGGCGTATGTCAAAAAGCGTCCACTCTCAATCTGTTTTGTTGACCCGCACGTAAACAGGGCAGTCTTTTCGTGCTATTAACGGTTTCGGCGTTTAATGAGGGCTAACAGCAGGAAGTTGGGTGTAAGCGCAGAGAAATGGGACAAAGTACCAAAGGCCTACTGTGTCCAATACAGCCTGATTGCATTTTCGAATGCACTGCAACGAGTGTCATGTTGTTTTCCTGCCTCTCTCGCATAGAGGCTGCCGTCAGATGCACCCTCCTGCCAAGTTACGGTTAAGCAAGTCTTGTACGGCAACTCGAATGAATTCCACCTAGATGAGCGGAGTGAGTGGTGGTTGAGCATCTCTTAATGACTTAAGTGCTCAGGCCAGAGTAAAGTTGGGCCTACTTGATCTTGAAGGTTCTTGCCACTGAAGTGTAATACGTCAGGTAGAACTTGCTGGCCACCAACGTGCCGATGCGATATGCTGAGTTGCGATACCACTTGATCAGCATCATGTACGCATCACCATTGACTGTACCCAGCCTGATAGCCTCGTAACGCCCAGTTTGTATTCTCTTGAACACCTTGGATGCGTCCAGGCCTTCCTTGCTAGGGTACAGCCGAACTTCTCCGCCGTTAGCAAGTCGCATGCTGTAGCCAGAAGCATTGGATATGAAGGCTGTCCGGGGCACAGAGAAAGTGTTGATGAGAAGAGCTTTCGGCTGGGAGAAGTTCTGACCGGGATTTCTGGGGTCAAGATCAGACAAACATAACGTGGTGCCATCTTCAAGGTACAGCTGCGTGCTAGCCAGGCCAACTCCCTCCAGGCTCGTCAGGCTCTGGGCATCGAGGGGTACTGGCCAGGCCACAGAGCCTTCCCATCCCATCCAAGACCAGGAAGGGAATTGTTTACGCCTGCGAGTGGGCTTGTATAATTCATGCTTCCACGAGAGGGCGGCCATAAGATATTCTGAATAGTCCGTACTCCCAACAGGTGCCAGAATGTCGTCTTTCGGGTGGTAAAAGGGAACTCCCCATATTTGGCGGACGGAGAAGTCCGATGCTGATTCCAGTCTCTTGATGATACCACTGAAGGCGTTGAAGGTATCTTCGTCGAAGCTCAATAAACGTTTTGAATACTGCTCGGCGCACTGTGTGTAGGCGAGGAACTTGTCCAGTCTGGATGCCTCGTCATAGGACAAGGATTGATTTGTTAGATACTCTGACCCAAAGAGCGAACGACTGATGTAGTCGTCAAGGTGGGACCTCCGCTTTCGATAGAAGGTATCGAACGATATGCGCAGACTTTCGTGGCAATGCATGGAACCACATTCGAAGTAAAGCTGATCTTGAGTAAAGATGAGACGTCGGCTCGACAAGACAGCTTCCTGATATGTCCAGCCTCTCGTCGCCCACCGGGAATTCAGAATACTTTGCTGAGGGGAAGGAAGGGCTGAGCGAAGATTGAATCGCTCATGAGGGAAAAAGCTTTGCCGTGACTGTCGCTCGGTTGATATTCCAGGCAGGCCATTTGTTTCGTCCTCTCCGGCCGCGGCGATTATGGTGAGCACAGCATTTTGATACACAAAGTCCATGTGCATGATCTGTTCGTGTTTTTTGCTGCTGTCATGCTGATTGATACAATACTTATCGACCCAAATGTAGCGGAAGCCGAGTGCAACCGTTACTTTCATTGCATCCTCAACCACTTGGGGTAAACTCTTGGGTAGTGACATGCCCGTATCTGTAAACTCCAAGAGGCTACAGGTACCTTTACCCCATACATAGCTCAGAGCCACATATTCAGGGGCCTTGTCAGTCGGTAAAGAATTCACCGTGACGACACTTCGACTCTCGCAGTCGATAAGTTGCATGTCGGACAGAGCGCCCTGTCCACGGTAGCAAGTCGGGTGGTGCTTCGCGCAGCAGTCCAGCCACTCTAGAACGACTCGTGGGTTGAACTGAGGTGCAACAATTCGCGGAGAGATCAGTCGTGTATTCCTCTGCACTTCTCGATGCCACATTACCAGGCCCTGTTTGGATATCAGCTTTTCAAGCAGCGAGTTATCCCTGTCGCCTGTATGGGTGAAGTCGGATGGAACGACCGCAAGGAAGTAGTCCGTCAAATCATCCGATTCGAACAAGTACTGCTTGTCCCCTTTCCAGAATCCTTGCCTGTGAGATTGCAGTGCGATGTGCGGAATCAGGGGGAAAGCACGCAGTTCGGCCGTGTGAACAAAGCCAGATGGCCATGCATCAGCCTCTATGTACAGCCTAGAGAAAAGCTGACACAAATCGCAGTCTTGGGATTCCTCGAAAGCCCCAATTCTGGCAAGCACAACACCATCTACGAGAGCAGAAAGCGTGTATCCCGGAAGGCGCTCCGTGGCCTGCCAGATGTCCAGACTACGGCATATCTGGCACCGGTTGGGGATAGTCTTGACTGAGGAAGGTGGAGGTGTGCTGAATCGCTTGCCTGATATGGAGAGCGATGGAACGAAAGATCGCCTCAGGAGCTGTGGGCAAGGTATTTGTTTAGTAGGATGGCCATACCTGGGCGTTACCTGAATCATGGGTATCTCACCGAGAAACCGGTTGGTTGGCTGTTTGTTGCGGAGCTGTCGCCATCAGGAAACATCACGAAGACGTCTTGCTCTTCTGGCTTCTTGTCGGGACCCGGATCTTTTCTGTTGGAGAACAGTCTGCGAGTGAAGGATATTGTCGCAGCCATCGGCGACGTTGTTTGAAACTGCCAAACAAATTGCCTATAAGCTGGGGAAGGAAGATGCCGGGCTCTCAGGTCCGGTGCACTGGTAAAATGGGGGCCAGAGTGAGGAAATTGAAGGAAAGCTGACTGGGTGTCCACTCCTTGCTCTGGGATGGAATCTTACTGTGCTTCTATTTTTTTGCGCGATTGGTCACCTTCACCGGGGGACGACGGACTAGCGTGGAAACCACTCTCGGCAAGAGAGATGAAGGACGGAAATACTGATGATGTCTTCGGCCAAAACAAGTCAACCACGACCCGTTTCCCCAGTTTAACAAGGCGTTCCACTGCTTCTAGAATTACCTTCCAGCTCCGCCAAGGGAGCACAGCCGTAGAATGGGACACCCAATCTCACACAAAATTATCGCACTTATCATCAACCACAGCCACCGGCTTTCCATTACTACCTCCATTCCGCCATCTGTGAACACAAACAGGTATCATATTCCGAAAGAAACCCTTAGATCGTTATCCCGATACCCAAAAATGCCCAACGCCAAGAAGCTATGCCCTCGCAATACGCGGATGAGATCGCGTTCTTAGTTTTCTTCACCCTCGGCGACAGCCTGGCCCTTGCCGCTCATGCTGGCCACCAGGTCTGCGAACCGACCCTTAGCTGCCGCCTGGTGGGTATCAAATCTCGGTGTTCCTGCTGGTGTAACGTTGGCGGACGTTCCCTCGATGACATTGGCGACCTCCTTGTAGTGCTCGCGGTCCTTGACGAATCGCGTCAGGTACATGGTTGTTTGCCTCGTCGGCTTTGACATGATACGCTCCACCTCGGCCTCGTATGCCTTATCGTAAATATTGAAGTCCACGTTGGTCGGGGATTCGGCCACAGCGCTTGCCGACGGTTCGCTCTTGTCGAACTCGTCTCGAGCACCGATACCGATGCCAAGGATAAGCGGCTCGTTCTGAAATTTGTCGGTCGTATCGTCGTGGCCGTCACCGCCCTTCTGCTTTTTCAGGAACTCACGCCGCTTTGCTATCAGATCCTCGATTTCTTCTTTCCGTGCTTGATCTTTGGCCTGGTTTGATGAATCATTGCCGCCGCTGTCGGGCCGTGGTGATGATTCAGCATTCCGGCTTTGCCTTCGTCTGATGAGGATAGTCTTGAACTTGTGGATCGCTTTCATCTATTTCAAGATTAGGCCTGTATTTGCGACAGATATGCAAACGTACCACACAGAGGAGATGATTCATTTTCCGGGTAAAAGCGCGGTTCAATTCGAGCTCGTTTGGGGGCTCAATGAGGACTGCGCAGTTGTCCTGCTTGGATAACAGCGGATCATCGCCTCCTTTCGTAACCCAAGGGTGCTCCTGCCGGCGGTCAGCAATGTTGTAAGGCCAATATGGCTATTGCACCTACCCTCAACTCGGCCATCTGAATGCGTTTCTTGGGGTCCTTCTCCAAAAGTTTGCTCATGAGATCAACGAAATCGGGGTTTTCACCCTCGGGTATAGCGGGAGACTCTGTCTTGATAGCGTCGTACATTTCAAGTACACCGTCATGCTCGAATGGGATTTTGCCATAGCGCAAACAGTAGAGCGATACACCCATAGACCAGATATCGGCGGCTTTGCCGTCGACGTCACCGTGTCGGACTACGCAGAGTTCGGGAGCAAGAAACGCAGGCGAACCGGCCGACTTGGCAGTCATCATGCCTTCTCCAGGTTTTTCAAACATCTCCGAAACTCCAAAGTCTACGATTTTCAGGACGTCATCGTCGGTCAGGAGAAGGTTATCAGGCTTGATATCGCGGTGAATGACGCCCTGCTCGTGCACTGCAAACTGTCAGCCCAGAGCCAAATCGCAAGAACAACATCACCTACAGTACTCGATGCCTAATATCAAGTCCCTAAACCAGTAACGACAGGAGTCTTCTCCATAAGGTGTGGCTTTGTCATTGAGTCCAACCTTCATGACCACCCCCTTTTTGCACATCTCCAGAACCATGTACAGCGAGTCTTCTTCAGGGTCATCGAGCACCTCGATCAGCTGTACTAGATTGGGGTGGTTAAGCTTTTTCATAATGGCAATCTCCTCCCTAATGAAGACGAGGGCGTCGTTGGCACTTGGACTGGCTTTGCTCTCCTGACCAAAGTCACCAAAGTGCGGCGACAGAGGCGCATTGAGGCTTACACGATGTGCAAAGCGCTGAGGTCGACGGGCACCTTGGCGCAAGATGTGCGACTGGGCCCGTTTGCGCAAGCGGACTTTAGAAAATTCCTTGACAGCCTATACGACGTGAGCTCAGTGTCAAACACATAAAATGAATGAAACCCGTACATATTCGGTACCAAACTGGTCAGTCGCAAGGTGCACGGCACCATAAGAACCTCGACCAATCTCTTCCTTAATTATGTACTGGTTGATTCGATGATGGCTCCGTCCATCCTGGCCCTCGCTGCCATACTCGGTGACGGCATCGAGCGTTTCCTAGATATTGTAAGTCCTCGGTTGTATGTCATCTTAGCTACCCCGCCCCCACCACGCATCAATCAGCGCAGCGGGGCCAAGCTTCAACACAAACACACCTTGACTTCGCGATGGGCTGACGGCGTTCGACGATGATGTCGCAAAGGGCTCTGGAATTTTGTTGGTTGAGCGACCGAATCGGATCTACTCCGCTCATGCGACGAGGTTAGAATGCTTGCTGCGTGTCTGTGGAGCATGGGGGAGGCTGTGCAATTCGCTGCGCAGCAGGGAGGCTCAACAGCTAAACATACATGTGGGCAGCGAGCGGCGGACGAGTTTCGGCACCTCCGTCACCGTGGAGCCCTACGGCTATAGTTGGCGATGTGAGGCCATCAGTGGTCGCAATCGACGTCGCAGCCATCGCCGTCGTTGGCGGGCTCTGAGGGACACCGGATTCAGACATTTTGCCTGCAAGCGCAAGGCTGCGTGAGAGAGTGTATGTGTGTGAGAGAGTGTGTGATTGTGTGAGTGATTGCGTGTGTTGCCAGTAGCAAAGAGAAGATCACGAGCTACCGTTTGAAGACGTCGGAAGTTGAAGAGCAAGAAAATCGAGAGGCGGGGTGAGAGCTAAAGCTCAGCTGAGTCTTTAGTACGTGCGTGCTCGAACCCAACTGCGACTGAACCTGAAGCGAGAGAGGAACGAAGATAGCGCCGTTAAGAGCTAAGGCGCGAGAAACCGAAAGCGACTTCAGCAGACCAGAACAACACCGAGGGCGGGCTTTTTGCGAAAACGAGTCAACATGAGCTTAAAATAATTACAAAGAGGAGGGAAATGGAGTTTAAGAAAAAAAAAATAGAGCGTCATGTTCAGCTGTGCCGGTCAGCCCCCACGTCAGTCCCGGTCCAAATCCCCGGTTCCAAGGCTTCAAGCACCCATTTCTTGCCGTTTAGCCATTGACGATCCCCATGGACCGCGTAAGATTTCATTAATTTTTGGCGCCGTTGGTCGCTATCATTGGGCGCATCGCAACAAGCCCAACTAGGACAGCTGACAAGAGGTGGGCTGGCCCAGGCTAGTATAGTGGCTTTCCCTGTAGGGCACCTGTAATGTCAGTGCGAACCCCTCCTGGCGAGGTAGAAATAAAGCAAAGAAAGAAAAAAGTTTAAAGACGCCATAGGATTGCGTTCCGTCTGGGGAGGGTCAGAGCTCCACCGTCAGCAGTAGCACAGCCAGCTGCCCCGCCATTGGCCCCTGTACGCACCTAATCGGACATGCTCCAGGGGTCTCAGCACGCGTTCTTAGGCCGCCGAGGCAGACAAACCATAGAGAGATCCAGTAGCCGCAACCTTGAACTGGGGCCACTGAACGTCTGCTCATTCGTTGTAGTTCGCATTCCGGCCGTTTGTTTCCTGGCGACACATCCTCTCCCGGCCCGTTGTACCTACCCTGCCTCCGCAACAGAGCTCCGAACAGCTCGCGATCAACCCTGACGACAAATTCAAACAAGTGAGATCCCGAAGTTTCCCTAGCCGCATCGCGGGATTCCCTTCAACGGCATGGGACATTGATCCCACCCCTTTCCCCCCCAAAACCAGCCCGTTCCCTCACCGACACGCTCACGTTGTAACATCCACCTCGCGGCGCAAGCGTCGCCCACACATCGCCCAGCATGGTCGTCTACTCCTTCTACATCTTCGACCGACATACGGAATGCATCTACTACAAGACATGGCTGCCCGCCGAGCGTCCAACCTCACAACCGCCCCCGCCGAGCGCCGGCACGGGAGCCGCGCCCCCCTCGCAACAGCTGCGTCGCAGCCAGACGACCTCGGCCGCAGACGACGCGAAGCTCGTCTTTGGCACCGTCTTCTCTCTCCGCAACATGGTCCGCAAGCTCGGCGGCGATGATGACGCCTTCATCAGCTACCGCACCTCCGGCTACAAGCTGCACTACTACGAGACGCCCTCCAACCTGAGGTTCGTCATGCTCACCGACACTGCGACGCTCAGCATGCGCAACGTGCTGCATCAGATTTACATCAATCTATGGGTTGAATACGGTGAGTGGCACGCTATCCACCCCTATTGCTTTCCCGGGGGGGAATGCGAGTCGAGGGGGTTACTTGGAGAAGTGATGTGTACTGACATGTGTCCTCCGCAGTCGTCAAGAACCCCCTTTCGCCGGCCGAACACAAGGGCGGCGAGGGCGTCAAGAACGAGCTATTCGAGCTCGGTTTGGATCAATTCGTCCGCGGCCTGATGTGAGGGAAGCCGCAATGGTTTTTTCACCCTTTTTGAATTGCGGAATAATGACGACCATACGACCAACGACCAACGACGATAATAAGCAGGCGGCAACGAATAGCCATATTCGGGGAGCTTCTTGGGAGCGCGTCGTCTTGAACCCGCCGTTGAAACGTCTTCTGGCGCGAGAAACTGCCGGGAAACACAAATACAGAACATATTACACATATTCAGGTAAGGCTTGCGGGAGCATGGTCTATCCATGACCGGACCAAGCGACGAGCCGCAAGGAGTGGGGATGACAATCCCACGATAACGAATGCCATAGAGGACGAGACCCGAGACTTGGAAGGCTAAAATAGAGATGCCGAAAGAAGGGAACGGAGGCTGCCGTCTCTTGTTCCAGGTCAGCCCGTGATATTGGTACAGATCGAGATGTCCATCTATCTCTTGGTCATAGATTATACAATGATACCTATAAAAAAATTTCCCGTGAACCACCACGCCCACCTCGCTCGTCCACCCAACCCGATCGTGAGCGTGCCCATCAAAAGTCCCGTGGGTCTCATTAAAAGTTCATGTCCAAAGCCGTGAGGAAAGAAGACGCTCCTCGGAGTTCTCTCTCACTTGTTCTCCACGGCTCTTCCCCACGCGCTCTCGAAGCTGGTCTGCGGGTCCACGACGACAACGCTCTCCTCACCTGTCCCCTGTGTCGTTACCCCTTGCGTCTGGCTCGGGATATTGGTGGTTGCTTGACTAGGCCGCGGCGGTATCTCGCTAGCTCTCACGTCTACGGCGCTCGCCATGATGTCCCCTTCCTCCTGCTGAATCTCATTCTCCCAGTTGCTCGAGTACACCACGGCCGCGAACCCTTCCAGGTCTCCCACCTGCTCCATCTCCTGGAGGTACTCATTCGGCATGCCGTTGCCGATTACGTGTGCCTGCCGCGTGAGCACGGAGAGGATCTTTGGCAGCAGTACGACCTGTGAAGTGCGAGGCTCTGACTGCGCGAGGTCCGGTTTGTCAAAAGCTGCCGATGCAAGCTTCTTGTCGACGAGTGCTGAAAATCCCGCGTCCAGGAGAAGAGTAAGCACGTGCGTGAAGGAAGGTGACTCAATCAGATCTGAAGTCTCGTCAAGCAACCTCCTAACTGCGGGCGACGAAGACGGAGACTGGGATGTTGTGCTTTCCGAGAGAATGACGGTGCTCTCCTCCAAGATGCCGGATTCGCGGAGGACATGGTCCTCGCGGTCCCGCGGCGGAAGGAGGTAGGGCAGCCACTTGGCGTTCCGGCGCTCCTCGGGCGTTGCGCCCTCGACGGCCTTACGCACCGCAAGCGTTAGCTCCGAAAACTGCTCGAAGCTGAGGAGATCACGCGGGCTAAGGTGGCCAAAGACTTGGCGGACCGCAGTCTCGACACGCTGGCCCAACTCCTTCCAACCCTCATTAAGAAGCCACCAACTGAAAGTCAGATATCGGCGGTTGGTTTCGAAGTCATTGCCATAGGGCTCTAGCCCGTCGTCGTCGTTGTTCTCAAGGCTGATGGTCGCCTGGGCGGCACCAGTCGCAAGGGAGATTACACTCGACAAATAACTGCGTCGGCCGAGGAGGTTCAGTTGGACTCTCGTCAGCATCGTCAGGAGAGCGAGTGTGTAGAGCAGCGTAAACGCTCTCGTAATGGCTGTTAATCCCCTTGCATCAGCACTGTCACTTTGTCGCATATCATCATCGGTCCCACTCACAGCTAATCGTTAAATCATCCCACAACTGCCGCTTCGTCTTCTTCGCCTTCTGTGCAGCCGCCGCACCCGCCGCACCACCATCTTGTGCGCCTTCGCCCGTGGAGGTTGCAGCCGCACTGGGTACTGTCATCTGGCTGGCGTGCAGGCCGCTCTCGCTCTGCACGCCGCTGCTGACCACGCTGCGGCCATCGTCGTCGGCTGTCAAAGTGGTATCGGCGATGCTTGGCGGGCTCACACTGTCCGCGCCACTTCTGACGCTCTTTGCTTGACCTTTCATCTTCTGAATCTCATACGTGATGCTCTCCGTATTCATGGCCTCAAGGATGTTGGTCGTTGCGGAAGGAAGAAGCGCGAGGACAGTGAAGGTGCAGTCTTCCTGGTTCTGCTCGAATCGACGGCGAAGGCTACCAAATACCATGTGTAAGTTTACATTGATCTGCAATATAGAGCGACGGCTTGCACGAATGCACTTACTTCTCCTTCGCGATGCGATCGCTGCTCATGCGCTCTCGCGCATCGTTAATCTTGCCGAGAACATACTGCGTCACGACGTAGCCGGCACCGACAACACCCACGCCGATTGCAAGAGGCGTCCTATTCCGGCGGAACCATTGCCGAGTCGCGTTGAACATGATAATTGCGTAGCCAGCGACCAATATCCGAGGTCGCTGAACTTTCCCCTCAAAGAATGATCGGGCCGCTTGGGTTGTAATTGAAAAGTAGGTTGATCGGTCAAGCTTCCGATAACGCAGAACCAGGAGAGACGGACCCCCGATTGAATTGGTAAAAAACGGGACTCCAGAGTAAGTAATAAAAAAAATCTACTACGAGTCTGCGAGCATATGAATAAAATGGGGGGTTTTCTTTTTTTTCTGTCCCTTTCCCCCCGAAATTGGCATTTGAGAAGGCAATGGGTAAAGCTCCAGGAAGGCTGGTCGGCACGTAATAACTTGGGCAATTAAGCAAATAGAGCTCCCTATCTCTTCTGTCCACTGCTGCTGCTGCTTCGTGGGGGACCGTGATTACCTCGGCCCAGCCACAATCCACGCGAAGCCCGCGGCACTGTACACGCATCATGCCAATTACTTCACACCCGTGGGAGGCGCCGCTCTGTGGCTAGAGCACGCCCACTGTAAAGTGCCGCCCACTGCTTGCAAATTAGCTGCGCTGCTACGTCCTGCACTCCAGCACGGGCGCCATCGCCGCCGCTTCCCCCCGGGACCCATGGCAAGCTCGGGGTAAGTATCCCTGCCCCGTGCTAGCGTACTGGCCCCTCCCCTCCTGCCCCCCCTTATCGGGGCAGGCGGCGGCGTATGTCGCTGCCCCTCAGCTTCTGCTGACACTGTCATAGGAGGGCCCTTGGTGCAGACATCACCGCATCCTTTCCGACCACAAACCAAGTCCACACAATAACTGCGTCGCAAGACACGGAGAAACAACGAGCAAGATGCAGCAGCAAAGCCCACCCGAGTTTATCCTAGACGCTTTCGCGGACCCGGCCTCCGTTAGGGACGTCGTCAAAGGTAGGACGAAACCCCCATCGTCTTCCCCCCGTTTCCCCATGCGTTATGGCTCGTCGTTCCCGACCCGCCCCGCCAAACGTCATATGCCTCACGAAACGACTACACTCGCGAAAACCGCAGTAGCCCGCCACAACTCCCTCCAAACTTCCAATACGGGAGAAGAGATAAAAGTCTGTGCTAATATATGAACCACATAGGGATTCTTCACACCATCTTCTTCCACCGCTTCTTCCCCGCCGTCGTCCCTTACACCCGCGAGGTCCTCGACCTGACCCTTCCCTACGTCGACGATGTCGAACTCGAGACCATGATTGAGCAGCGTGCCACGGCCCTTGTCCGCCAGCTCGATGCGGAGCGCTCTTCTACGAACCCTGCCTCTGCGGGCGGTGGCAGCGGCGGGCGCGGGCAGTTGAACGTCCAGTTCTTCGAGAAGAAGCGCCGGAAGGCCTGGCTCATGCGCGGCGACGAAGAGGTCTGTTGGGAGTGCTGGACGGTTAAGGTCACAGTCGCAGAGCCTAGAACGGAGACTGGTTGGTTTTCATTCTCTTTTTATATCTACCTGCTCGCCCATCTAGCGCCGTAGGAGGCTGACAATGTGACGCAGAGAGGGCAAAAGTCCGCAAGGCCATGGAGCAGACACTGATGACGACCGTCATGAAGGTCATCACCTTCGTGAACGCCCACAAGGACCACATCCCCCCCATCACCACGCAGGGGTCGAATCCGTTCCCGTACCAAATCAACATCAACCAGAAAGAGAGTGGCTGGGCCACGCGGATGGGCATATACTGATATGTAAATAGCGCTTTTGGGTGCGAGGCGATGACCAGCTACGACATTGTTTTTCGTGTATTTTTTTTTCTCCTTTCTTTCAGTTATATGCAAGCGAAACAAACGAGCTAGACGTATTGAATACTGGCGTTTTACTTGGGGACCGAGTGGCTTTCATTCGGGGAGGGCGGGCGTAGACACACGCTGGAATAAGGGATTTAGAGCAAATCAATATGATACCCGTTCATTGAGTTTACCATTTGGTCTGAATATACCGCACTATGTCACGTGGCACACATAAGTCATCTGAGAGGACAACATGACAAAAGAAGAGACTGAGGCACAAATAATAAGAGTATGTATGATGAACATAAGTTTTAAATTGGAGTGTGGGAACAACCGGCACAAGAGCAGATAAATAGCTCGCAAGTCACCTGGCTTCAAATCATCGGATTAAACAGTTCAAGGATTGTGATGACGGCTCGTACTAGCATTTAGCACTAAAGGTGTGTGTATGTCCTCGATATAGAGGAAGCTAATCTGCAACGCATCCAAACAAGTTTTCTTACAGCAAGAAAAAAACAAGAGACCAAAACACAAAACGCAGTGGCCGTTTGACCACAAAAAAAATCACATCCCGCCAATCCATAGTGTAATAAGCCCGTGATCCGCCGTGCCAACAGGACCCGAGCCCTTTTGTAAGAAGAAGAAAACAGACCCAATGTTCCTACCAGAATGATGTCCCCAATAAGCCAGTATGTGCGCTGCTTCGTCATTATCATAAAGCAACAATCATGGACAAGAATATGAAAAGCCTCGGAGCCCCATATCAGACATTAGTCCCTAAGTCAATCCATCCCAAGTTTTCCCCGCTCCATTATCGTGTGGGTCGAAACAGTTGAACGCCTGAGCATCGGACGTTATGCCAATAACTATGTTCATACATCGTAACGGTCGTCATGTCTCAGCACCAATGAGACGGAAAGGCCTCATCGAAGAATTAGAATTGCGTGGTGTAGCTCCGTCCAAAAGCAGGCTTGCCGGGCTTGGAGCCTGAAGGCTTAGGCTGAGAGCCCGAGCCAATCTTCTCAAAGCCCTGCAAAATGTCGAGACCCGAGTACTCGTTGGGGTCCTCGGACATAAAGTCAGTGGTGTCGAATGTGAAAGAGGGCCAGTCGCCCTCGGCCGCTACTTCGTAAAAAGAGGAAGAAATCTTCGTCGGCGAAGGGAACCTCCACTGAGAAGTGTTGTCGTTGCCCTTGATGGGAGATGAGAGCCCATCAAATACCTTGCTGGGGGTCTCCCACAGGGTAGAATTTTGCGCGGGGGCCTTCAGAAACGGTGTGGAGATGACCGATTTGTTACCGTTGGCAGAGTCAGTGGCCTCCGCCAAGGCGTTGGCCGAATTTGTGCGCTCAACACGGGGCCGCTTCACCGACTTCTTGGACGGTGACTCTTGGGGAAGCCCGTCAAAAAAGTCATTGTCCATGTCCTGGAAAATGTCAAAATCGCCAGGCGCCAGGAGGTTGTAGTTGTAAGCTGTCTCATCGAGGTTGAAGGCAGGGCTCCAAGGCGCGTTACCATCACCGGTGCCGGCCATCTTGCGCAGCGGAGACTGGAGCATCTGACGGACATGGTCACGGTGAAGACGCAGGTTGGTGTTGGGCGATGCGGACGGCGGCGCCTTGGTGGGCGGCTTCAACTTCATAGCAGGGGTCAGCGGTGGCAGCATCTGGCCTTGTTGGCGGAGCGGCGACGAGGATGGTGGGGCGAACGCGTTGTACGAGCGACCCTTGCTAGGGCTGTCATAAGACGACGCACGCAAGCGAGCAATCTCATCCTCGGCCCTGCCGGCGCGGTTGCGCTTGCGAGGGCGGTCAGCCTCCGAGGTCAGGATACCGGTCTTGGGCTGTCGTAGGGCCGACGATTCAAGGGACGAGATATAGCCGCTGTCGTCCATGGAGGCAAACTTCCTCTTGTGGGATCTCGTAATTGAAGAGACTGGTCCGCGGCCAGGCGGCGGAGGCGTACGACTGCGGGGCTCCATGTGTCGCGGAATCGGCGGTGAAGAGTGCATCGTAGGCGGCAGGGGAGAGCAGTCCTGATCCAGTCCCTTGTCGTGTGCATCTTCCGGTGCAGCGGAGTCGGAAACGGGAATAGTCGCGTCCGATGAAAATTCGACGGCCACAGTAGCCTGAGAAGTAGGCAGCGGCGGAAGCGTGGCGTGGTTGATCGGTGCGGGAGGCGGCAGAGTCGGCTCCTGGATAGGGACGTTGACCGGTCTCGACGGTTCCATTCGGGTCGACATGACAGGCACGTTCTCGGCGGTCGTGGCGGTCTTCCTTGCCGGCTTGTCCTTCATGAACTGCTGTTCCATGCCCTCCTGGATAGTCCAGTAATTGCCTTTGCCTGGGTCGTCCTTTGGCCGCTCCACCTTGATGAAAGCTTTGTGAAGACTAAGATTGTGACGAATACTGTTTTGCCATCCCGATTCCTCCGCCTTATAAAATGAGTACGTGTCGGAAATCCACTTGTAAATTTGTGCAAGAGTGAGTCGTCGTTGGGGTGAGCGGAGGATAGCCATTCCGATCAAAGTCGCGTAGCTGTGGCCGGGTTTCGTCCCATCGTCGACGATTGGAGGAAAGGAATCGTGTGGCGGGAGGCCGCACTCTTCGGGCTTGACCTTCTTGAGCGGTCTCGATTCCTTAATGGGGGCGGCTTCCATTAATGTGCGCTTGCCCGGTCCCTTGTGCATGTAGAACTGGTCCAAGTTGATTGTCGGCGGTGCAGGATAGAGCTGGGGGTGGACATTTTCCTTGCCGAAGCCGGCGGCGAGATCCACGACTGGAGGCTTTTGCGCGACCGTCTTGAACTTGGACAAGTATGGCTTCTTGTGCAGCGAGTCGGTATTTGGTGCCTTTGCTGACGGCGGCGCCATGGGCACCATGTTCAACTTGTTGCCTTGGGATTTCAGCGGGGCGAGAGGCGATTTTGTGTTGCCTGATAATGCCTTCAAAGGCGAGTGTCTGTCGGATGCGAGCGCGGGAGGGTTGAGAATAACGTTATTATTGCTTGCGGCGCCGAGTGGTCGTCTCGGTGGTTTTGATATAGCGGGCATGGGTGCGTGGTTGATCATTGCTGTCGAGTTCTCGAAAAAGTCGTCTTGATAGATTTGCAAGGGCTCATGAGAGCCGGCGAAGCGTGTGGGTTTGGCCATGTCGGCCGATTAAGCTACTTCGTGCTCGACGTCGTCTCCAATCGGGTATCAACTACGTCTGGTTCGGGTAGTGGGCTGGAGATGGGAAGGCATGTCAGCGAGCCGCAAGGCAGCAGGTTAGATAAGTAGTCGCGGTGTGCGGTTGTCAGTCTTTTCGGGATGACAGGGCAGGACTTCCAAGGTTCTTGACCCAAACGGGGATTTGCATGATTGAAGGGAGGAGAACAAGTGAGGAGACTCATGGCTCACCTTGGTCGGGTCTAGACTCTGGAAATGACTTGTGGGTCGTGAATGCAAGGGGGCCTTTTGGCGGTCAAATTGTAAGGCGAGTGAACGACTCGCGATGTTTGGCCGACGAATTTGGTACGATGGGGTGAGGATGTGCGAAATCTGGCGACGATGCTCCGAGGCGGAGACAGTGAATGCCAGTACTTGCTGAAGATGAGGTGAAGGGATGGGGTTTGTGAGGTGAAGTCGGCTTTGTGGCTGCGAAAGGTTGAAAAGAAAAGAGGGGATATCAGGCACGATACCACGCGAGGGAGGAGAGGGTAGGTAAGATGTAATAGGCGGCAGAGGTAGCGGCACAGCAGGCAGGTGAGGAGAAAGGTAGAGTAAATGGTTTAGTGTGGTGTGTGTGGGAGCGTCGGCGGCAGTGGGAGGATAAGGTAGGCAAGTCGGATGGATTGATTTCAGCCAAGGCGAATGGAAGTGGAGGCCCGGGTTGTACTTGACTTGTCGAAGAAAGAGGAGGGCCGCCAGCTCAGCACGCCCAGAGATGGCCGTGTGGGGCACTCTGGAGCACGGGAGGAATGGGCGATTGGACGAGAGGAGCGTGGGCTGTGACACGACCGACCAGGCTAGGGTACGCCGAAGGTGGGAGCAAGGGTGTGTGGTATAGAGTGCAGCTTAGCCGGGATGGGATGCAGGGAGTGTGAATGGTGGGTGTGCTTGATATCGCCCAGGGTACGAAGGCATAGGTGACATGGGTCGTTGATGTCAAGCAAGCAAGCAAGAAGTGAAAGTATGTGAGTATGAGTGAGAGAGTGAGTCGAGCGAGGATGAAGGTGAGCGGCCACCATGGATCGCCGACCGTTTGCTGGAACACGCCGACTCTCTTGTCGAGAGTCCGAGATCCGTCTGCGAACGGCGGACTGGTCAGTAGGATCCCCAGGGGGTCGGTGCCCGGCCGTTGATTTCTATCGCCTCTACGTAGTGAGTGCTGCCAGACACCGGTGAGGGTTTGCGTTTGTCTTTGCGTTTGCTCGACCACCGACCGCGTCGTGGTCGTCGAAAGAGGGCCAGTCAGCCGAGAATCGCGCACCAAGCTTCAGACGCTATTCGGCTTCAATTCAGGTCGAGCGTTCACGCTGCCACGCACAAGGCAGAGATACTTAACAGGGTTCCCAGGTCCAGGTTTGTCAGGCTTCAAGTCCAGTGGGGAGGGGTGTGCGCGGGTTACGTCCGGCAGAAGGAGAGGACCCAAAAGTGACGATAGTAGTACGAAATCTGAATGGACAAGATGGCGACGTGTACAGGACGGGAAGGCTATGCTATGCACATATGCAAGCAGGTTTCGCAGTTCATGCGAGACTCCGACTGTGGACCCGCCTCTTTTTTTTTTTACCGTATTTTTTTTTATTCTTTCATTTGCCTTTTCTGTGTCGCAAAATGCCGACTGTTCGATCAATGTTTCCGGCGGGGACTTGACCGAATACTGTTTCTTGCCCCCCTCCCAAAGTTCAGGATGGCCGCTGGAGAGAAAGCTGGAGTCAGCCATGCAACTTGACGGGCAGGAAATGAAGCTGCATGCAAGGTCATGCCGGGGGGGTTGAAGATGCAGCAGTAGTAAGTGGATGGTGTGGCCAATGGCGCAAACTGTGATATCGCTCGCCCTTCTTACTGGTGATGATGGCAACTACTACTGGAAAGAAAAGTGGCGGCCGTTCGTTACCGTCCCCTTCTCTCGAAACCATGAAATGTCAAAGAACGCCGACCGACTTGAGCCCAGCTGGTGGTAGCGCAAGCCCAAAAAAAGACACCATCAGCTCGTCTTTGCTTGCTTTGGAAATGGTCTTGACTTAGTTCTCGGTAGTAAGTGGTTGTGCGGCTAAGCGCCCATCTGCCCATCAAATATGGCTGATCTGCAGCCACAAGAGGATGAGCTTCCTATCAGAAAGGTGGAGTGGAATACGGGTGCGCAAAGTCCGCCACGAAACAAGTCGCCTCTTCCGGTATCTTTCTTCCTTTGCAGCAAACGGTTTATACCCTTTATTTTATTCCCTCTCTTTTGTGTGCTGTACTCGTTATTGGGGTCTCTTTTTTGGCCTGTGTGCGCTGCTACCAGGATTGATTGGGTTGACAGCGCCTCAAGAGGTCATGGAATGTCGTTGGCGCGTCCAGAACGCGTCTCACCGTTGGGGGAAAAAACAACAACGCGTGAGCTCTCCACCAATCAGCCAAGCGATATCACATGACTGTGGTTTCCATTGGGTGTGGGCTCAAGCGCCTGAAACTAGGCTCTCCCAACCTATCACCAACTACGATACCGCTGGACGGGATGGGCGGAGGGAACGGCAACTACTCTTTTTTTTTTTTTTTTTTTTTCACTTCACACTCCCGTTGTCAATCAACGAAGACTGAAAAAAATTCAGTAAAATTTTATTTCCTAGAAACGGTATCCGTAATTCATCTGACATGGCCTAAATGTCTCGCGACGATTATCCCCGCTATGAGACTTGAGTGTGAGACCCCAAGACCACGTCTTATGCTGGCCAGATCGTCAGGTACGGAATGTTGCCGTCGTCTCACTATACCCTGATGATAGAAGACCGCAGCCGATTGAGCTCGTCCGTTCCGCTTGTCTCCATCATTTCATTTTTCACTTTTCGTTCCGAGGGCTCTGGACTCTTTGGACATTTGATTCTGGGCCGATTCAAGCCTGACCAGCTGGCTCAGCTCGGGCCTGTAGAGGATCCTATCAACTTCACCATCACCGGTCCCGTGTGCCTGGCTGACCAAATCCCAGCCTGGTGAGCTTCTAGAACCGGGGCCTTGTAAATAGGTTTTTCCATGAGGGTCTCCATTTAGACCCAAGTTGAGAAAAAATGACTAAAATGGCTCGAGCCTCAATGCAAGGAGTCCGTTGTAGTGGCCGGCGCCGGTGGTGAATACACTAACAAAAACTGCACGGATGTACGTTGAGGGAGGAGTAGACCCAAGAGGCTAACTAACCAAGACCATCCGCAAGGAATCCGTAATGCCACGGATAAGCGGTAGCCATCTATCCTTGCAGGAAAGGCGACGATGGGGCGCAATGCGAGCGTTGGAGTGAGTCTGACGAATAAGCATGCCGGCAGCTAAATGGCCCTTTGGTGTATCGTGCGTGGCGGACTGTTTCCAAACGGGTTGAATGTCTATCAATCACAAGTCAACGACTCAGTAATGGGGGCCATCGGGCGGATCAAGGTCTGAAGCCTATGACCCCAACGGAGCCGATTTTCAAGGGCAGACTGGCAAAGTGTCTTTTTTTTTTTAATGTTTCTCAGCCGGCAAAGCCCAGCGCCAATTGCGACGTCTCTGCTACGACATTTGTCTCTCCAATAACTCCCGAAACCTTGGGGTTCACGGAATCATGACCAGCCAAGCAAGAAGCCCCCCCAAGGTACGGGGGAAAGGTCTCACAATTCAAGACAATATCCCATCATTAGGACCCTCTCGCCAGGTACAGGACCACTAGCAAAGAGGAATTCTGACACTAGTCATGATACTATAGTGTGTGGTGGCCTCAGGTCAGTTAACCCGTTTGAGCCGTCATTACACATTGCTGCGCCGTTTACCAAACGTGAATTGCGGGTGCTACTCAACTTGACTTGACTTTTTTTTTTGAGACCCCAGCCGGCCCAGCCAGCCCAGCTCGGTACAGTCAGCCAGTCAGATGTGAAGCAGCCTGATCAGAATCCACGGTCCACCCGTCTGATAATACGAGTACTATGTACCGAAGCGATGTCTGCCCACCACCCCCCATCCGTGACATCATCCCTACATCGTCGAAAGCCAATCCTTTCACACATGTTCTCGCTTTCCAGAAACCTCGTGTCTCTCTCTGTCTGTGCCTGGGTCGCACCCCCAGCTCTCAATCCCCAATCAAACCGTTTCCACCCGGCAGAGTCTCATTGGCTCCGCCTGGCTGCCAGTGTTTCAACGAGAATTGGGACCAACTCCCAGTTCTTCCCATCACAATCCACAGATGTCGAGGCCACTTCCCGGTCAAAGCAGCCCAGATGGTACGTATATTTGGCGTGAAAGCAGGGTTCCGGGGGCCAACTTCTGCTTCTTTTTTTTTTCTTGCTCCTCTCTCTCCAGTCCTTTTCGTCTGCCCACTTTGACCTGCGGCTGCTTCTGTCTCCTCCCCCTCCTCCACCCTCCATGGGGGTATACCAGTACATAGTATGTGAGCGCGATCCTCTCCGACAAGCTCGTGCATGCGCCCTCTCTCACACACACATACAGCCGGTCGGTACCTGACGGGATCCCTATGCATGTGAATTTTACCCGCCAAATTGTGCGCATATAGTTCACAACTGGCGAGGGGTGTCCCTCGTGCCTGCAGTACCTGGCCAGGCTACTGGCGTGCCTGGCGCCAAAGCTCCTACTTGCCCCAAGGTTCAGCCCAGTCGTCAGTCCCTGTCAGTCGATCTTCGCATAAGATGCAAATCTTCCCTACGGGAGATATCCCATCTCGCACATCAGTGACAACGCATCTAGCTCGCCCCGAATTCTAACTCTCCTTCCCCATTTTGGCATGATTCCCCCTCCCCGGACCAAAGCGAATTTCGGGCCATTGGGGGGAAAGCCCACGAAGAGAATGGAAAAAACTTCCATTCCATCAAGCATCGAGATCCCTACGGAATCCGCTCCGGCGATCGCGAGGGTTAGACCCTCTCCTTCACTTCCCTGCTGAAATTATGAAGAAATTAAAATGAAGTTTTATGAGAGAGGAGTAGATGCAAGAAGAAAGAATAGTTATTCGTCATACTCTCACAACCTATCTCGTCAAATGGTCCAATGAAATCCCGGCCCGATCAGCTGCCAACTCAGTCGTCAATGGAACATGGAAGGTTGCTCTCAATGCACAACCGCGGGCCACCACCCGTGCGCCGTAGCTCGAATGCTACTGTACCCCTCTCCCCCTCCTTCCCTTCTCTCTCCTCACTCACTCACTCACTCGCTCGCTCGCTCGCTCACTCACTGATCATCTCACCCACGCCGCTCCTGCTGGCCCCCGGAAGGCGGAAACCCCTGCCGTCTCGATATTAATAGTGTTTCCTTCGCTATACCCGCCCAAAGTGCCGGTCCTTCTCCCATCCCATCATCCCAAGACCACCTTGCCAGCAGTATCTTAGCGTACGATTGATAGATTACCCAGAGGCACCTGCGTTGCCTTACCTTATCACCGCCATTCTAAAAAGACTCCATCAAGCCCATGCAGCGGCCCCATATCGTCATAATGGCATTTTAAGAAAGCCAAGGCAGAGAGAAGAAGTAGGCCAGCCAAAAGTAAAAGGCAAAAAAAAAGCTTTGGGCACTTCCACTAAGCCAGGGGCCATTGTTCACTCTCCGTTCGGTAACCCGATCACTCGTCCAGTTGGTGATCCTTGACATCCTAGAAGCATTGACGTCCAAAGTCGGGACCGCTCAGATGCCCATCACTTTCATTACCGTTTGCTCGCCTCAACAATGGGACAACGCATAACCCCCTTTTTGAAGATCTCAACTTATTTTACGTACGAAAGAAAACTAGAATCCGGGTCTTCTCCTCCTATCGTTATTTGTCAAAGTTATAAAAAAAAAAAAAAAAACTCATTGCCTCGTTGAAATGAAAAGCAAACATAACAGTCCAACATCCGATCTCCGGCCCATTAACAAGGCCTCTTACGCCATTCAGTTTATCCCCTCACTTCACTAAACCGTCTTCGCTTCTTTGCCCCTCCTCATGTCTCTCCCTTTCTCTCTCTCCGATCATCTTGTACTAGTAGTACACTGTGGGAAGGGAGCCTTCGGTTTCTCAGCAGAACCCTTACTCACAGACTACAAGAAAAGAAAAAGCAAAAAAAAATCAGTCCCTTCCCATGGAAATTCGGGTCTTCTATTCCAAAGAGACGCCACCCTGGCCTTCCAAGCTGCAACCACACAGACTCGAAGGACCGAGAGCACAACTCAAAACCGCCCAATCTGGCCCCAACAAAGTGAACTCCCACCGCTGGTTTGTTTCCCCGAATAGAAAGGGCACAGAAAAGAACTGGAGCTCAGCTGAGCCGAGAGTTTGGAGCCCCCTACGGAGACTTATTCCTTCCTACCTCTCCATCGCAGGCGGGCTTGTAGGATCGCTACCGTGCATCTGTTTCAAGAAAAGAAGGTAGCGTCGCCTTTCTCTGACCATGACAGCCCAAAGTCCGACCCACGAAGGCAGAGCACGTCCCCATCCATCCAAACGTGCCGTACATATCTCCCCTCTTTCTCTGTGTGTGCATATCCCGTAGATTCACCCCCGTCCTTCCTCATGTCGCCTGGTCCCCTCCAAGTTCCTAGCCGACTGCAACTGTAAACGTAACTGTAAACCCAACCCAGCTTCCCAAGGGAAAGACCGCCCTCTCGGACCCTCGAGGCGCCATCTGCCTCTAATGCAGCTCCGCCTCTGCCGGCGAGGTCGGCGCACGCAGTTCTAGCTTCGATCGTCAGGTTCCTAGATCCTCACCACTTGGCCTCGTGCCTACGTTAGCCCGGCACAACCAAATTCCTTCCGGTAAATGGGCCGTGAGATGGCAAAAACCCCTCTTGGGAAGGGGTTCACCACACAGTCATGCACAATCCTTCCATCAAAGGACGTTGGCATATGTCGTACATCTGCAGTAGACGGAACAGACAGACTGGCACTTATGCAGTAGTAACTAGCACCAGCAGCACCAGCAGCAGCTTGCTACTGCACATCATCATCATCGGGCTACCCAGCGCCGAATACGCAACGACATGTCAATAAACATGACACCTCGTCACGTCCAAATATCGCGTTATTTCAACTGTTTCCCATCTTCCTCATGTACAAACATCATAGCTCACGAGAATATGCGTATGCGCGTATGATACGAAACCCGATAGCCCCCTCTTCACCCCTCCAACAGACAGACAGACTAGAGAAAAAGGTAGTCATTTTGTGTGCCGAAAAGATGAATTAAAAAAGCAAGACGCAATGCCACCCACACGTGGCCAACAAGAGGTCCGATCGCACGATATTCCCAACCTCCGCCATTTCTCTCATCTCTCTCGTCCTGCTTCGCCCTGCCTAGAACGCCCACTTTCCCAAAAGTCTAGCCCCTGCTTCTCTCTCTATCTCTCTCTCTCTCCCCTTGCAGAGGAACAAGCTCGTCGAGGAGATGGCGCCGCGTGATTAGAACAGCACTAGAAATAACCTGCGCCACACGCGCGAGATCGTCCCCCCCAGCTCGGATTCTTTGTTTGACACGCCGGGCTGAGACGCACTTCTCGGGCCAAGAGGGGGCTCATGGTGAAAGAAGAAAAGAACCAGGCCAGGCGCGTACGAGAAGAAAAAGCTTATAGAAGGAGGAAGGAGGAGAAGGAGGGGGCGGCTTTCTAGTGAATTTCTGCCTACGTAAGTGGTTCTGCGAGCTCTTCATGGAGGAAGTCGTAAGTGCTAGATCGACCGGTGGCGGCGGCGGCGGCGGTGGTGTGGTGGTGGTGGTGGTGGTGGTGGCGGGTTGGTGCAACAAGAGAGCTCTCTAGCTAGGTGCGTTTGAGGTTTGCAATCACCCGTTGCTGATCCTGCGTGTCGTATTTCTGGGAGATGTAGGGGATGCATGCCCGTTTGGAGTTTCACTGAGATTAGCTGGAGGGGTTCGAAATGCGGTTTGCGCCCGTTTATTTACTGGGCATGTGGAGGGAGTCATGTGATGAAGACGTTGAAGATGGCCTGTTGTTGAGTCAAGTTGGCGACTACCTGTGTACGTCACTTTCGAAGCGGACGACTGTGGACTTTTGGTGATGTACCTTACGAGTAGATATCCTAATGTGCCTCTAGTATATGGGCAAACAACGGGGCCTGAGACATCGTCAACGGTAGCCCGTTGTTCCTGCCTTTCAACACTGGCAAGCCGTGGTAGGTAGTCAAAGGTGATGGCACGTATCCAGCTATCTTAGCCCAGCTCTAGGTCATATCTGTATTCGTGATGCTAGTTTCTATATCAGAACTTCAAGCTATCGCTTAAGATAGCCCTACCCAGCTGCGTTACAGGTGTTTTCGCAGTCGACAACGTGCTCGTTGACACTCCGTCATCAAACAAGCATACATTTCTTTACACATGTCTATATAATGTGGCAGGCTATCATCTCTGTAAACTTTACATTATCGCCTTAAAGTTATATGTTAAATTAAATCGCTTAAATTCGTCAACACTCGTCATACACCGCCAGCCTGCTTGTGTCAACAGCAAGCTGCGCCGTAAAGACATACGGCCTGTCGAAACACATATCCCACCTCGTCTCGCCGGAACCCCAAAACCTCTCGAGGACATATTTCGCCGTAAGAGGTACGGAAGTTCCCAAGTCACGGCTCAGCTGCGGCAAATGTTTCGCAACGAAGTTGCGCACCTCAGTGCCAGCATGGACGGCCTCCACCCCCAGAAGTACCAAAGGCCAGATTATGAACCGCTTCATTTTTGGACATGGCAGAGCCCTCTGCAAGAGCGTTTGTAGGATCTGACGGTGCGCGACGCAGCGAGCTCTCAGGGCTTGGGATGTGGGAAAGACCGATATGCTTTGCAAGGAAAGAATGCAGTAAATTGCCACAGCGGATTGATGGACGCTTCCGAGGAGCATCCAATCCTCTGTTGACGACGGCGTGAATTGCGGCTTGGATTTGGCCCATTTCTCTGGTGAAAAGTCGTGGATCCGTTCCAAAATCTCGTCCGCTTCGCTCGTAATATCACTGGCCTTAGCAATCAGGACTCGTGCTCGGAGGTGGTTGATCCTGATGATCTCTCCGTACAACTGCAATGGACACATATGAAAGGGAGACGCCGAGATGGCAAAATGTTCCATGATGGCCTCTGTGGCATCTAGCTGTACACCGGTCATGGAGAGGTCTGATACTGGGCATGTCGTGTTCCCTATCACCGCGACGCTGTGTAAAGGGGTCAGTATCCTGTACGACGTACTTCTTGTGTAGGGTCAACATACGACCAGAGGACGAGCAAGAGCGGCTCCAATCTTTTCGACCCAGCCACGGCGTGAAAACCGCCCCGTAACGAGATCACTTTATGGACACCTTCCATGTGGCATTGCCAATTGAGCAGGGTGCCGTTCTGAACCTATCACGAGTCTCAGTTTCTGTGCTTAGCCTCATGAGGGGATGGCATACGTCAGCGAGTAAGAGGGTCAATATACCCACAATCACCATGTCACTCGTCCGCGCATTTTCCACGTTGAGATATTCACTGAGGGAGCGGGTAGCAAGGCCCCAGTAGAGGTAGAACCTCTCTAACAAGATCTCGCTGGCTTGCAGGTCGGTCCTTGTGCGGTTGATCCGATGGCTTAGGGTCATGCAGACCATGCCGTACTGGACATACTCCGGTATCGTGGCCCCTACACGGAGATGCTTGGCAGTGAGAGGGTAAATATGAGGGTTTTGTCCGAATTGGTGGATTGGAACCAGATCTGGGTAAATGCAAGTATTGACTGTTCAACGTCAGCTCCATGATCGTGCTTCATCAAGTGGTAGTTGGCATACAATACTCGGCAGCTTGCGGAAGGGCGCATATGTCGGTCATCATCTTGAACGGGGGCACGTGGACCCTCATATCGAGAATTTCTGTTGTTTCAATAGCCGTTGCTTGGGGATAGTCAGACTTGGTATCACCCAGCCGGGACGTTGCCTTTAGTCTTCGACTTCGAGATGTGACTTTTCCAGGCGTGAGCCATTTGAGCCTTGTTGGTTTCACTTGGCTATATCCGGGACATTCAACACCTGCTGCTGAGCACCTCCTACACGCAGGTTTTGTGAAGTCGCATACTAGACAGCGTCGGCGGCACTCCCAGCAGTGGCGCTTGCTGCGGCTCTCCATCTTCGACGTATATCGGCCCTGATATGAAACTTGCGAGCACTTTGACTCATTATTCAGTTGCAAATTATGTTGTAGATTTCCAAGTTTATCAATCGCAGAAGTGGCAGGTTTCACTGACAAAAGGTCATTACCGATTAGGAAGTGGCATTGCCAGGCTGTAGCCGTGGAGCTGACGACGCCAACTCCCTAGCCGGTACAGTCCGTTGCACTGACAGCGTCCAAAAATCGAGTTTTTACCCCCCTAGGGTGGGGTTAATGCAAACCCATGCTAAACTCCGTTTTTTTCGCTGGGAAAATTACAACGGTCGCATTCAGCTGCATTTAGCCACCGTATCGTCAAATCTACTCATTTCAACGCGTCAGTATGGCGCCACGTCTCTCAAAACTCCAGCTGAGGAAAGTTAACCTACTTCTTCCCTCTGTTATTCAAACCGACGAAGAAATCGCAGAGGCGGTTGGCTGTAGCCAACGAACGATTCGACGATGGCGTCGTCGATTCGACATAACTGGCGAGGTAGAACAATACCCTCGAAGGCGTGAAAGCCAGCAGAAGATGGAAATACAGCATCGGAACGAACTTCTCGAATTATTAAAGTATCGTAACGACCTCCTATTCGAAGAGATGCAAGAATTCCTATACGAACAGTTCAACCTCGAAGTCAGCAAATCAACGTTGAGCCGCCACCTCCACGCAGCTGGCTGGACGAGAAAGAAAGCCCACATAATTGCTTCACAACGAAACCCAGAATTACGGTACGATTGGTTATATCGTATACGTCGATACCACCCAGAACAATTAATATTCGTAGACGAATCAGGCGTTGATAAAAACACTGGAAGAAGAAGGACGGGTTGGGCGCCTAAGGGTCTGACGCCAACGCGGTCAGTTCCCCTCGAGCGAGGTCAACGGATACAACTGCTGCCAGCACTCGCAATTGACGGTATCGTAGACTTGCTGGTATATACTGGATCGACGAATGGCGAGGGCTTCTCTGCGTGGATACAGCAACTTCTACTGCCAAAGTGTGGAATATTCCCTGGGCCTAAGTCAGTGATTATAATGGATAATGCTTCTTTTCACCGGCAAGGGGATATACGGCAAGCGTGTGAGGCCGCTGGCGTACGCCTCGAATTCCTCCCGCCGTACTCACCTGACTTTAACCCCATCGAGGAGTATTTTGGCGACCTCAAAAAGCATGTAAAAAAGACATTCCGTACGTGGAATACTAACGAACTAGACGAGCGTGATTTTGCTGAGTTTCTCCGCGACTGCGCGCTTGAGGTTGGGCAACGTCTCCCACAGATAGCTGGGCACTTCCGTAACTCATATATCAACTTCGACGGCACACAGGATATCTTCTGTGACGCTATGACGAGTAGCGATATGTATATTGAGGCAGGAGGAGAGTTGAATCCACCTCTTGTAGTAAATAGTTGTTGAACTTGTAGTAGGAGAAGTAGGAGAAGAAAAACATGAATAATGCCTGTATTTACAACCTCAAGTCAGGCCTATAGTGAAATAAATCGTATCCGTGGCGTATCAAAGTGCTCTGCTACCTACCTAACGGTCTTTGGGTTGATCCTCCCGGGTGTTGCAGGGCAGCTCACATCCACAAGCAAAGCTTTCCGCTAGCAGTAGTCGCTGCTATTTATCCTAGTTTAACCTCCTCTTCCTCTTGGGTATAAGGCGACGATATATAGTCTGAGACTTCGATCGGATTTTGTTCGGTATTAGGAGGAAGGATTGGTGGCGGCGGCGAGGAGACGAAGAGGTCTAATTCTAGTTTCTGGTTAGTTGACGCCGTCACTTCCGTCAATATTACTCACCACCTCGACCAAACTCAATATCGCCAGTTGGCAGCGGTGAGGAGATCCTACCCGCTGGAACGCTTATTTCGCCTACTTTACTAGCGCTTCGTTCGATATTGCCTGTTTCTCCGAATCGCTCGTCAAAAAGTCGGTTATACACTTCGTCTTCAACCTCACGGTCAACTGCTGGCTTTTTCGTTGCCTGTACGAGTGATTGTACAGCGGCGAGAGGTTCGCTCTGTTGGAGGTAAAATTGCTGTGTTGTAGTGAAAAGTTTGATCGATTTTCTCACTGCTGCGGTAAGTTGTGGTGAAAACCCTACCTCCTTGAACCAGCTGTCTGGGTAATCACGAATAACGCGGAGACTGACTATTGAAGCCTTTAACGGAGTAAATTTCACTTCGTCAATACCCAACTTCTTGCCGTTCACAGCTAGAAACCACGAAACGAACTCATCAACTTGGCGTGTTGCTTTTGAGGGCGAATCAGGAACAACTGGCGACGAAGAACGAATCGGAGCCTCTACTTGCCGACGGGCAGAGTAATCACCTGACTGCGGTTGAAATTGAGGCTCAAGATCCCAATATTGGGGCGGCATCGTTGGCGGCGGCAACTTTGGCCAATATTGCGTTGGGCCGCCTGGCGGAGGTAGGCCATAGAAGTTGACTACTGCGCTATTATTATTGGCAGTATTTGCTGGGTCTTGTGTGTCTGAAAGCCCTCTATTAGCAGACTTTTCACCTAGGCTATTTTGGCCTCCTCGATTTGCTGATTTATCGGGCTTTTTCATATCGCGTTGTTCACGCTGAACAAGATCAACAATTAGGCGGGCAGGCGGGTTTGATATTGATACGCCTTCCTCGCCCTTCTGAATAGCTTCTTGCCACTTCTCGAAATCAAATACGGTCAGTTTATAGTGTTTTCTTGCGTTGACCCAGCACCAGTTAACTGTTGGATCAGCTGACGAGGTATTCTGACAGGTTGCTGAATCGTTACACTGATTATGGCGAAGAAGGTCTCGAAATAACTTCCTCTTTCGATCGCCTTCTGTTTCAATCGCTTGAAGCATCGTATTTGTTACAGTCTGACGTTGACTAAGTCGAGACGGTCGCCCTCGTGGTGATCCTACGCCTTCTAGCTCTCCTACTGCGGCTACAGTAGGAGTGACAGAGTAGGCCAGTTCAACATCGAGAAGAACCTCACCAAGGCGACTATTCTCGATAATTTGCTTCGAAATATCATACCATGGAACAACCGGCCAGTTGCCACTGTCAACAGCGAATTCTTCGCGGTATACAATAGTTACTGCTTTTAATCCTATTCTTCTCCAGGCGATTTTCGTGGTAATCCAGCTCTTCTCGATATTATATTGTGCCCTTAAACGGGCGTCGATTCGCTTCGCCAAATCCCTCTCGATTTTCGACCACTGGATAATCAACTTATGACCAACTTCGCTCTCCTCGTCAAATATCCACTTGTATATAGTCTCAGGAAGCTTTGGCGGCGAGCGACCGCCTGAGAAGAGAGGAGTATACGTAACAGTTAAATTGATTGACTGTGGTTGCGTTCGTCGAGGAGTTGGGGTATCAGGTAAAGGCCGTCGACCAGGCCTTGCCGGCGTAACAGCAAAAGGATCCTCATCGAGGTTGAGGTTATATTGAAGTCGCTGGCCCGGCGTTGACTGCCCAATAGCTTGGTGTTCATAGTGGCCTGCCGGTTGGGTTTCCTCGACTTCGTCAACTTCGAGGTTTTGTTGAGTTATTCCTGTCTCTGTTTCTGCTAACTGAGCAACCCTCTGGGCTGGGGAAGGGATCACCACTACCCGACGGCGTCGAGGTGGCTTAACTGGGGTCTTCGCTGGCTCTGACGCCTGCGCCCTCGCCCTCGCCCTCGTACGTACGATAACTACCCTCGACGGCGAGCCGGTTGTTGTATTCGTCTCTAGGGCTTTTGCTGTTTTCAATCGCTTTCGCTTCGCCGGCCCAGTGGTATTATCAATTGAGGGGGCCCGAGCCCGCCGAGGAGGCATCACGAAAAGCTTTTCACGAGATATTGTAATTTACAGAGATTTCACTACGTGGGCCCCACGAAAGTGGCCCAATTGGGCTACAGTGGCCAGTTTACACCAGTTGGGCCAGTTGGGCCAGTTTGACCCCTGTTGTGATAGTTTACTGATTTTCGGGGTTAATAGGCTAAAATCCGATTTTTGGACGCTGCCAGCGAAACGGACTGTAATAGTGCCCTAGACCAATCACATTACTCCATCCCAATTGACCATCTTCAAGATGTCGGGAGGGCACAGGGCCTTGGATTCCAGCTCACCTTATCATTACAATATCTTTTTGCCTCAGAGGTCGATGCAGTTGCCAATGTGCCAAGGTTAAAACTACATCCACGATAATAAGAGTCAAAGTAGTAGCATCGACGTAATCGGTCATTCACGGGGAGGTGCCCGAAAGTGTGTTGCCAGAGCCCAAAAGCGCAAACCCAAAGTCCAGGGAATCCGGATAAGTCGCTATTTTTCAGCTTGCTAAAGCTGTAAATGCATTCCATTTCGTGGCACTCTTGAATGGTCTGTGCCAAAATGCTGCAAAAACGAGCTACGGACGGCATTTTCACTTGCAACTCAGTAATCAAACACAAAAGTCAAATCTTAAGGCTTCTTCCGTCTCCGATGATATTACATCGACTTCTCATAGACGTGCCTCCCCAAGCAAATCAACCTCAGTCCAAACAAAATATTTCTATGAATAAAGAAGCTGTCGCTTCAATCATTTGGTTCCAGCAAGTGGCGACAAAAGAGAAGACGCCTGCTCCCCACTGGTCCCATTGCTCTGAGAGCGCCCCCGAAGCTTGATACTCTGGTCTTGAGGCCGCCTCTTTCTACGAAAGAATATTCCAAACGTAAACACGTTTGCAAGTCTCGCCCATAGAGGTCGAGCGTCCACGTCCCTCTCACCCTCAACTTCCACTCCGTCCGGTGCGAGATAAACATTATACTCCCTTGGCAGAAACCGTCCGGGGTGCCAGATATTCCAAATAAGCGAGTTGACCAGCATCAGAGTCGCCTCAAAGATGTAAAAGTAGACCTCGTATCGCAAGATGGGACTCAGTTGCCTTAGGGCCTCCATATTGTCGAGATCGACCTTGGTGCTTCCGGTGTGCTCCACCAGTCGATAGATGCAACGGACAAAGATCAGGGCCATGCTCGTATAGAGCACAAATAGCATTGTCGTGACGGAGCGGGAGCGTATCTTGGTCCGAGAAACGCGAGAGTGGAAAAGCGCGGCGAGGCAGACAAATGTTATAATGAGGGCGACTTGTATGCCGATGGCGGCTACCGTGAGATGGCTACCGAGCGTCTGTGTCTGGGGCTTGGAAGCGGGGTTGGCGGACATAGAGACTCCGAGAGCGTTGAGAAGCTCGACGACGGCCATGAGCCCTCCGAATATAGCCAAGACATTACCTGGAGGGAGCGGCGCACAGTGGGGGACGTAATAGAAAATCCGGCCGAGGACGTGATAGTTTGCGAGTTCGAGAAGGGGACTGCAGTGTAAAAGCATTGATCAGTGGCGGTTCTCGACGTTTATCCAAGTACTCGGTTACATACGGACAGACATAGATGAAGACCTGGCTGAAGATGAAGACCAAAAGGGGGGCTATTGTCGATTTGCTATAAAGGTAGTTGTACGATCCCCACTCGCGTAGAGAGTAGCCAGCCGTGAACAAGATCGCACAGGCAGGGTGCAGGCCGATTAGCTTGAAGGCTTTATAACGGCTATACAATTTTAAGAAGATAGCTCCAAGTACGTTGAGTAGAGAAATACGTACTAGCATTGCCAGACGTGGAAGACGGCCGAAACACCATACAGGACGATGAACACGATGGGCGCCCATTTGTTAGGGGCGTAGACGTACAGACTGTAGAGTACTATAAGCCGAGTCAGCTCAAGTGATCTAGGTAGACAAATAATGTCATACTAGGTTCTCCCGAAGCCATAGTGAGGTGTCCCAGAAGATTAAATCGAATTTCTTCTCTTTGGATAACGGAGTCGGTGAATGCGCGAGGTTGACAGCAGAGCCCTGGTTTTGCCTTCCTTAGGAATAAGACAACGACATGATGATCAGGTCGCCAAAGGTGGTATTAATGCACCTTTTAAAGAAATACAGATAAGAAAATCCAGGCTGCCAATATCACTGCCATGTCGTCTCCTCTCTCTTCAACATGACAAGCTCTTCACTTACACGAGATGGCGCTTTACCCAAATAGGATAACAAAATCGCCAAGAAATGGGATCGTCAGCCATGTCGATACCTCTCAGAGCCACAGTTTACGAGTGCTTCCACTGACGCTAATACCAATGAGGAGACTACGGATGCCAAGGCAAAGGAGTTCGGTCTCTAGCCATGATGTCTTTTGCCGTGCCGGCTGGGTCGGAGAATGTATTTGGCTGGTAATGCGGTAGGCGGCCACTTCGGTCCAAGCGCTTTAACCCGCGTCTTTTGTTTCCCCTTCAGCCTCTCCATTTACATTTGCTCCAAATGCCGTAAAGCAAGTGGTCTTACATTTACAATCGTGCTAAACGATAAGCTATGCCCGCAGGATATCGTACACTGTTGAATTTTTGGGCAACACAACTACGAACGCCTAGTGAGAGCCTTCTTGTCGATGGCTTCTTTCCAGTCTATAGGAGCAAGACAATTGTGACAGGAAAAATAAAAGAAAGAAAGGGTGAAACTTAGGATTTGGAGCATTACTATGTAGCGGTCTGATAATAGAACATAAACACATCTTCCTCGACCTGCCATCTGCGGATAGAATTAGGACTCCGACCAATTCAAAAAACTGCTCGTAGCTTTTCTTCCCACCGAACAAGCCATCATCTCATATAGACAGCCTATTTTACCACTCTGGCTTATTCCAAAACACGGCCTGCAGTTGCGGCGCCGCTCTTGTCGCGCGTCTCAGTCTTCTTCAATGATCGACCCATCTGGATCTCGCTGAGGAAGCCGGCCGGCCGTCCGCCTCCCGACGGGGCGGACGGGGCATCATCCATGGGCGGGGGAGGAGGTGGTGGCGGTGGCGCCCCCATGCCCGGCGGCGGCGGCGGAGGAGGGGGAGGACCACCTGGGGCGGCAGCAGGAGGCATAGGTGGCGGTGGCGGGGCGGGGGCCGCCGGAGCCTCGGGCGCCGGGCCTGGAGGGGGAGGGGGAGCACTAGAGCCGGGCATGGGAGGAGGAGGCGGGGGGGACGAGGGGGATGCTTCACTGCCGACGACCGGGCTGACAGGGTTGGATGTGGGCTTATCGCCAGTGGCCGACAGCGGCCGAGGTGGTGCCATGGTGCCGAACAGGATGGAAGCAAGGGCGGCGGCGCTGCTGCCACCGGGACGGTCATCATCATCGGAGTCTTCCTCCTCATCCTTATCCGTGCCCCAGCCGTCGTCATCATCATCAGGACGCTTGCGAGAGAACGGTCCAGAGGGAGCAGGGGGGGCGGGAGCAGAAGACGCAGGTGCAGCCTTGCTCTCCTGGGTCATACGATGGAACGGGTTGGTCGACACGTCGGGTGCAGCCGCTGGCGGCGGCGGCGGCGGCGCGGCCGCAGGTGGGGCCGGCTCACTGGGGGCCGAAGTCGATTCGGAAGAGTGCGAGAGCATACGGAAGTATGGGTTGCGGCTCTCGTTCTCTGTGGGGGGGCTAGTAACCACAGTTGGAACAGGGGGCGGCGAGGGTTGCTTCTCCAGCTCTTGGCTGCTAATCTGGCTGCCACCCTGGGTAGGAGTCGACGCCTGAGGAGTGATTTGGGCTGGGCCGTCCTCGTCGTCAGAAGAGCTATCATCATCATTCAAGGCTTCGAGCTGGCGTTGAAGCTCCAGCTCGCGTTGCCGAGCCGCTTCAATCTCGGCTCTCTGAGCAGCAAGCTTGGACTCCTTCTCCTTGGCCTCGGCCAGGGCCGCCTTCTTCTTGCGCTTCTCTTCCTCCTTCTTGAGCTTGCCCTGCTTGACTTGCTCCTCGAGAGCCTTGAGACGGGCTTCAGCAGCAGAACGCTCCTTCTCGACCTCGTTCTCCGCCTCCTTTGCGTTGGCCCTGTACGTTGTTAGTCATCTGTTCTATTGATTCGGTGCAAAATTCACTCACTCCATCTCCTGGGTAGCACGCTGTTGCTCTTCATGTTCTCTGGCAAGACGCTCCTCCTCTGCCTGTTTGGCAGCGTGTTCCTCCTCAGCCTTGCGCGAAGCGTCTCTGTCAGTGGTGTCACCCTTGGCACCCTTCCTCGAAGGCGGCGGCGGCGGCTTCTTGCTGCTGGCTGAGGCTGGTGCTGGGGCACCTGTTTCTTCCGCAAGGCGTGCCTGGCGCTCAGCTTCACGGCGCTCATCCTCCTCCTCGGCCTGGCGCAGCTTAGCAGCACGTTCGGCTCTTTCACGCTCCATTCTCTGGGCAGCCGTCTCACCAGGCTTACTGGGAGCCTTGATGCCCAAAGCTGCAAGTCTTTCAGCCATGCGTTGCTCAGCCTGCTGCTTGATGAAGGCTGCTCGCTCTTCAGGGGTCTTATAAGACGAGTATGAGCCTCCGCCAGCGCTTGACGGAGTGGCGGTACGGGACGGAGGAGCGGGGCTCTCGTGACGAGCTGCCGGTGCCGGCGAAGCGCGGGAAGCCGCAGCCGGAGATCTGGACGTGGTGCGTTTGTCCTGGGCTCTAACACGCGCGGCACGGCTTGACCGCTGGAGATCAAAGATGAAGTCTCTGACCTCCTCCTCAACACCGAGGGCATCCTCCCAGCGTCGCTTCTCGTGTTCATTGGTAGCGGTTGCGTTACCTTCCTTCAGGCTATCTTCAATGCCACGAGCAAAGTCACGCACGGAGTCTTCAACGTCCCTGACCATGCTTTCGTTGTTCTCCTTCTCGGTCTTGACCTTGAGCGTCTCCTCCTCCAAGCGCTTAGGTCCCTCGAGATCATCAAAGCTCGACTCGACCTTCTTGCCTGTCAGAGCCGCTGTGCGCTGCTGCATCATAGCCTTGGCCCTGGCCTTAAGTCTGTCAGACTCCGTGACAGCACCACCAGGTCCAGTTCCAACGATGGTAGATGCACTGCCGGGGTGGGCCTTGGCATCTTTGAGCCTGAAGAGCTCGAGTCTTGCATCTGCGATAGCCTTCTCCGTCTTACGAACTGCAGAAGCCAGTTCAGGAACCTTGTCCGTCAGAGTTTGGAGCTGGCGCTTCAGAGCGCGTCTCTCAGCGTCCGAGTCTCCCGAGATAAGTGCGGCGTCGGGGTGAGCATCAATATCGTCCTGGATGCGGCGGATACGGCGATACAGCTCCTCGGCTTCCCGACGGTCACGTCTGTCAAGCATGTCGTCCTCCTCCAAGTTCTTCTCGTCCGCAAAGTCCATAGCATCAAGGAGCACTTCTTTCTCCCGGATCTTCTTGCGAAGCTGGTCAAGGTTCAGGTCCTCGTAGGTAGAGGAGGCAGGAGATTCAGGGCGCGGCGAGTTGTTGCCGACGCGACGGCGGGCGCTAGACTTGTAGCCGACCTGGTCATCGTTGTTCTTGAACACAGTGGCATCCTTACGCCCACTGTTCAGGCCAGCAGGAGTGCCGCGAAGGGAGTGGCTCTTCATATAACTGACTCCAGTCTTTTGGGGAAGGAGTGCAGCGCCAGACTTGTTGCGGAACTCAGACTCCTGGCTCAACATGGATCTGATAGTGCCAATCGATTCGTTAATGTTTCTCGTGGAAGGAGGAACGAGCTCAGGCGGCAAGCTGTTGGGAATGGGATAACCGTTGAGCTTTCGGTAGATCAAATGCATGGCAACTGCGAATTCGTCCAGGTTCAAGCGACCCTTGTTACCATTGTCCGCCAGAGTCCAAACACGCTCAAGGTCCGGCTTGTCAAGACCACTTTGGCCAAAGATCTCGATGGCCTGGTCTCCGCCAATGAAACCCTTGTGAAGGCCGTCCCAAGCCTTGAAAAGAGCATCGTAACGTTGCTTCTCGTCCTTGGTGATCGCCCATGGAATAACCGCATTGCCCTGAAGACCCTGAGTGGTAAAGCTCTGCTGCTCGCGGCCCTGCTGGGGCATCATTCTAGCCTGCAAAGCATCGATATTCGGCAAACCAGTTGAGGGAGTGTTCACAAGACCCCATTGGCCCGGACGACCTGTCGGCTGCGCATTCAGAGGCGCAGCCATGGGTCCTCCACCGGGAGTGAGGTTATTGCCAAAGCCAGTGGGCATGGGGGGCATGGGAGGGCGAGGACCCGTGTAACCAGTGGCTTGCGGGTTGACGCCAGGGAAGCCAGTCTGCTGAGGTTGCAAGCCCTGGGGCTGTCCGAAGCCCTGCTGTTGGCCAGGGAATCCAGTCATTTGTGCCTGCAGCAGTTGAGAGTTCGAGGGCTGAGGCTGAGGCTGGTGAATCGTAGGCTCCGTGCTCGATCGGCCGGTGGTATTGCTACCAGGAGTGGCACGGCCGGCATCCTCAGCAATGCTGAAGTTGATTATGTCCACCATGCTGGATACTTCGTTCTTGATAGTCTCGGGCAGCGTGGGGGGCAAGGCCTTTCCGTTACGCTTCAAGTTGCACAAATACATTGCGAGGGCGAACTCGGGGAAATGAAGTTGTCCGGATCGAGTGGTGTCGGCGAGTGTCCTTTAGGAAACGTGTGAATGCCCGTTCAGATTAAGTTAGACATGGGGAACTTACCAAATGTGTGAAAGAGAGTCACCATCCAGCTGCGACCTCAGCAACAGGTCCCTTGCCTTGTCTCCAGACATGGTAGTCTCTTGGCCGTCGCCAACCGCAGACTTGAACAACGCCTCGAACTTGCCCTGGTCTTGGGCAGTGATGAAAGACAACCGAATGTTCGGGATCTTGTTGGAAGCCTTCGGGCGACGACCAGCCGGCTTAGGTGTGCCTCCAGTTTGGAACGACGCGGCCATCTGGCTGAAGCCAGTGGCCTGCGGCTTGATAGGAGCCGGGGACGGGGTCGTGGTCGACTGCTGGAAGCCAGTCGGCTGAGGTTGTTGCGGCTGGGGGAAACCAGTCTGCTGGGGCTGCTGAGGCTGTGCGAAGCCGGTCGGTTGAGGCTGCTGCTGCTGCTGAGAGCCAGGGAATCCAGTCTGTTGCGGCTGCTGTTGTTGCTGTTGCTGGAACTGCTGCTGGAACTGCGGGGGGATCGAAGGCATCGGCGGCGCGCCGGTCTGGAAGCTCTGCTGAGGCTGGGCCTGACCAGCGAACCCAGTCTGTTGGGGTTGAAGCTGCTGTCCGAAGCCAGTAGGTTGGGGTTGGAGCTGTTGACCAAAGCCGGTCGGCTGAGGCTGCTGCTGTTGTGCCATGCCTGGGAAGCCGGTATACTGCTGTTGCAGAGGCGCCTGACCAAAGCCTGTGGGCTGAGGAGCAAACGGACTTGGCTGCTGCTGCTGCTGCTGCTGTCCTGGCTGTCCGCCTCCCATGCCGAAAGAGCTTCCATATTGCTGCGCGCCGGGCCGTTGACTGTTTCCGCCCAGGAAGGCGTTCGAGTTCGAGTACATGACGGGCGGTTGGGCCGACAGTAGGTCGGGCTCGGAGACTCCTGAAGACGATAAGCGCTGACGGGGGTACAGCCGATGGACTAATTGAGGACAAAGGTCACGAGCGGAGGGTCTCCGTCGATCGAGAGATTTGAGGTATATCCAATTCTATGTGGATGTTGAGGATTGCTGTCGCGGGAAATGAAAGACGACAGGCTGGAAGGAACGACTGCGTGGATGACGAAGCTCTCGCGAGTGTCCAGCTTGACACGGGGGTTTCAGCAGGAAGGTGCGGCCGACGGCTTGAACGGGGGGGGCAGTAAAGTGGTTGGTAGCCAGTTGGAACCTGGCAGTAGAACGAGCAGGGATCTGTCAGTGACCAAATGTGGCTTGGGGCGGGTGGGTCTTTTATTGCAGAACATTACGTTACGCTGCTGCATGGCCTGGAACGGCCAATTGCATCAAGTCATGCATATGCCTTTAGCGAAAATGTACCTCAGTTTTTGTTGGTGTTTGCAAACGGCGACGGAATACTACGTAGTAGTCGAAATCAAGTCCAGGTTCATGCTGGGCTTTGTTTTTTTTTTCTTTTTTTTCTTCTTCAGATTGGTCGGAACAGATAAAACTCTGCCTAGCAGCTTTGTTGATCTTCTTTGCATATAGTCCTCGAACTCTGATGGTCTCTTACTCACTCTCCAACTTAATGCACTAGCCGGCGGGGAGGCAAACCCAACCACACATCTGCCTCTATGCGCCCAAGGTGCCACTCGGTCCTTACTGAACGCCATGACGATGCGCGAGCGGCTTCTCCAGTAATCCACAATACTAACGTGCCCGCCCTCTGGTGGACTCGGCCGGCACTGCCGCATTACTGTCCCTCTGATGACCAAGAGAGCGCTCCTCAAGCTGCACCACCAGCAAGGAAATCGGCCAACTTTATTCCTACTGGCTTAAACACACACAGCTCCAACCATTACCGTAGAGGTTGCCCCATATAATGTTATGTTTTTGGCTGCCTGCTCCCCGCACAGTCGGGTACTTGCGACAGGGAGATGGCGGCATGCATTAGAAGGCATCGGTACAAACGTGCCGCCTGCACTGCATATCGCCAGGGATGAAGAATAACGGGCGGTCCGTCGCGGAGTGAAACCTTTCAGCCTCGACACAGCGGGAATCTGACACATCCGACCTTGGCCGAACCTGCGGCCCCCACGGCGGGGTAGGAGGTAATGGTCAAACCCTTCCGGCTCCGGGTGGGGCACCGGATGTCCAGCCGTCATGCGTGCCAACGGGAGCTACGCCAGTTCCGCGGATGTGACTATTGCTCGAGTTGAATGATATTGGCCGTTCCTGCGTTTACCAGAATATGATGGTATTAAGTGTCGCATTAGGCATGGAGTCAGGTAATGATCCTTTTAAGCTATTACGTAGTCCAACATTGTCAGACAATCAGGGTTGCACTTTTTATATTTGGCAATCGTCAAACATCAGGCTTGTTTCCCATCGCGCTGAGGACTCCTCACCCAAGTTGTATTCATTAGGGGGGGGGGGGGTTCGTCAGATTGTGGAGGTGCTACTAAAGAAGCCAATTCTCGCTATCCGCTCCCATAACTAAGAGTGTGCTGGCAAGAAAACCCGCCAATGGTAAAATTGTATGTTTTCTAGCCTGTTAAGTGGTGCCTGTGTCTTCAAGTTGTACCAGTTAAACAGGCCCGTGGCTCATGCAGAGGTTATCATTGATAGTATTTATGCTGAGCGACTAGTACCTAGAACAAAATATGACAAGACGAGCGTGTACAGAAGAAACCCGTGTAAGTTTATTCAATAATGTTATGCAACAACGCGACTCCCGGCATGCTACTCCTATCCCTCATCTCCACTGTATTCTTCGCCCAATTTATATGCATCCTACTTTGTCACCGGACCTGGTGCGAACTTCCATGCACACACGTCACTGACAAGTCCTTGTGAGTTCCACCATTCTGTTCTCATCTAACCATCCAACGCACCATATAAAGGTCACTCTTCACCGTTAATGGTGCCCCGTATAAGGCGTGAAGACACATAACCATGTTCGAATTACCTCTTTTCTAAGACTCTCCAAGTCCTCGATTTCCCTACTCGTCTACAACGACCCCTAGGCAACCAGCACAGCCACTCGATCCACGGAACCATTTCCCCTTCGCCTTTCCCAGGCAAGTTTACCGGTGCCTCCGGGGCCTGCCTCATCCATCCGGGTCTTCCGCTGCCCACGCCCTTTCAATATCGGTTGCGTCTTAGACTATATGCTCCAGTCAATGCTGTGCACTGAGTCATCATGAGCTAAATCACAATTGGAAGTAACCGAGTTCGCTCCCCCTTCTCCCCATATTGAATAGATGGCCGGGAGATAGAGTAGGGATTGAGGGGTCACATTTGAATGAGCCTTCTCTTCAACGTACAAAGTTGCACATTCCACTCAAGTCCAACAGGCCGTTGCAGCGTAGGCGCATAAGATGAGGTGCCCTCACGTGTCGTTATGTAATGCCTCTTTCGGAAGGGACACCTTAAACTCACAGGAGTGACGGACAGTACAGGTAAATCTCACAAATTATGTATTATAGGTGAGAAGCTAGCTACCTTCCAGGTATATCAACCATCGGCTCAGACACACAGTATCCTACACAATATAGTTCCTTCGCCCAAAATGCATGGTACCCAACGAGTGACCCAGCAGAACGCCAAACAATGTGTTCCCGACGCATCCAATACTAGTTCTTGCGAGTCTGGGTATCAATCCCGCGAATAATGCCCAAATGTGCCTTTCAAAACGCCATACTGATTAAATCAATCAAAAAGATCCGTTGCCGTCGCTTGGTGTCTAAAAGTAGTTTTCCCCATAAGAGTTGAGAGAGAGAAGCATGGATTGCGTCCCTGATTCGTTTTTTCATTAATTTATTCCGTTTCTTTCATATTTTTTTGTAACTTTAATCATTTTACTGTTTAGTCGAGTCTCGTGGTCGAAACGGAGGTCCCGTCTTTCCTGCCGACGTCTTGGGGTTGCACTTGCGTCGGGTCGTCGAGGTTGAATCCGTGTTCGATCATGTGTTTCAACAAATCAAGGTCGAAGTCGCCGAAGGACTCTTCCAGGATCTGAGGTTCGCTGTAGGTGCTTAGCGCACTCGTAGATACGGCGTACTGTTTGCCGTTGTTTTCGTTAGGAACCCATTCAGGGGGCGTTGGCAGAGAGGAGGAGCCGCTGGCATTCTCGGTTGCAGGGCTGTCCATCACCTCCTCTGAGGATACGTGATGCGGCGCTGCCTTGAGTCCATAGTCTTCCCACTGTTCCAAGGGCGGGGTGTTGGCACCGAACATCATGCTGCCTCGGTAGCCAGCAGCCAGCATACTTCCACGGAAACCAGGCGTGTCCATGGGGGTAGGGCGCTTCTTCATAGCCTTTGCCGCAAGCCCGCCAAAAATGATGCTGAGATCATGCGCGATCCAGTCTGCCTCGGGATCCTCTGGCATCTCCCACTGCAGCCGAGCCATCTCGACTTCGTATGCCAGGGTGCGGTTTCTCTCGAGGATCTTGTCGATCTGAGCCGTCCTAGTGGTCCATTCGTCCTTCAGATTTTGCATCAAGGCGTTGTTCTTGTCCATCTCCATGGCAAAGTTATCAAAAGTTGCCTTAGAGAGCACCTTGGATGCGCGTCGGGCCCGAACCGCTGGCTGGCCTGTTGGCATTCCCACGTTCTGCACACTCGACTTGATGGCTCGGTTTAGTTCGGATCGGGAAAAGGGGCAAAACTCTTGAATAGAGGTGTTCTGTTCGAGGCTTCTGACCATGTGAGACAGGTTCGACAAGTTGAAGCTGTTCTCTTGTACATCGAGTGTCCGCAGAGTCTGGTTCATGTGAATTGCCTCTGCCAAGTCCCCAATGTTCATGTTCAACTTCTGGTTTCGAATTCGAAGATGGAGGAGCGTCTTGTTGCTAGCGAGCCCGGAAAGCGAACGGGAAAATCCCAGCCCCAGCTGACCCTCGTCTAACTTGGCCGAGTAACCAGAGAAATCGAGGTACTGGATCGACTCATTGGTGGCGAAGAAATCAGATACTGCCAAGCAAGCATCTTCGCTAACTTGTCCTGGAGTCGAAGTGCCGACGAGACTCAACAGGCGAATGGTCCGGTTGAGCGAGAGCGCCTTGATAATGCTGATGTAGTTGTCCTCATCCCTAAATTCAATCATTTCCATGAATAGCGACGTGGGTCCAAAGTTGTATGCGATGGCGGAAGTCAGGTCTTCCAACCCGTTTTCGATGTAGTTGCCGTTAATAGAGCAAACGAGTTCTCTGCCTTGACCCATGCTGCGGAAAAGATGCGCGATTTGGGCACCGGACATGCCGCAGTTGTTGAAGTCGAGCCTGCGCAGGTAAGCAGACTCGGGTGCCATCAGGTAGTCCGCAAGTATTTCCAGGGTAGCATTGTTCAGCTATATCAGGTCAGCATGGTGTCTCGCGCTCCGGCCTAAAGGGACTCACATTGATGTTCGAAAGATCCAGCTCTTCAAGCCCCCACCTCATTATTGCCTCATCGTAGAAGATGGGATCTGTGAATTGACTGAGGCAGTTGCCTGCGATGCTGAGCTTTCGAATGCAAGCAAAATGAGACAGATTGCTCTTGATAACCATATGATCGACATGGCCAATGTTTCGAGAAGTGTTGAGGGATTCCAACTTAAATCCTTGAGAAGGAAGTGCGTCCCAAATCTCCTCCAGGCTTCTCTCGTCTAGGTTGCATCGAGATATGTCCAGTTCCTTCAAGAGGTCAGGAATGTGGAGGACATCGACTACACCACTACGGTTAGCTTTGCATGGTTGCACACAAATTGGCTTCCTTACCAAGATCGTTAACTTCCGCTGCGGTGAGAGGATTGCCTCCCACCAACAGAGTATCGCAGTGGCTATTGCCAGTCCTCAGGAGAAGCAGAATGGGGCGAACAACTTCTGGCTCCTTCTTGGAACCTGCTCGACCTCGCGAAGCACCAATAATGTTCCGCGACGCAAGGACGTTGGTAAGATCGATCTTACGTATAGAGCCAGAGGTGAACGCGACGGCATGAATCTCTTGGGACAGCAAGGGCGCAGATCTGATGACATCCTTGTGTACACCATCGATAACAAGACCTGTTGAGATTAGTACCCAAATTATTCTCTGCGCTCATAGAAACTTACCATCTCGGGAAACATCTGCCACCGACTCTTCAAAACCCGGATGATCTGTCAGGCCACAGAGAGGTGCCAAGTCGACGTCACGGAACGACAGAGCCTTGAAGTAGTCGTTGTAGCGCAGGGACTTGAACACAGCCAGGAGTTGGAGAGCAGTGTATCCGCTGGGCTCCTTGGAAGGAAGGAGTCGGAATTCAGGGCAGTGCTCTCGGCGTTCGCACTTCCAATTAACGGTCCACTCGGGAGGTGGGCATCGGAACGTCGCACAGTATGCTTCAAGGGTTCGCTTGAGTCCACCGAAATCTTGACCTGAGGGAAGCAAAAGCTGGGCAGTAAGACCTCTGATATCAAATATATCTCTCTGCATATGCTGGGGCCAAGCCGGCTTTACCGCACGGTCAGCCTTCATGAATGTCATGACGATCTCCCTATACCAGCGACTGGCTAATTCCAGGCGTTTCTCAGGCTCGCATGGCAGGCTGGTGGCTGTATTAGTAGTTGCATCACATTGGGCAAGGCAGAACGGAACACATACCGGAAGCCAAGGACAAATCGTTCTTCGTGCGGAACCATGGTTGCCTTCAAACGGACCAACGATGTCAGGCCAAAGACTACGGTGTTGATGTCAATATCCTGCGGTGCTTTGTATACTGAAGTTCTCGCTACTCGAACAAAATAGCACTTGTTTTGACCAAGAAGCAGATAATGAGACGATCCATCACGGAACTTTTTGGAAACCTCAGCGCTGTCGGCTTTAGAGGTCAGGAGAGTGGTGCGTTGAACAACTGGGTAAATGTCCAGAGGAAGGCCGCGGCATGAAGGCTCCTCTGCAGCAACGATTTGATGGATGGCAGACTTAACGTTGGGAGCAACGATTCCTTTTGGCACAATTGTCGAGCCCACAGAATCACGGGTAGCACGACGAATCTCCGTCATCCAGTCTTCTCGCTCTGCAGGCAAACCAAAAAACAGTTTGGTGCATGTCCATGCCACTAGAGGCGCAATCTCTGACCACCAAACATCTAGCCCGAAGTGAGGACTTACGCCTTCTTCGTTGAAAATGTTGACAATCCTGCACAGTGGAATCTCAACACGACCATCACCAGATGACCCGTCCTGACTGAGCGAGGATGAGGTTGATGATCTCTTGAGGCGGCCTGAGGGAGGAGCCAGCTCGGCGAAATTGGCTCTCGCTGCCTCGGCACTGCTGAATTTGATCAGATGGCTTTCCGTCAGGACAATGTATTCGGCGCGTGACTTCCACAATCGAGCGTCGGTCTTGAGGGCTCCATGTTTGAGGATTCTGACAGGGTTAGGTTGGGGATGAGGGCTTAGATGGGTTGGCGTCTCCTCCGACATATGCGAGCTAGCGGATGAATCCTTGGATGCTCGACGGTTCAGGCGGTAGAAAATAGAGGATGAGTTTGAGCCGCCAGATCCTTGGTTCTTATGGAGGACTCGGCGGTTGTGGGTGCTAGACACGTTGGATGATTCGGACATGGCCGGGAGGTCGGTCGTAGAGGCGCTGCTGCTGACCTTCCTGAAGGTCTTTGCTAAGAAACTGCGACGTTTTCCTCCCAGAGTCGGCGTGGATACACTCCGCATCTCCAAGTGGCTCTTTTCCTGGCTCCGCGAGTCCCCATGGTGTGTCGTTTGAATGGTGGGCAGCACTGACTGTCGGCTGGCGACAGTGTCCATGGTCATAGTCGACAGATTTGATACGCAGAAGTTGAAATGATTCGAGTCCAGTATGTTCAGCTGTCGTCGGGCGATGCCTCGGCCTACTCGGGCCTACGAGGCCGTTAAGGTCGAGTATACGGTTATCGGGCCATGTAACGTTGTCCGCTGTTTAGGTCGTCGAAATCAATTGGCGGGATCGGGCGATAATACGACTCGAGACACACAAGTATGGGTGAGTGGGAAGTGGTGATGTCTCCGTCAACGAGACAATGAAGCGAAAGGCGCGGAACAAGGAAGAGAGGAGAAGGCAAGGCCAAGTCCAGCGGGAAAGGTATCAACAAAAGAAGAAGAGGGGGCGAGAAGAGGGTTTACAAAAGGAAGTGTGGATGGCGGAGGGTGGTAATAAGGGTCCCCCTCTGAGTCTATCTTGTCCGTAAGGACTAGTACCTGACCGGATGGAGGTGAGCAAGGAACAGGCTTTTGGTGAGGGAAGGTCTGCAGCAGAGGACCGACGAGCTAGCTAGCTTGCTCTGGAAGACAAGGGAACATGCGTGGAGGAGGGTAGCAACGGAGGGGCGTTTTGGTGTGTATAAATTTGGATGATTGGGTGGGTGCTTGCGGACGTCGGTCGGTCGAGGTGGAGGAGAGAATGAGACCAGGACTAAGACCTCTTACTGCTTGAGACGGATGTGGGAGAGACACACGGCGAGTCGGGGTCAAGCAAGGTATTCGGGGTAGCTTGGCCGAGAGATGTTGGTGCGTATGGTCGAAGAGTAAGTAGAAGAGTTGTAGGACCAGCCGATACGAAGGGACAATGTGTAATGGGCAGGTTAAGGTGAGTAAGTGATTTGTGATAAGGCAAAGGGAAAAACAACACAGGAAAATAAAAGGTAGAGGCAGATGTGAAAGGCAAAAAAGTCAGGCCAAGGTAAGGTCAGGTTAGTCAGTCAGGTCGGGATAGGTCAGGCAGGTATGGGAATGATGGGATCAAGATGGTGTTCGACGGCGCGGAAAGCAGCAAAAAGGGATAACAGGATACACCCAGCTATGGTTTGGGGGTGGGGAAGATGCTGCAAAAGAGCAAGAGAGAGGGAGAGCAAGGTACAGGGTGTGGCAGGGTAGCAGGGTGGCAGGCATTGGCACGGCATGGCATGGTGGGTTGCGAACATGGGAAGGTGTCCCGTACAGAATCCAGAGGACAAGGCCTGCCTTGATGCAGCTATGATGTTATCGATGCACATCCTGTTTTTGTCCCGAAACCGTCACCCAATGAGACTTACGCGGGGTTTCCTGGGCGCCGTTGTCTCTGGGTTGTACTGCTGACTGCTGACCGAGACCCTGTCCGCACCACCTCCCCCCGGCGATTCACCAAGCGTCCAATGAGAGCATGTGATTGGCCGGGAAGCTCTGGGCTTGCAGTTTTTTTTTTTTTTTTTTTTTTTTTTTTTCGTGATGTTTATGGAATTGGCTTTTTGTGTAAAGGAGATGTCCGAACAGCCCGGCATGGTGCTTCCCTCCTCTTGTTTAAACCCCGCTCGTTCTCTTTTTCAGATGGGCATGGATATCTGGTTGACCTGCCAGCTGAAAAGAAGGTCAGGTCATGGGGCATGGGCGCAAGCGCGCACACACACACACCCGCAAATCCAGCGATGTTTTGTTCGCAGCTTATTTTATGTTTCAACCCTTGATGAATTCCTCTCTTGAAACCCTCTCGCTCTCTGTATGTACTGATATGAACATACGGATACTGTCCGCCATTATGCATACACAGATATGTACAGTTGACGTGGGTCATGTCCTGAAGGGAGGTGGGCCACCAAGGACTTGGCTAACAAGGCCCGGCAGCTTTGCAGCTCTCAAGCTCTGCATATCAGTCATTCCTGGAGATGAGCCCTGTATGGCGCTTCCGTAGTATGCCTCCCCACTAACACACGCCTCACTTACTGTATATGTAGCATCTCAGGCCACGATGCTAGTGCTGGTACCAGCAGCTTCTTCCGGCGCCGTCTCCATTTTCCACATTTCCATCGCGTTCCGCTTCCACGTACAGCCACCACAATACCGCAGAACGCCACGACGCCGAGGTGGATTTATTGCTCCCCGTTACACGTCGACAATACGCAAGACTCGGCTACGTACGCAGCATGGCTGTGTGCAGTTGAGTCGTCCAACACAATCGGCAAGCCTACCTACTACCGGCCGGCACAATATTCAGCCTCCAAAAATACCAAAATACCTGCTCAATCATGCCCACCAAGCCGTCTGTGCAAACCGCTACTAGTCCACTGGCTGTGGATAATGGCTCGAGGGCCACTGTGGGCTACGGCTGATAGCGTCATGTTACCCTGGGAAAAATCACGAATGTATTAGTGCATAAACCCCCCATCCACCTTTCCATGCCGCGTATCCTTCTTCCTTCCATCGCCCGCCAGGATGCGGCCATGCCAATGGATGCCGCGAGCAGCTTCCTCTCGTTTTGAATGGCCCGGTGGCTCCATTCCCCTGCTGCCACACATGCTCGCACTAATGCCAAGCCATGTACGTCGCCCTTGGTCGCGCTTGGGAACCCAGCTGTCCATCCGCCTTTGATTCTCTCTCTCATGATGATCATCGATTGATTTGACCGTGATGGATCCCCCACTTATCGCTCATTACTGTGCGTTCTTTTTTCTTCCATGCCATTTTGTTTCTTCTTTGAATTTGAATTTGAGGCTCATGGGACCCGCGGAGAAACTAAGAGCCCGGTCAAGTCCGAAAATAAGGGTCGTTTCAAGCCACTTTCAATATCTAGCGAAATGGGGGCGCCCCGGCCAACTTCGATTTCTCCAAGATTGCCTCAAATTTGAAGCAATCTGGACAATCCTCAGCTTCGCACACTTTCCTTCTCTTGGCCGCCGCATATCCATCCGGCTGCGGTTATTCCGCGCCTTTAATATTGTGTCTCTCGAGACTATCGGTGCTTATCGCAAAAGCCCTCACGGTCTGCCCCCTGGTGCCTTCGAATAGACTTTTCCTGCCCGGGGAATGAGATAGATGAGGCAGGCTTGCCCAATTCCATACCTGGCCAGGCCTTGTCAGCCCCGTTTTATACGGATACGAGGGAGGGTTCTTTAGGGGGGCCCTTCATTTGTCTACAGCTTGTAGCACCGACCGGGCACAGCTGGCCTCCTCATATGCAAGAGACTCGAGGAGAAAAGACCATTGGGAGCAGAAATAATGCTGCCCGCCGTTGTACCGAGAACGAGCACGGAGGGACAAGAATGAAAGTTCGGCAAGATATCCGACAACGGCACGACATTGCCAATCAGCTGGAGGGCTCGGTGTGGCTGCTAACGTCATCATACCACACAGCCGGTCTCGTATAGCAAGATATGATTTCAAAAAGCCCACGGGCGGTATGCAAAAGAAGGGGTGCGGCTATTCCTCTGGTGTTGTGCCCCCAATTCAAGGAGAGGACGAACCCCCAATTTCCCAGGTCCAAGGAATGGGATGCTCGGCGGCAACGCGATCGCCTGAACGACCAGCCTACAAAAATATGAAACCAACCCGCACCGGCCAATTTTGGGGCTTTGATGTGGGTTGGAGGCAACTTTGTCAAGATTGCGACTCGTCCCTGATCGTCGTCGGGACAGGGGACCATCCTTAAGCCACTACCGCACAATTTGTCCGCTGCTCGCTTGCGAACTCCTAGGCCTCAAGAATCGAGAGTGCAATCCCGCCTTGCCCGCCTAAGCCCGCTTTCCATCTCAGCCAAGCACAAATTAATCAAAAATGTCCCGGCGTTTCTGGAAATGACGGGGGTTTGTGTGTCCGTTGCCCTGAGCACGTCGTGAGTTATCCATTGAATATCCAGTTTATCTCAGTCTCAGGGTCTCAGGGTCTCTCCAAACGCAAATCAAAGGGGACATAAGGGGTGCTGGGGGATGATGATAGGCACCGCATGTCACGACTCGACGCATACCACGCGGTGTAACATCGTGATAATCAGCACATGTCGCGCCCTGGCGCGATGCAGAGCACATACTGGCACGTTTTTTCCTTTTTCTTAAGCACAGAGGCACGGACCTCCCGTATCCAGCCCGACGGGTGCCCGGGGCGACAATGCTGCAAAAGCGGGGGCGCCCGGCACCGCTCATATCTCCGGCCGGTCTCGTTTTGACCACCGCTATCGGCCAAGACCCGTTTTATCCCACGCAGCTCAACTCGTAGCTTTACCTCCGTACTACGCTACTATCCTACGTTACCGCCCTACCCCAGAACACGTCTCCTGTTCTTGGCCTTTACATTCATGCGATGAACCTCAATCTGGTCGCATGAAACAAATATGCCTGGTCGAGTGAGACAAGAGTAGCCGCGCTGGCCGTGAGTTTAGAATCGGGCCAGGCGGATTTCCTAACGGGGTCCGCACGCCTGCCCGGATTCCCACCAACCCCCCGTGGTATGCCCAGAATCCTCATTCTTGCCTGAATCCTTTCGTCCTGTTAGTGTGTAATACTCAAGTATGTGGTTGCTTGCCGCTAAAACCACATGCCACATTTCACGTCTCTGCCCTGTCACTGGTTGCGGTGATGTCATTCTTGGATAACCAATTACTTTTTTTTTCTTTTCATCGATCGATCTCCTATGTAGCTCGTACGAGAGGTAGTAGTTGTAAGCTACTGCTTCGACGGACATTCGAACAGACAGGATCTTCTGTTCGGGTAGCTGGTTGGACCCGCCGTCGCGGTATTAGGTCGCCCACTTGGCTTCATTGACAGCTCGACCTTTACACGCATTCGAATGACAGCCTGGCGAAACTTTGGCGCCGTTGCTGCCGGCGCCTTGCCAAATGCATGCGGCTAACAGTTTTGGCACGGTGACCATTTCATCATTCAAATTTGATAGTTGGGTCTGTTCGCATCACACTATGCCCCTGACAGGAAGGGGGCTCAGCAGAGAAAAGATTAAGCTCTGAATAAATCACTCGAAGAGCCGTTGGATTGATCAAAGGGGTTTTCACATAGTTTCATCAAGATAGTAATTAGCTCAGTTCCCCGGTTCTCCGAGAAGCGCGTCGCGAAGCAAACGGCGGTGATGTCACGACGCGTCGAACCTCGGGGACACTCGTTATCGAGGGGTGTATCTCGCGTGCATACGAGCACTATGAAAGGTCTGGAGGAATCAAAGCCCTGCGGATCGACGTCCTCGCTTCTTGCAGCTGGCTGGATCTTCGCGTTGATCACTCTTTAGCGAAGTGAGAGTGGTGGACGCGGAGGGTACTGCGGTGATGTGGCGTCGTGGCTGAGGGGGCACTCGCCACATTCCAGCTCCAGCCATATCTCTCATGGGAGTAACCACGAGCCAGTGACGCTTTCAGTGTTCAGATGACCACGTTTATCTCACGAGCAGCTGTCTCGACTGGGGATCTTTAACTGTCATCGTTGTGGAATGATATGATTCTTAGTTGTCAATGATGACAAGGAATGTAATCTGTCGCAAGCTGTCGTATGCCTGGAATCTCGCCTCACCGCACAGCAAGCAAGCTAAAGGAGAAGGAATGGGTATTGGTCAGACATGGTACTTCCAGTCACCCAAAGATGGCGCTGCGGCAGCGGTATTCTACCAGCACTTGTAACGCTGAAGTCAATGGAATCGCTCGGTTCTCTTAGCAGTTCCGAGCAGGGGTTCCTTTCGACCATGATTGATATTCTGTCTCATCCGAATCACACTCTTAGGACTGCGGAAGCATGAACGTGTCGTCAATATATGGCGTCTCTTTATACGCTTTTCTGCGTTGTCGACATTGATGATGTCAAGACGGCCTATACCATCCCTTACCCAGGCCCTCCTTTCCTGCTTGAATAACGATGTGATGATGCTGGTTTTCAAGTAGGCTCGGTACCAATGAAAACTGCTTGTTTGTTGGCAATGCCCCAGATACTTTGAGTTAACTGGGTAATGCTCATGCGGAACTAACAATCGTTATGTTGTGCTTTCCTGTTCTTCGACCACAGGACTGGGCGGTGTCACCTACCTGCCACGAAACTCGCACCCTGCTTCAACTCCCTTCATCTCTCCTGTCGTTAGTATGTCGACGATGTTGGTTCTTTGTTCTTCTACTGATAATAACAGCTGACAATGTCAGCTTGTCTCGATGATGGTTGCATCTGTATGGAGTCTTTCGGTGCTGTCGTCGCATGGACCATTGAGGTGATGGCAATTTGGCTTTTCTATCGATATTGCTCAGTATGCTGTCTGACCAGGAACCTTTTCAGAGCATAACAACGTTGCCCGCCCCCCATTCTCATGCAGTATCCTCATCCTCTTCGTCATCGTTTTCGTTTTCGCTACTCGCTCGTGCTGGTCCAATGAACCTAGCACCACGGATGTACCGGGCCTGGCAAGCCTAACGAAGCCTTTTTTACAATTCTGCTGAGATTGGGAAGCTTCTTTGGGATTGGTTTGAGTTTGGTAAGAAACAGTGTCATTTGACTGTCAAGTTTCCGTGAATAGAGAATAGAGAGAGTCACGACCATCTCCAAAGTATCATCGAACGCAGCACTGGGGCCAGTACTTCACAACACTGATTGTGCCATATGGTTTCCCGAGAAGCATGTACATCATCAAGCCTTATTGTATCGTACACCAGGAAGATGATAAGTGGCCTAATACGATTAGTGATGCATTATATAGGAGGGTCCCTCAAAAGAGGCGGAGTTTCTTCTTGCCCAGTCAAAAATGTTCCTTCTGTCACATGAGGCCAACTCCCTCAAATCTGGCTCCACTGGTATCAAGATCCGGGTCATTGCTCATTTGGATGGTTGAAGTTGTGAACAGAATGAACTCATAGTATAATAACTTACATCTCCCAACCGGGCGGTTGAAGACACTGGTGGACCTCATGGCAATGGCACACCACAACAACGGGCGCCTAAAGAGCTCTCAAGATCGCTCCCTTGGCCTCCCCTCCAGCGGCGTGTGCATACTTAGGCTGGCAAGTGCACAGCATATAATAGATGCCCCTGGCAAAGGCACCAAAGATGCATCATGGCATCCTCTGCACAGCTTGCCAAGCTTGCTAATGAGCGCGAGTCTGTAAGCCATGCCGCACCTATTCTCTCTTCTACAGTGGCCATCTTAAAGCACAAGAAACCTATTGGTTTAAAGCGATCAGAAGCAAGAGTGACTGACACCGGCCAAGCTGGAACAACGCGGGGTGGCCGAATGTAGCCCGAATTTAATCCGAAAGGACTGTCGGAGGTTTGTAGACTACCCCGAAGTCGGGGTTTCTGCCTTTATGTGCCGTCGGATTAATTTGCCGTATTCGGCTCTGGGTTACGTGCCGCCCTCGGCCTCCACACCGCCGCCCTTGCAGCGGAAAGAAAGGCTTGACCGCTCGCCGTTCCGAGGGCTGGCAGAAATTCAGTAGCTCAACAAATTGGAGGGGCTGTCCCACCGCGATCGCATGATATTTGGTTGCACGCTCGCACTTACCAGATACGTGAGCTCCGTCTTTCCTTTACTCAGTTGACTGCGACAGATCTGCCACCGCAGCTGTTCTTCCGGTCAGTGCTCACTCCAATCTTACCAAAGCACCACGGGGAACTGTGAAACCAGCTAACTTGTCATTTTTTTCTTCTTCTCCAGGTCCGATCGAGCCGATAAGAAACTCCAGCTAGCTAGAGCCATTTTTCCCCATACACCCTTTCTGTGGAGAAAACAGCTTCCAGAACGCCGCTTTCAAGATGGCCGACTCGTTGACTTCCCGCACGTACTTTGACAACATCTACATCCCCGCTGGACTCCTCGTCCTCGGGGTGTACATCGTCAAGAGTGAATGGCTCGTGTACGCTGTTCCCCTGACGCTTGCTCTGGCCGCTTACAAGTTCAACTCCATGCGTGAGTCGAGTCCTCTCGGAACTATTCGGTATTAACCACTGACTCGACCCCGCGCGCAGAAATCAAGAAGGTTCTGAAGCCCGATGCCTTCCAGGACTTTGAGCTCAAGGAGAAGACCATTCTCTCTCACAACACCGCCATGTAGGTCCCCTCATACTGTATTCCGCGACTTTAGATCCGTCGCTGACAGCTCTCTAAGCTACCGCTTCGGTCTCCCCTCCGAGAAGCATGTCCTCGGTCTCCCCATCGGCCAGCACATCTCTATTGGCGCCGAATGCCCCCAGCCCGATGGCACCACCAAGGAGATCGTGCGCTCCTACACCCCCATCTCTGGCGACCACCAGCCCGGCTACTTTGACCTCTTGATCAAGTCCTACCCCACCGGTAACATCTCCAAGCACATGGCCTCGCTCAAGGTCGGCCAGACGCTCAAGGTCAAGGGTCCCAAGGGCGCTTTTGTCTACACTCCCAACATGGTCCGCCATTTTGGTATGATTGCTGGTGGCACCGGTATCACTCCCATGCTCCAGATCATCCGCGCTGTCATCCGCGGCCGCGCCGCCGGCGACAAGACTGAGATCGACCTCATTTTCGCCAACGTTACGCCCCAGGACATTCTGCTCAAGGAGGACCTTGACGCCTTAGCTAAGGAGGACAGCGGCTTCCGCGTGCACTACGTTCTGGACAGGCCCCCTGAGGGCTGGACCGGCGGCGTCGGCTATGTCACCGGCGACATGATCACCGTATGTCTTCCCAATAAACCTTGCTATTCCGCCAGAACTAACATCTGCTGTAGAAACTCCTCCCTAAGGCCGCCGATGATGTTAAGCTTCTGCTTTGCGGTCCCCCACCTATGGTCAGCGGCCTCAAGAAGACTGCCGAGAGCCTGGGCTTCAAGAAGGCTCGCCCTGTCAGCAAGCTCGAGGACCAGGTCTTCGCCTTCTAAATTAAAAAAATTAAAGTGGCTAGGTTTTTTTTATTAACCATAAGTGAGGAAATGGAGCGTAGCATAGCGAAGACAGCTCAAGGAGGCAATGTGTGGTTTGGCGTGTTAGATAGAGCTACTGTATGTCTGTTTTAGTTAACTGCTGTAAAAATGCGCCCCACCTTACATAAGGCAACGACCCGCAGCCCTGCATGTTGACGTAGAAAGTTGAGTGCAGTGCTATTTTGTGAACCCGCCTGCAACACCGACGCCTTTTCTGCCATTCTTTCAACCACAGGTGCAAAAACTGGCCACGCCTTTTACGCATCATGTCCGACAGCTCCAAGCCCTCAAGGATCGCGATTAGCTTCGGCGGCTCGTCGAGCTCAAAATCTAACAGCAAGAAATCCTCGCTCCCAGAACCACCCACGTCGCTGGGCAAGCGGTCTCGCACGAATGCGCTGAGCCGCGGCTTCGACTCGGACTCGGACGGCGAGCGTGACAACCACCGCAGCGGCCGACACGAGACGATCACAGAATTCGGCGGCGATACAGACAGAAAAGAGAAGAAACCTCGCGAGCTGGTCATCTCGAGTCAGAGCAATCGCAACTGGAAGGACGAACTACGTGCGCGCAGGAGAGGCGGCAAGAACCTGCTGCCTGCTGAGGCGCAAGCGCAGCAACAAGGCGCGTCGCAGCCGGAGACGGAGCCCGCAGACGCGGACAAGCAGATACAATGGGGTTTGACCATCAAGAAGCGCAAGACTAGTGAGGAGGCATCGGCGGACGAGGACTCACGACAACCCAGAGGGGACGATCGAAGATCTGAGGAGGCAGAAGAGAAGAAGCCACGTACGGCAGATGAAGATGCCATGGACGCGCTGCTTGGGAAGAAGCGTCCCCAAGAGGACATAGTGATTCCTGCTTCCGAGGAAGACGCCTATCGCTCGGATATGAAGCACGTGGGCGACGATTCGACACTCGCAGACTACGAGGCGATTCCGGATGGCGAGTTTGGCGCCGCTCTGCTACGTGGTATGGGCTGGGACGGAAAGATGCGCGGTCCAAATAAGAAGAGGCCGACTGAGAGGCGCCAGAACCAGCTTGGTCTGGGTGCGACGAAGCTTGAAGGCATGGAGGACCTGGGTCAATGGAACCATGGTGGGAAAAAGAAGAGCAGCCGGCCAAGGCTGGACGAATATCGTCGCGACGAGGAGAAGCGGCGTGCTGAGCGTAAGGAGCGCAGAGGAGAAAGTTACAGAGACGAGAGGGATCGTGAGAGGGAAAGGACTCGCGATGATCGAGACCGGCATTCGCATCGGGATAGGGATCGAGATAGAGACAGGGACCGCGACCACCATAGCCATAGACATCGCGATTACCGGCGGTGAGTTAGAGAGCCTGTTCGGGGCTCATGATATCTCAACTGCCTAATGAACATACCAAATTTGGAGCGTAGCCGACTCACTTATAACAGGTTCTTAGTTGACGCTGACGAGACAAGACGTTGTTGAAATCCTGTCGTACCTGGCATTTGCGAAACTTCATGCGGTTTTTGCTAACCATGTTATACTGCGAGCTCTCATCATGGCAATGACTTTTGAAATGCTGCACATTGCCACCAACCCTGGCTTTCGCTGCCAGATAGTGAATGACACAATATTGGCTATAGGCGCCGGTTACGAACCCCAGCCGATGCTGCTTCTGAATGAATATATCATATGTATGCTGTTCAGGTAAATAAATTTGCATAACGGTATCGTATTTCCCACCCAGCAGGATTGAGATCAACGCCATCGAATTAGGCAGGCTAATCAAGACTGAACCTTGATGACATTACTTCTACAGAGTAATACAAATGCTGTTAGTGGTTTAGCGGCTGGTGGCCGCAAAGGTACAAAGATCCTTGGTCCCTGAGATGCACCCGTCCGCCCCACCAAAGCTGGGCCCGCACCACTGCGGCAGCCCGGAACAGACACCTCGAAATTTGAGCTCTCAAACCACTTGGGCTGTTTACAACCAACTCTCTCTGTCTCTCTCTCAAGCCTGCCCATCTACAAGCAGCACACAACGTCGGTTTTCAACAGGGGCTGCTCCAGCTTCCTATAGTCCAATGGCCATCGAGTGCCGACCTTAATCTTATCCCTTTTATTTCTTTTTCTCTATTATTTCTTTTCCCACCCAATCAGCCGTATCCATCCGAACCTACTGCACAATGCCCCAGCAGCAGAAACCTCCCCGATCGAAGGCTGCGCCGCCGGCAGCCGACTACAAGGCCATTGCCGAGCAGTACGCGCGAGCGAAACGGCAAAAGGAGCTCGAGGAGGCTAGCCGAACCCCGGAAGAGAAACAGGCCGAGAAGGAGAGGGCAGCCCTGCTCGAGAAACAGCGTGAGGTCTTCGAGTCCCGGCGCAAGGACGCGTACGAGCGCAGGTGGTGGTGGACTGTCGGCTTTTGGGCGTGGGTGCTTATCTTGCACGTTGTTGGCATCTCATTCTTCATCAGCGGCTTCCTTTTGACGCGGCTGGTGCTGGATGAGAAGTCCAACTGCACGGCGCCGCCTTTGGAGCTCACGTCCAGCTGGAAGGGCCAAGGGACTGTTGAGGGCGGCTGCTGGCACCCCAAGTCATTCGACAAGACTGTTGTTGTTCTCATCGATGCGTTGCGATACGACTTTACGGTTCCCGTCGAGGATAATGCGCCGTTTCACAATGCGTTTCCTTTCATGTACGAGACTGCTGTCAAGTCTCCTGAGCATGCCTTCTTACGCCCCTTCATTGCTGACCCGCCGACGGCAACTCTTCAACGGTTGAAGGGTCTTACGACAGGCACGCTACCGACGTTTATTGACATTGGCAGCAGCTTTGGTGGGTCTGCCATTGATGAAGACAATCTACTCATGCAGTTGAAGGATGCCGGAAAGCGGATTGTGCATCTGGGAGACGATACCTGGCTGTCCTTATTCCCAGGCTACTTTGAAGCCAATGCCAGTAGGGCGTACGACAGCTTCAATGTCTGGGATCTTCACACCGTTGACAACGGGGTTATTGACCACATCTTCCCGCTCCTCAAGCAGGAGGAGAAGGGCAAGTGGGATCTGCTCATCGGTCACTTGCTCGGCGTTGACCATGCCGGCCACCGATACGGACCAGACCATGAGGCGATGACGGCGAAGCTCCAGCAAATGAACTCATTCATCCGTGACCTCGCTGCGGAAATCGATGATGACACTCTTCTTGTCGTGATGGGAGACCATGGTATGGACAGCAAGGGCGACCATGGTGGAGAGAGTGATGATGAGGTTGAGGCAGCACTCTGGATGTACTCGAAGCATCCTTTCTTTGGTCGAACAAAGCCCGAATTCAAAGAGCCTCCCAGCATGGCAAAAATTCGACCAGTCAACCAAATCGATCTTGTTCCGACCCTGTCGCTGCTTATGGGTATCCCCATCCCGTACAACAACCTGGGAAGACCCATTGAGGAGGCTTTTGCTGGAAAGAAGGGCAAGGCCTGGGATAATCTTGCATCTGTGTCGCGGGTGACTGCCGCTGGCATACAGCGATACCAAGACTCGTACTTCGCCGCCCGTGGCATTGACCAATCTAAGAGCGCCACCGCAGGACATGTCGCGCATCTTTGGAGGAAGGCAGACCGCTCATGGCAGTGGCAGTCGTATGAGCAGGCGTATGGCTTCTACAACATTTTCCAAGAGGAGACTCTCCGCATCTGCAAAGACCTCTGGGCTCGCTTCGATGTACCCAAAATGGTCACTGGTATTGTGGTCATGGCAGCTGGCGTTGTCACTCTTCTCGTCTACGCTTCCCGTGATGAAGAGGAGGACTTTGCTGTTCTTGACGACCTTGAGCTCGACCTGGCCGAGAAGAAGCTGGAGCTTCAGGGGATCAAGCCCGATTCTACTCCATCGTATAAGACCATTCACAAGAAGATCTTACTCGCCGCTATTCTTGGCGCCGTTCCTGGTGCGGCTGCTGGCGCTGGCTACTCCATTTTTACCACGCCCGAAGATCTCATCTACTCCGTTGCCGGTGCTGCTTTAACCAGTGCCATCGGTGTCTTGATCTCGCTGTCTGGCTTTGGAAAATCCGTTCTCAACCTTGTGCCTAACAACATCTGGGGCTGGCTCGCTGTCATCTTCACCGTAAGCCAGTCAATTGGCTTCGCTTCAAACTCGTACACTATCTGGGAGGACTCTATTCTTCTCTTCTTCATCACGACCTTCGGTGTGGTGAACGTTTTTGCGGCTTTCTCGGTGCCCACCATGAGAGAGCGTACTCTTGCAATCTACCATTCCGTCCTCTTCGTTGTTCTGGGCAGAGTTGCTTCTTTCTCCAAGCTCTGTCGAGAGGAGCAGATGCCATACTGCACCTCAACCTATTACGCCTCGGCCACCTCCTCGACCTCTGCCACGTGGCAGTTGGTCATTCCCTTCACTGTCGCCCTCATCCTGCCCTCCATCATCAAGTCCTTCCTTCTGCCATCGCGGTCGTGGGAGGGCCTTGCACCGGCCTGGATCGGATACGTATACCGTGTTGGTCTCTTCATGTCGGCCAGCTACTGGGTCCTCGACGCTGCCGACAACGGCGAGTGGTTCCCTAGCTTGCCAGCTCAGGCTCTCAAAACTACGGGTGTTTATCTCGCCCAAGTTATCCTTGCTCTAGTGTTCGTTGCCGGAACCACTGCGTTCGTTTGGGCACCGCCATTGGTCTCCATCTTGACAACACCGGGCAAGAACGGTAACACCCAAATCACTGTTTTGGGCTACGGCAACACCAATGGTGCTCGTTACCTCCTTCTGCCCATGAACATTGTTGGGGCCTGCATCCTCCTATCGAAACCCATGGGAGGCGGTGCACTGGCGCTCTTGTTCTGGCAGATTATGTCGCTCATGGAGATTATTGATCTGAACTCCCTGACAACGGAAGCCATCGGACCGGTCATGTTGGGTGTCCTCGGTAACTTTGGCTACTTCAAAACTGGTCACCAGGCAGTTCTCAGCAGCATCCAGTGGGATAGCGCATTCATTCCTCTCTTCTCCATTCGGTACCCTTGGACCCCGATCGTTGTGGCCCTGAACACTTTTGGCGCCCAGATTGTCGCGGTGGTTTCTATTCCTCTCATCGTGCTCTGGAAGGTCGGTCCTAAGAGGAAAGGCGTACTAGAGAGTGTCAGCAGGGCCATGGGTATCTTCATCGCCTACCTTGCTGTGGAGTCTCTTGCAACAATGGCATGGGCTGGCTGGCTGAGAAGACATCTCATGCTGTACAGAGTGTTCTGTCCTCGCTTCATGATGGCTGCAGCACTGCTGCTGATTATAGACATAGTTGCGCTTGTCATTACCTTTATCGGAGTCAGGTCCAACACACTGGCTGTAAGCGAGGTGTTTGGATGGACTGACTAAACCAATGTTGGATCCGGATTATAGAGAAATGGAAAAGAAAAAAGCAATCATGTTGTATTATTACAAACCTATTGGCATAGACAAACAGATCCAGAAACAGCGCTTTTGCACAAGGATGTAGAAGAACAAAGGATGAAGTCCGCTTTGGCGTCTGACTGGCTGCTTAGCGTCATCTCCCTACCTCGGTACCTTGCCACAGCATCCTAGCGGGTTCCAATGTTGAAGGGGCCAGGCTTGGGGTAAGGGCCATTTAGGTTGCGTCAAGAGACACACATGCTGTGAGAAGAAAAGAGAAAAGTGAATTGTAAAGCAGCGGATGTCTAGGGGGTCAAGACATTGCTCAATGGCAGTTCTCATTGCTCCTTGACAATGGCATCTTCCCATCCTGGAGCTGGGAGCTCCACTGCGAGCTTTGGTTGCATGCTACGTTGCTTATATAAGACGTCCCCCCCATTTCGATACCTCAAAGGTTTTCCCAGTACATCACCATACAGCTGCATAACCCAGACGTCAAGGTACTCTTGGAGCTCTCCAGTGTACTGGAACCTGTGCACGCCAACCCCACTTCGGTCGGTAATCAGCTTCCCAGGCAAAGCCAGACCTGCCGCATAGGGTGGCCCAGAGAGCACAGGGCACGTCTTGATCTAGGAATTGTGTAATTTTTTTGCCCTTCACCAAATTGCGCCTGGCCCAAAGCCTGAAGGCACCAAAAAAAAAAAGTATTCCTCACTTCACGACAACTGCAAACGAGCAGAAAAAAAATAAATCCTCCACTTCCTCTTCTCAGCAATCGCTCCGCTCCGCTTTAGCCCCCCTCCGACGAGAGAGATTTCGAGTAGACACACACGCACACACGAAAAACCCACTCTTTGAGCTAGGTTTTATCCCAGGTTGTCCTGAACTGTGCACATTCATTTTTTCTTCCCTCCCATCCATCCACGTCGCTCAGCTACGTTATCTCCGCACATCGCTTCCTGTCACGCGTCTCCATCCTCTACCCAGCCCGCCCCTCGCAACATCGTCAAAACCCTTTTTCCGGGCATCCTCGTTCCGTCATCACACCTTTCGAGTCAGTTCTGAGCGTTTCCTTTACGACCATCGCAGCTTAAGGTAAGATAAACACCACAATCTTACCATCTTTCCGCCCAAGCTACCTGCTTTTAACGCATCCCTCCATCTCCCTTCCCCCTCCTCCTCCATCTCCTCTCCTCTCATTGGCGCTTTTCGTCCATCTAACATTTCATCGCCGGACAAAGATCTATTTTATCGAGCATCCTTTTGCGAACGACCTCCCCGCAAGCAAGCGAATAGCCCCGCAGAATCTTCGAGCCGAGCCTCTGCGCCTTCCTATCCTCCTACCTCCCTCTCCCCGGCCACCACCTCTCATCCTCTGGTCCGATTGCGCCACAGTTTAGATCTTCACACACACACACACGCACACACACATAGCAATCATGGCAACCAACGGTAACTACACACACCCGGACCAGTATAAGGACGCTGTCGAACAATCATTTTCAGGCCCCACCGCTACGAACGATGCCGCCGCATCAGCTGGTAACAACAGCAACCTCAGCAAAGATGAGGTTGGCTGGTATTTTGTCGAGCAATACTACACCACTCTGAGCAAGAACCCGGATAAGCTCCACGTATGCATCCAATCTATCCCACCTGTAACGCGCCGATGATACTAACCCCTGTCTGCAGCTGTTCTATGGAAAGCGCTCCCAGTTCGTTTACGGAATGGAGGCTGAGGTTGCGAATGTCTCCGTTGGCAGACAAGTATGTCACTCCTCCAGTCCATCACATCCCGATCATCCACTGACCACCATTTCTCTATAGGCCATCCAGGAGAGAATCAAGTCGCTCGACTTCCAAAACAGCAAGGTCCGAATCACGAACGTCGATTCCCAGGCCTCCTTCGACAACATTGTCATCCAGGTCATCGGCGAGAGCTCCATCAAGTCAGCCGAACCCAAGAAGTTTGTCCAGACCTTCGTCCTTGCCCCCCAACCTTCCGGCTACTTCGTTGTCAACGACATCCTGAGATATATCAACGATGAGGACGAGGAGGAGGCCGTTGCCGAGGCTGAGGCCCAGCCCGAGGAGCAGGCCGCCCCTGAGGAGGTTGTCGAGGCCGCCGCTGCTGAGCCTGAGTCCAAGGCTGAGAAGACTACTGAGGAGGCTTCCGCCCCTGTCATCGACCCCGAAGTGGTCGACAAGAAACTGGAGGAGGTTAGCGCTCCTCAGGATGCCGCTTCGTCCAACGGTGACGCCGAGGTCGCCGCTCCCGAGCCTGTCAAGGCCGCCGAGCCTAAGGTGGAGGCGCCCACCGTTGACCCTGAGGCTACCGCGAAGGAGATTGCCGAGGAGGACATCAAGGAGCCCGAGAAGCCCGCCGACCCCTCTCCTACCCCTGTCGTCCCCGCCAAGGCTGCCGCCGCCGAGCCTGAGAAGCCCACGCCCGCTCCCGCTCCCGTTCCCATGAAGCCCATGTCGTGGGCCAGCCGTGCCGCCGCCGCCGTTGGAGCTAAGGCTGCCGTGCCCCTTCCCAAGACTGCCACTCCTCCTGCTGCCGCCTCGGCCAAGGCTCCTGCCCCCGCCGCTGCTGCCGCCACTCCTACTCCCACCGCCGCCCCCGCCGCGAAGGAGGCTGAGGCTCCCGCCGCTAAGGAGGGCTCTCCTTCTGCTGAGTGGCAGTCCGTCGGCGCTGACTCCAAGCGCCAGAACCGCCCCCAGTCGATCTCCCAGGCCCCTGTTGAGAACCTCGGTACGTTGGGTTACGTCAAGTACGTGACTGACAAGGTCAAGGCAGAGGATCTCAAGGCTGCCCTTGCTGGTCACGGAGAGCTCACCTACTTCGACATTAACCGCCAGAAGGTACGTTCTAGATTCTTGATGTGAAGGGGAACTTCGTAGCTAACGAACGATTAGAACTGCGCTTTCGTTGAATTCGCTACCCCTGCCGGCTACCAGGCTGCCGTTGCTGCTAACCCCCACATCGTCAACGGCGAGAACATCGTTGTCGAGCCCCGCCGCCCCAAGGCTACTGCCTACGGTGGCAGCAACTACTCCGCCGGTGGTGGTCGTGGCAACCCTGCCGGCGGCCGTGGCCGTGGTGGCTTCGAGGGCAACCGCTCCGGTAGCCAGGGCAATGCCCGTGGCAACTTCAGCGGCGGTCAGGCTCGTGGCCGCGGCAGCGTTCGCGGTCGCGGTGCTTCTCAGGCCACTGCTTAAATCAGCCTTTCAGGCCGTCTGGTACAGAGGTCGACTACAGCTTAAGCTTCTTTGCTTTTTGAAGACGTCTCTGTCTGCTTTCGACTGATGTACCGGCGAGAACACCAAATACTCCGAACTTGTCATCTCATGCCCCTACCTATCGGCGGTGACTTTTCACATACAACTTCCTTCAACGCCCGGACACCTATCACACACGCTACCGCTATACCTCACGCAAACACATACTTACCGATATCATCAATATCCTCACAGTCACCAATAGTACCGTCACGACTATTGAAAAGATACCGACGGGGAAGGAAGAGAAAAGTTATATCCCACTTCGTTTCTTTTGCAAGGAGTTCACAGGGCAAAGGCGTGGATTTTCACACCGTTTCCTGTACACTTTTTTTTTATCTTCATTTCTTATGTTTTGTTACGCCGCATGCGTTTCTAGCATTTGCATCTGGCGCGCTGATGGCGTTCGTCCCTACTTTTCTAAGGACCGCTAGCAGGCGCGCAACGACGCTTCAACCTCTTTTCACAACAACCCACCTGAGTTGGATAGTGGTCTGAGAGGGGAACTTGTACATTTTGCAAAAGGGAAAGGGAGGGGGGTTTTCCGGGAGATTGGGAATGGGGAAAAGGGGAAAGCATCAACAACAAAAAGTTTGGCGTCCCTTTTTTTTGCTATGCCTTTTGAGATGGAAGGGGATGGAACTGGGAGGACAGGAAAGGGGGAAAAGGGGATGAGGAAGGCCAGGACATTGGATGATGATGCTGTACCATACCAAAACCAACAACAACAACAACACAAACTACTACCGCGAAGGATCCGTTTCGACGGTTCTTTTAATGAGAACAGACGACAATTAGTAATACCCATCCTCGGAAGCTTGTGATAATTGTGATCTTTACCCATGGACTGCGCAACCGAGCTCTCTCAACGTGTTCAACATCATGAAATCATGACCTTTCAACCCGCGGCCCCCGCTACTGTACGACCCCGGGCTATCCTTGCCCGGAACTTTTGCGGCGCAAGGAGCAGCAGACATTGCGGCTCGTGATGACAACCTTGACGTCGGGTTATTGGAGCTCATTGGAAAACCTTGGCAAACCCTTTCACCGATTCTGGGCCCCCTCCCCTGGTCAGGTAGTGAGAAGGCAAACACGGAACAAACATTAGAGTCCACCGGTAATGGTCCGCTCTAGAACTGCAGAAGTTCCATTAGCCGCTGCGGGAATACCTTGCTCGAAACCTCCCTGTAACAAAAAGGGAGGAGTCTTGTTCTTTTTTTGGTTTGGTCTTGGCTTTTGACTGTTATTATTATTATTATTATCATCATCTTTTCATTCTTTTGCGGCTCACGAGGAGGACCTTTTGAATGGGCATGTGGTTCCACGGGCTGGTTCATTGTGAATCGTGCCACGCCTGCAGAGTGAGGGCCATGCAATTTTAACAAAGGGACCTAACAAAGGAACCTCCGAAAGTGGGAACGAAACGAGAGGAAAATAAAAGAGAGAAGAGAAAATTTCAAAAGTTCGTCCCATATGGCCCGTTTTCTCTATGAAGCTTCGTCTCGTTGGGTATGCCTGCCAAGGCAGTCAAGCGCTGACCTTCTGTATGCCGTAGCTATGCGAAAAAAGAGTCCCGTCCCCCCCTTCCCCCTTCTTTGGCGAGCTCCACCGGTCGTATAAAATTCCCTTAAGTGTATTGCGTAAATATGTCGTACGTAATAACGGCTTACCTAGGGTGATGGATGGGGTCACCCGAAAAATGCAAAAGAAAAAAAAAAAACTACGACGCCGAGACCAATCTGTTCGAAGGAACGACGGTTCGGTCAAGTGAAAACGGTCAACGACGCAACGTGCTCCTGACCCTAAGAGCGGAGCCTTGTTTTATTTCTATTTCTACCATCAAGGTTGTTTGTTTGGTACGCGGTTGCTGTCAATGTCGGGAGTGCAGCGACGAAAGAGGAAAATTGGGCAATGTTGTTGCACGCTCCCTAACCCTCCTCACCTTGGGGGGTTCTTTTTGAGGTCTTGGCTGAACCGACTGGGGAAAGGCCGGGGAACTTTTTGTTATTCTCCACCGCAGGCCCATTGCCATCCGCAACGTCAGGCAACTTGGCGAAATGGCTGTTGTGCGCGTTAATGAAGGGGAGGAACCCACTTGGGTGGATGGGGCGCGTCGCCCAGCTTGAGGCTGTGTAAGTATCCGTAGAATGTTTCTCCTCTTCCCGTTTCAATCGGAGTGCTCGGCTCGGGTGTTGTCGCAAACTACTGTGGTGTGCCGTGAGAGCTTCTTTTCTCTCACATCCTTCTTTTTCTTCTGCTACCTTCTCGATTGAGGTGGTGGTCCCGTCGGGGCGCCATGCGGTTCCGTGCTGGGTGGTGCCTGGATCTGGGTTGACAGTCACCCGCAAGATGCCGTTCGTGCCGTGATCCCCCAGCTTCCTCTGGGGTTTTGGGGGGCTGGGGGTTTGGGAAGGGAAAGGAATCGCCATGATTGGGTTGTATTATTTTCCGGTCCATCTTCAAATCCGTAAGCATATGCGGTCGTTGACGCCTTGGACGTTCTATGTGAGCAGGTAGTATAACAGGAGGTGTGTGTGGGCTGGTGAAGGATTTGGCCGTGCTTAGGTGTGGTAACACTTGGGAGGGGTTGGTTGCAAGAGCAAACAACTTGGACGAAGAGGTAGGAAGGAGTCACGCTGACCGATAATCACATTGTGTGTAGGCCAGGGATGGTGATGCTCAAGTGGCAGATAAGGAACTGCCGGCGATAATCAGCGATCAGCGGCTTTTGGGATGGCTAGCGAACGGGGGGCATCTGGGGATTGTCGTTTCTGCTGCTTCTTGTGAGGTGACGGGTGGGCTGCTGATCAGCGACATTTAATCTTCTAGAAGGTTGCCCATTCCTAATGAGAGATTTGCTATAACGAGATCAAAACGATAGCCGGCGTCATTTAGAAAAGCAGTATTACTGCTCCTTGTCAAACAGCTAGGTTCGCTCTCCCAATTGATGTGGTAGGGCGTGCTTTCAGCGGCGGCCAGCTGGAAAATAGGGCGCCCGCTGTGGTGCGGGAATGGCGTCCACTCAAGCTTTCCAAGAAAGTTCCAAGAGATTGGGCGAAGCCGCTAGAAGCACACAAATTACGACCAGGTTTGAGGGGGTGTGCGTGTGCGTGGCACATAGGCTTGCTGTCATCAATCACCACTAAACCTGCACTCAGGTACGGGCTATTTTGCTTCCAGGGCCTTGACACTTGAAGTTTATGCTGCGAATCATTAATAATCAACGACATGCCATCCGAATTTCCATTCAAGGTTTGATGGCCGAGTGCCCAGCAGCACACCACAGTATATCTGGGCGAGGTTTCCCGGGGTATTGGGGAGGAGCCTGGAGGGTCCCTGCCCTGGCAGGCATGGCGTGATTGTTGGGGTAAGTAGTTGAAGGAATCGAGCCTGCCAGGTCGGCTTCAACGGGAAATGCCCCGGAAAAAAAAACACTAAGAGTGAATAGTTTTTCGGCAAGCAGTACAGAAGAGGCTTCAAGAAGTTTAAACAGCAGAATAAAGGTTGAAACAAGACGAGCGACGACTTTACGAGAAACCGAGCAATGCCTGGTCCTTTAAAAGTGTGCCAATTATCGGCGTCCAACAGACACTCTCGGCCCTACAAAGGTGCCCGAGCGAAGACGTGAAGGTGACAGCACTGACAGAGATGGTTCGGACGAGCCGCTGCTCGTAGTGTTTGCCATTTCCAGTTTCGTTTATGCACCTCTACTATTGTCGTTGAAGCAGAAGAAGCAAGCACAGACCGAGAAGCTGGCGATGATTCAGCCAAGCCATCAGTTTATCCTACCTGTGTCTGAGATGGGTGTGTCACTAAAGTGGGTTTTTAGACGCACACCAATAGTTGTCTTGTTTCAATAGAGAAAGAGATTCCAGCAGTGGAATTCGACTCTCGGCCGACTGTTGTACCCAAGCCACTTGGGGACGGGATCGCCATGTGCAGCGTGCTTGGCCGCCTGGCTTCCGCTGTGTTGGTGCCCTCCAGCTCTTGCCCTCCACCAATGACTTGCAGTGCAGAGCCAAGAGATCTCCGAGGTAGCAAAAACAGCGACGGCGATGGCGAGGGACGGAGAACTTGAAGTGCGCCGTAGCCACCAGGCTTAAAGGATAAGATACATGGCGACATGGGTGGTGGAAGAATGCTTGGTTGCGCGGCAAGACGGTACAATCAATGGAAGAGGCCAGGGACTGTAAATGAAAGATGGATTGGTACGGGCACGGCGACGGATATCTGACCCGTTTGGTCTTGGTGTTAGTCTCGTTGTCGGGTAATGCGATTGCGGTGTGTGCGGTGCGGGAGGCGACTCGGCGCGCATGTTTTTGTCATGGTGGTTTATGCTATGCGCTGTGATGGCGGGAGGTTCTAGTGCAGTGGTTCCGGCCGCTGAATCAACCCATTGGATCCCATTGGAAACAGAATTTATTTAGGGGTGGTTCTTTTGGAAATGGGAGTTCCCTTCAACGCACAGGGTGCCTAGCGTACCATTATGACAACGTCAGATGGGGAGGTACCTTCTGCCAGGTCGGAAAGTAGTAGATTAAAGTGTGTGGATTGCACGGAGTAACGTTCACTCACGGGGGGCATCCGTCGAGGCAAAGTGATCCCAGCATTTGTGTTCCTGGTATTTAATCTGAGGTTGCCGGCAAATTTGAATGACGCGTACCACCTGTTCAAGGTTACCTACCCAAACTGGTTGGTTGTTGAAAGTAGTTGGAAGCTCTGGGGCGGTTACGGTACCACCTGCTGTCCTGGACATCCCATCCAATGTATTTCCAATCTTGAGAACATAACTTTCTGTCGGCTCGCGTCCGACTTGAGAATCAAAGGCAGCCACGAGGGGTGAGGGTGTCCACGCTGGGCTAGACCCCCGCCTTCCTGTGCCGTAATGCCGTAATTGGTGCCAATGGGGGGGTATCCAGCTGACCTCTATCGGTACCTCACAACCAGTTCAAGGAAGGTAGGTAGGTAGCTGTACCTTTTCACATTGAACTTGCCCCCAGCAAACACTGCAATATTTTCACCAGAGGCAGGCGACACCTCTTATTCTTTCTTCCTTCCCGTTACGCTAACAGGCACACACACAAAAAAGGGTTCCCAGCTTGTCTTACCCAGTGGAAATCTAGAACATCAGGGAAGGTACATCCTATCCTTGCATCACATACAGTGCCTGTGGCTCTTTTTCCGTCGCCTACAGCCTATCGCCAGTCGCTCGTCGTCTCCGTGTTATTACCCCTCCAGCCCGTCCACTCTTTACGAACGACTAACAGACCAATATATGACAACCTACCTACCTGCCTTACCCAGTAGTCGTAGTAAGGACGGGACTTGCAAAGGTACCCTGCCCGCCCTGGTGGGAAAGCGCATAGTAGCATCACCCAGCTGGTGGTGAAATAAAAAAGTACCTTGAAACCGCGCCACCCCGGTCGCCGCGCCCTTTCACCTACCAAGACGGGTTAGGACACTCTGCAAAAGGCCTCGGTCCACTCGGTGCTGCTGTTTCTTCCTAGGCCTGCCCAGCTGCCCAGGACCTTTTTCTTCCAGACGAACGAGCCAGTGAGCAGCCAAGAATTACTCGTGGACCAGTGGGCACCGAGGGTTCGTCTTGACGATCATCGGCACCGACATCGCCCTAAATTGCGCTTGCCAATTGCTTGACAGCACTTCCCTTGTCAACCCCATGTCAGCCTGCCGCATTCGTTCGTCTTTCCCTTTCTGCCTGCCTGAACCTGAATGTGTTGCTGGCTGGTCCTATTGCCCATCCATCCCACTGAGGCAAAGCCAACAGACTGCTGGTCTTCTGAACTCCCATCCTGCCCAAGTACTGCATCCAATTGTGTGTACCTTACAATAATCCCGTCTTTGAATCCGTGAACCTGCCAAAGCGCAAGGAAGTCCTTTTTTGGGACAAGCATCTCCTGCACGTCCCTGGTCCCCGATGGATGGATCGCTAAGCTAACGATACGCCTACGCCTCCCGCCCGGTCAGAATCCGAGCCTCCATCTCTCCTCTTCCCTCTCTTCACCATCAACCACCTAATTCTAACAGAGTTCCGACAGGGACTGGTTGTAAGCACGCCTCCTTGTCTTTGGTTTGGCACGAACAGCCTTAGCTTGCGCTTCGCGCTACCACCGACACCTTCCTCCCAGCCAACGCATGACGTTCCGTCTCCTCGATTGATCCTCCGCGGGAGAACTGCTGTTTCACTCGGCTCACGCCTCCCTCACGTCCACCTATCCATACGTCCATCAGTATCCCCCAGAGCACAACTCGGCCGACCTAAGGACCACGCACCAATTGCTGAACATGCCCTTTACGCACATTTGATTTCTCTTACTCTATTCTTTCTCCATATCACACCGTTCCTGCCAGCAGCTCAACCACGTTCCCACCCGTTGCTCTTAGACAAGCCCTGTCCCTGGCCTGACCCGAAGTCCGATGCGCATGAGATCCGCCCCCAGAGCCAAGTCCCCCTTACGGCCCTTGTCATTCACTCCTGGCTTGCTGCCCTCGTTGGACGGGCCCGGACATCGTCTCTATCCTCTCGCGCGTCGTCGGCCCTGCGCGGAAGTCGGTCTTCTCATATCCGGGTTGCGCTTGCTCTGCGTCTACTCCCACCATCGGGCTTCCTATCCAGTCCAACCCTGTTAAGCGGCTCTTCATACGCCTGGCACCACTCGATGACTCGACGCCTTCCGTCTCGCTTCACTCCTTTCCGCCAGTCCACTGCAACCTTGACTTTACATCTCATCTGTTCTTCTTCACCCTCTGTGGATCTGTCTCGCACCTCGGCCAAGGCAGGAACGGTTAGACTCCCTGTCGTTGAAAGCGGCGCACTTGGACCTGCTGCTCATCATCGCCACCGCTGCTCTCGCTTCTCGCTAAACGGCACATTAAACTCCTTCTCTCACATCCACATCCACAACCACACCACACCGCACGCGGGCTCCAGTTGTTCTCCATACGGTCCATTCCTTACCACGTACCTGACTTTGTTCTGCCCACTCCCCGATCTCATCTCATCTACCGGTCTCGCTCCAGGACCCCCTTTGCATTGGTTTTACGTTACTTTGCCCCGTGCGGCCCTAAAAAAGAGCCGCCGACAAAAGGCCCTCACCATGAAGATTTGCGGGTCAGCATAACCCCCGGGCCAAGCACATCTCGTGAAATCCCCCGTCGCAAGGGAACCCGTCCGAGACAGACGCACGGGAACGGGCCTCTGCCTCCGCTGCCACCCGCCGCGTGGTGGTCCTGGCCTGACACGACTCGCCTGTTGCCGGCTCATCAGAGTCTCCTGTCATATAAAAGCTCATCCACCCCATGGATCCCCGCAGTGAGGACCGCGGAAATGGACCATCTAATACCGCTGCGCAGCCGCCGCCTCTCCGGCGGCGACTATCTATGGAGGAGGATTATTTCTATCAGGAAGTCATGACTTCCCCTTTCCGTCGACCATCACAACCGCCTCCCTATGAGCGGGAGCCCAGACCCAGACGTCCGCTTGCCGGCAGCGCCATCGCCAAGGATGGAGCGGAAGAAAAGCTGCCAGAGTACTCGTGCGACATTGAGTTGGAGGGCGTATGGATGAAGAAGATGGAGATCGAAAATACTACCAAGAGGGCGGAGGACAGGAATTGGCACACCACCTTCGTGCAACTACGCGGCACGGCCCTGAATTTCTACAACGTGAAGAAGGACTGGGGATGGGGCAGGACGAGGGATGGACCGACGATCTCACCAGACAACCCACCGTGGGTCAAGAGAGCTTCCCTCGACAAAGCGTACAGTCTCCAGCATGCAGATGTCGGTATTGCGGCCGATTACAAGAAGTAGGTTGCCTCCATTCTCAGCCTCATCACAATGCCAAGACTTGCCAAGGAAACTGACTTTCATACAGACGAAGATATACCATCCGTGTCAGAGCAGAGACAGACCAGTTCCTACTCTCATGCATAGAGTTGAGCACCTTTGTCAAATGGTTGGAAGCCTTGTTCGCTGCCATCGACGTCGCCGCGCCCATCGACGAACGCGATTATCCCCGCGATCAAAGCATCCCCCGCATCCAACGCATCCGTTGGTTCCGTGGCGAAACACCCGCCCAAACGAATAACTATCCCGTACCCACACCACGGCCTCTCAGTCCCAGTCTGCGTCGAGTCACTTCTACCGAGCCTGATCCCTTCCCAGCGTCAACAACTGACCCCGTCCTCGATGCCGTTGTGGGGCATGACGACAATCTGCATACAGCAGATGCGGAATCAATCATTGGACCGTCTCCCGCCAGGAACGAGCCGATCAGTAGTCGGTTGTCGACGACCTCGTACCCAAATGTGGCCATTGATCCAGACACCGGCAAATGGGCGCCCGAACACCCATGGTCCTCTGCTCACGACCTGCTGTACGCCAAGCTTTGCTACTCGGTTCTGTTATTCAAAAGCCCGCGCAAGTCAAACTACATAATCAGCAAGGGGAAGCAGTGGTTTGTTGACTGGGCGACCGGTCGCATGATTCGGGTCTTGCCACCAACATACGGCGAGATCGACTTCTTCGGCCCTTGGCAAGTCATCCACACCGAGAACAGGAGGATCTAAGGCCCTCGGTCCCCCTCATCATCTCTATTGCACATATATCCATACCCCATACCCTCGACAAAGAGGGTCTTCTTTTTGCATTGAAACGAGGAAGAATCGCAAGGTTCGAACGAAACGGATTTTTACCACACCCACTGGCAAGGAGGGCGAGGTACGGCGGCCAAAATAAAAACTCGGGGGCGGGACGGCGCGGCATATGCATTTGGATGGCACTTCTCTTTCTCATGTTCTATCAAACTTGTCTTCATCTCCTTTGTCGTCCTGGCGGTCGAGAGAGCATTGTTAGCCGTGCATGTTCATCATTGGGCGGCGTTATAAGCAGCGACAAAGACGTTTGCTCAATTTCATTTATTTTTTGTGTTTTATTTTGTTCATACATGCGTGGGCATACTGAGCGTTGGTATGCGGAGCTCTCAGCTGCAGGCATTTTTGTTCACGATTGAGGGCAGGGAAACCCCGCCATCCCTGCCATCGACATTTGTTGTCACGAAGTGGTTGTACATACCTCGTACCTTACTGAACTTGACTATGAGTTTCAATGTACTCGTTGAATGATAAACCGGACTGCCAAATTTACAGTGAGATGAACCCTGCAAAACCAACTAAATCGTCGCAGTTGATCTGTGATTATCTCTTTACGCTTGTTTTTTTTTTTTTTTGAACGCCTTTATCCCTGGGTATTTCATGAATTCATCTCCCACAATGGTACAAACAAAATCCTCCCGTACATCAAGTGGTATCATGATTACATCGCAGCTATGCACAAAATCACGCCATTCACTCCCTTTAAATCCTCGACATCTGCGCCTCCGCATCGCGGGCCTCCGATGCCAACTCTGGAGCAACGTCTACCAACATGGCGTTGGCGCCGTCGATATCGGCGATGTGGCCCTCAAGCTGGGTGAGAAGGGCGTCAATTTCAGCGCGCTGGGACTGAATAGAGGCGAAAAGGGACTCATTTGAGGCTTGTGTGTTTTGCAGTCGCGCGTTGAGATGAGACTGTTGCGAGGCCAGACGTGGGGCGAGGTGGGCTTTCATAACGTCTTCGGGGGGTAGAAGGTGTGGTCTATGGTGAGAATGTTAGTCCAGCGCTTTGATATGTGACAAACTGGATATAGGGGGATAGAATGGGTTAGCGGGGACCAAGGGTGTGTTCGTACGGGATAGGTTCCTCAGCATCGCCAGCGCCCTCTTTCCTCCTCCGCTCGGCGTCGCTGACTAGGCTCTCGAACTCGTTGAGCTTACGAACAACATCGCGTTCGACGAGAATGGTTTGAAAGTCTTTCTGTAGCCACGCGACAAACATGTTAGCTTCCTGGTCGGTAAAATGGTTCCTTCTAGTGGGAATTCCCAGAGAGAAGAAGTAAACGCACATTACACCTCTCCTCGAGGTAGTCCACCATTTGCTTCTGCACATTGCGCAGCGTATTTGGCGCGTGAGAGGCGATTGTTGGGAAACAGGACGCGAAGTTGTCGTAGGCAACTTTTTGCAGCGTCTTTTGGAGAGCGCGATCGTAGAGCTTAATGAAGTAGCCAGCGCGCACACCAGGTGTTACTGCCGTATGCTTCTGCGGGAGGGGTGGTGATGCTGGCGCTTCTTGCGACTGTTCCGGCTGTTGCGACTCTGTTTGTGTTTGCGGTTGCGGCTCTAACTCTGGTTGGTCTTCTTGTTGATGTTGTTGTTGTTGCTGCTGTTGCTGTGGCTGCTGCTCTTCTTGTTCTGGTTGTGAGGGTGGTTGCGATTGATTGTGGTCGGAGACGGGCATGTTGAACGAAGTCGCTGGTGTGGGTTTAGGGGATTGGAGGTAAGCGGGTGTGCTGGTGTGTGGTTGATTGTTGGATGCGATTCTGCGATGCAGATGAAGACTGGGCGGGCGTTGGCGACGCGTTTGTAGTGGTGGGGGTCCCCAGCGCGAAGGTGACGGAGGTTCACGTGAAGTGTCTTGGCGGTGGGATGCGCTCGGCCGATGTTCGTCCCCGCTAAAGCTTGCCAGGGTGGTACCTGTCTCACTCGGCCGAGTTCCCAAACTTAATTCCATGCTAGACGTGCCAGAGACAGGCTGGCATCCTCTGACATCGTCTGGAGGGAGCGATTCACCTTTCCTATGAAACAAGACGGAATCTTTTTAATATCACGGCCTACACAGCCCAATTTCAGTATGCTGTTATTGTTGTCTTGTTGCCACTGAATGTGGCAGTGGCAGTTTGGCGAGGCAGAATGTTAAATAGACATTGATATTTCTCCTTTAGGTGTCGTGAAGCTGCCTGTTATTGTTTTATGATCCATTGATGAATCATCTTGTAATCTATGGGTCTCTTCTTGTCTGATAAGGCCGACTTAAACTGAGCCAGCATGAACGATGGAAACCAAGCTTCATTGGGGGTGGGGGGCTTTTCCCCCATGCTCCTTCCACGAACTACTTGCTTTACACCTGACAACTACTTTGCATGCTTGGAGACGTTCAAAAGCTCAGAAAACTATTTATCAAACCGGCATTATCCCCGCAAGAACACATGTATCGGTAGTAAAAGGAGGAAACTCTCAACATGCATCACGACGAGAATACTGTCCCATCAAATCTAGCTGCGGCTATAAGAACATTCCTCCAGATAAATCACATCGAGGAGAATAAAACGATATAATTATTATGCAGAAAAAATTCTGTTAAGGGGGCGAAAAAAGATGCAAAAAACAAAAGACTGTTCAACGCACTCTGCTCGTATGGAGCGTTGAACGAGTGCGCCCTCCAGATTTAACAGAGCATCTGAATCCAAGGGTATATTTTTGTGCTGCTGCTCTATCGACCAGGCCATACGCCCAAAGATGTCCCGATAGCTGTTGAAAGGATCTAAGGGATATTTCCTATAAGTATGGTATACTGTTGGCTTTAGATGGAAGGCACGCGGCAACTAGACGGCGGGCTGTAGGTTGGTTCCTTCCCCCTTTGCACGGCTCGTGATACGTCACTCTCAACGGTTTGGTCTCGTCCTGGAAGGACCCACAGTAACGCTATTCAAGAGGTACTATGGGTAAGAATACAAGGCCAGCTATGATCGCTGGTCATCTGGTATATTGTACGTTGTGTATCAGAGTACAGTTAGCATCCCAGGCGTCCAGGTTCTCAAACCATAGCCCCAAAGATCAACGTAACATGCCAAAACTGGCAGTCAGTAGTTCCAGCCATCTCACTTCTAGCCCATGGAAGATGGCTTTCATTCATCTCTCTATGAGACTTGGGTGGGGGTTGATGTATAAGCCATGAGCACCACAGCAGACACCCTTGGATTGACGCATGTGTATAGTAGGCGCTTTTGGAACATCCACGGAAACATATTAAAGTCAATAGATTCAATGCAATATTCATGAAAAAAAAAAAAAACTAAAAAAAAAACTTGACGTGTCAATACTTATGTTCACTGTTGAGGTTACATGGTTACACACCGCAGGGGTAGCTACAAGACAGGGGCTAAGAATAGAACAAACAAAAAGACTTCTACAGAGTGACGGTATCGCAGTCAGAACTTTCTCCAATAAAAAAAAATCGGGCATATTCAAAGGCGAAGAAGAATTCTGATGAGGCAGGCTGATAGGGAAGGATGATAACGTGAAGACCGGGTCGATGTGACATCTTCATATTCTGTTTGTGATTGTCTCCTATCTAAAAAAGCACTTTGTGGACGAGACGATAAAATCTAAGTGATAGTTGAGGGGACGAATTACCTTCCAATCCAAACGTTAGCGTACCAAGCTCTCATTATTCTGAAGGACTTCGTCAGCTTGGCGACATTCGATGTAATTATTCGATTCTGAAGGTAAAGTGGGATATGCCAGGATAGTTGCATACAAACTCCACTGGCTTCAAACAAGATGGGCAGAATTCTAGCCTAACAGCACCTCTCTTTCTGATTTCGAACTTGACACTCCCGAAATGTGGAATCCCATCATTTCACTTTACGAAGCCGAGATGAGACCACTTAGTGTACAGGCATCAAGCATTCATTAACGCAGCCTCGCCGGCCGGAACCGCAAGACAGAAACACGAGCACTGAGGGGTATATTGACAGCTCAAGCCCAAGCGAAGAGGCAATGTATAGAAGCTAAGATTTCGCAATTGCAAGAGCACCAATGCCGTGCACTGAAACACCCAACCCGACCAGAGGGATAACCATCCTCTAAAGCCCAAAGCTAAACCTGAAACTAACTGAACGCAAAACTTTTTCGTACACTGAACTACTCGTCATCGACATCCATCGTATTCTGGGCCGACCTTCCTCTGGTGTTCCGCGCCGATGACCTCGTCGCCGCTCGGGGCGCGGGCTTTTCTTTGGGTGAAGGCTTTCCCTTGGGTGCGGGCCGGGCTGGTAGTTTTGTCTTAGGTGTCGCCTTGGAAGACGCTGCTGATCTACCCTTTCGTCCGTTAGCCTTGGGCGGTGGGGTAGCCTCCTCTTCCTCCTCCCCTTCGTCGTCTGCCTGTTCTTCCTGCTCCTTGTCCGACTTCGCCGCAGCCTCTTCCTCGGCATCCGACAGCGAGGAATCTTCAGCGTTGCCGTCGGGCTCGACACTCGACTTCTGAGCTTCTTCATCTTCGTCGTCTTCCTTTGGAGCGTCCGAGAGAACCGAAGAATCGCCGTCCTTTTCGGATCCTTCCGGCTCTGGGGTCGGCTCACCCTCAACATACTCCCACTCTTGAACGCCATCCCACATCTCCTTGTCGTCATCAGAAGAGTCACGCTCGGCGTATTGGGAGACCCTTGTAGCTCTACCGCTACGTCTTCGATTTTCCAGAGGAATGTCAGACTCCGGGCGCTTAGCCTTAACCTTTGCAGGCTTCTTAGGCGCAGTAGGTTTCTTTGTCTTCAGCTTCGGCTCTCTAGGGGCTTTGGGCTCTTTGACTTGTCTAGCCTTCTTTGCGGCGGGCTGGCGATCTCCTCTCTCGTCCATAGACTTTCGTTTCTACATGGCTGTTAGCGTCAAATGCAACGGATTCAACAAGATGGAGCTTACCTTCTTCCTGTCCATAGATTTGAAGAGGTCGTCCAATTTCTCATCGATTTCAACCGGAAGGAATTGCTTCTCGGCAATCTCTTGGGCGGCCTGGTGTGATGGCAGGGCGCTGTAAAGACCCTTTGGCAAGCCAACCTTGCCTGGGTAAGCTTGGAAACTCCAGTTCTTTCTCTCCTGCCATTTTCTTATCACGGCCTGAGCTAAATCACTGATGATGCAGAGGTTCTCGCTATCTTCTGGGTTGATGTAGTCGCGGGTTTGCTTGACTCTCTCTGCGTACTTGAAGATCAAACCCAAATTTTCTTCAGTCGCCACATTCGAGAGGTAGTACAGAATGTAGCGACCGTGATCCGCCAGATCGTTGGCATATGACATCCGCTCCTCCTCACTGGCAGCCGCCAGGTTATCTAACCTGTTGAAATCAGGGTGGTGAGCCAGCAGGGAGATAAGCCTGGCCATAATAGCTTCCATGGGGCGCTGCTCATGCGATGCAAGTGCACGTACACGAGAGCGGATCCAAGTTTCAATTCGCTGCTTCAAGTCGGCGCTAGGCTCGAATGCCGTCAAGAAGATAATAGTGTAGAACCGCACTCGCAGTTTGCCTCGCGCCAGGTACTTCTGGAGTTTCTCAATAAACCCTTTTCGAACTTGCAATTCGGGGTCTTGTGCGGTGAATGCTAGGCGGTCGAAATCAGCGGGCGTTAGCAGGTCATCAAAATGGTTGATGGTGCACAACTTCAAGAGAAGTTGGGCAGCAAGCAGACGAAGTCGTGCCTTGTGGTGGTTAGGCGTGTCTTTTGTCTTGCATAGCTCTCCTCTTTTCACCACCAGCGACTTCAGAAGTTTGAAGACAGGTGGGGCCTTTTCCTGGGCCTCTTCAGCCTTCTGCATGCTGCGCAGACGGTTGACCAGAATGTGCAGAGACAAGCACTTCGCCTGAAGTTCTTCGTCCATATCGGCATCCTCGACCCATTGAGGATCTTTGTCTGTGGCATCCTGTCTGACTTGTAGTAGAATCTGCTGGACAGTCATGTTGAGAATGTCTTCGTCCGCATCCAGAGTGATCTTGGGCGCTTGAAGTTCGAGCTGCGCAATGGCTTGGAGCTTGTTCAGGAAGTGAGGAGACCCGTAGTTCCAATCCTCCATGATCTTCTGCAGAAGGCCGGTCGCGCTGACAAGGCCCTTCTCATCACCCTTCGCCAAAAGAATCTTGATGGCATATTTAGCACACTTGACTGGCCGGCCGTACAGAGCGTAGTTAACCAGAGCTTGTGAAAACTTTCGTTCTTGCGGAATTTCTTCCGGGTATTTTTTCGAATAAGACGCACAAGCTTTGAGAGTGTCAACCACGATCGGATCATTCTCGCTCGTCTCACTGGGCGCCTGATCGATCAAGCCCTTGCACAATCCTCCCACATGAGTCTTGAACAGCTCGGGGTTGCGTTGCGAAATCTCGTTGAGTATTTCGTGGGAAACGGCGCCATAACCGTCCTTGTCGTTCCTTGAGTAGTCAAGGATGGTCGACAGATGGCTGCGGTTGAACAGCAAACAAGCTGACCGGTACAGGAGCGGAAGTAGCGTGTCCAAAATACTCGCAGATTGGCTAGCGTTGATGCGCTTGACCAACTCTTTGATGGCCTGTCGCACAGTCTTGTAGTCGCTCTCAGAGCTCACCGAGTACTTGACGAGCTGATACGCGCGACGGTCATTCTGGTTGGCAAACTTTTGAAGGTCTGCCTTGACCTTGAAGGAGTCTGGGAAGAACTGTGTAATGTACTGAACTGTCCTCTCCAAGTTTGCTGTCTTCTTGGGGCGGTTGTCATCCATGACGCCACCATTGTAGAGCTCACATTGCTTGATGAACGCCTCCAGGACCTGGGCAAATTGGGGTTGCCGACCTTGCATGGCAAAGAAAGCTTTCTTAGCGGGAGTGTCTAGCGATTGTGTAAGAAGAAGCAATCTCTCTGCGCGAATTCGGTCTTGTTCTGCAACGCCGGCGTTTTGTTGGCTTTGACTCGAAGAGGCTCTGGCGTTCTTGGGTGCTTTGATGGGAGGATAGTTCAACGGGATTAGGCACTCAAAGAGTACACGATCCAGCAAAATGTTAAGCTCAAGGTCATTTGCGTAGAACGCATTGAAAATACGCGACGGAATCCCTGATAGGGCTGCGACAACGGTTTCCTGCCCGGCGGCCAGTTCACCTGAGCCGACAGCCCACAGCTTTGCTAATAGAGTCATTGCGTCAACTCGGACAGCATTGCGCTTGTCACGACAGCGGTCAGCAAGACTGCTCAGGACAGAGCCATCTTTGTCGACACCACCTGGAGCTCCAAGCTTGGTAACGAAGTCACGGAAACTGAAAAGCTCCATCACCTTGACAGCAGCCAGTCGAACCTTTTCGTCGCCATCATTGAGCTTCTCTCCAAGGTGCCTTACAAGTTCAGACTGTTCCTCGCGACTAAGACCAATACCACCGGCCGAGGTGGCCAAGATATACCCAACGGCAGTAGTCCATGCTGCTCGAATCGCCGCTGTCTTATCGTTTCTTCTGCCCAAGAAATGGTGGTAGGCCGTAGAATGGGTCTGAGCAAACGATTGAGGAGATAGTGGCGTTGTGAGAACACTGTCGGAGACTTGGCTAGGAGCCTCATCCGCCAGCCGAAGCGGGGGGTACATGGTAGGGTCCAAAACTGGATGAGGAGGTGGTCCAGCAGCTCCCAGTCCTGAAATCATGTCTCCAAGCGTCTCGGTAGCAAGTTGCCGCAGATCCACATTGTCGGCAGACAGCTCTGCTTCGACTTGTGGAATGACGTTCTGCAGGACAGATGGACAAGCACGCCAAAGTTCTCTGATGAGATAGTGGGCTTTCCTTAGCTCCTTCAACTCCGAGTCCGTGGGACCTCTAGGCGCATCTTCGTCATCCTCGTCATCGTGTTTACCAACAGTCTTGGCCGCAAAACGCGAGGCGTCAATAATGACATCGCTAAAATACTGGCTGACATAGTGAACCATCTTTTCCGTGCAAACGTTGCAGATCTCCTTCGCCATAACATAAGCAGGCGGCTCATCCTTGGGTAGCAGAGTAGATTGGCTGCCGTTCTGTTCGCCGCGTTCTGTACGACTCTGAAAACCACCCGGGGGTGCTGCTCTGAGGAATTGGGCCATGATGACCTCGATAACTTTGGGGTTCATGCCGGAAGCCTCGTCAACCAAAGCAATCAACATTTCTGTCATGGTATTGCCGACTTCTTTGGAGACACCCTCTTCCGAACTTGAGCCTCCGGACACAGCATCGAAAAAGGCAGAAAATAGTCGGAGTAGCATATCATCAGCGCCGTCAACGTCATTAATCAGGAGAATACTTTTGACTTCCGTCAGCGCCTGCAGCACATACTTGTGCTGGTTGTGATAAGGGTGTGCCTGGTCACTCAGGGCAGGGAAAATGTGTGAAACGACAAGATTGAAGAACATCTACCGCCTCAATTGTCAGTCAAGCGTGACGATACACACCATCGAAGGAAGCTAACCTTGGTCTGATCCGCAGTAAACGGCGCGTCAGGCGCACATAGGCGTAGAATATCAGCGATGCACACTGCAGTATACGCCTTGACGCCCCTATCTTTATGCGCCAACAGGTTGCGTTGACCCAAAGCATGGGCAACATCATTAAGCGACTCGACATCCACGGCATCTTGGTCAAGACTGCTTAGCTCTTCTGAAAGGGCCTGCAAGCGGTTGAGCAACTCGGTGGTGGGTATAGGCTTCCCGGGCCTCCATGTCAATTCCTCGTCGAATTGGAGACTGACAAGCTCTTCGCCCCGCTCCTCCTCGACCTCCTCCTGAGGTTCATCGCGACCGCGACGAGGCGCCATGGTAAGAGGTATGTGATGGGCGCTCGGCGGGTGACGTGTTGTGAAGCGGGGAAGACAGAATCGAGGATGTAGCTGATCGACGGAACGTGTCAAGAGTCGATGATGCGCGCGCAGGCTAACTCATGGATAAAATTTCGCGCGTTCCAGATATCGATGAAGCGTAAAACGACAAAATTGGGCGCGCCAGATCGAAGCCCAATTGCGCGTTGGCGGCGAGAAGGTGCTGAAGCTTGAGGCGGCTTCAATGTTGCGACGAAAATGGATGGGAAAGGTCGAGTCGTGTTACGCGCCTGCGCTTGCAGTTCGTCGGTTTCGCGTGCTTACCTGAGCTGAGGGAAGGTACAGGTAAGGTAGAAGGGACCTCAACCAGGAGCTGCACCACAGCACCTTCCCTTGGGAGGTGCTGGCCCGGGCGCGACGTGGAAGTGGGACTACCCCTGCCATGCCTCGGGTCCGTAGTGGCTGGTGCCATACCGGTGTCAGCTAACGGAGCTCTCAACTTCCATTCCCCACTTGAAGCAAGCTAGAGCTTGGTCGTGACGGATAACATCAGTCACCTCGGTTTTTTGTTGGCAAACATCACAGAACCTCTATCAATTACTCATAATCCTATGTCATGACATATGCGAGGAGTAACATTTAGTGTTGGTAGAAAATTAATACTCCGTACAAGCTAATGGCCCGTTTTATCTTGTCACCAGGGCAGGTTGAGAGATATCGGGAGTTGCTATTACATCATGATGGTTTTTGTAATAGATTTGGTTATTGGGTCTTCACTCGGGAAAAGACACAAAATAAAAAATAAAAAATACATAGATAGAGTTCTCATATGGCAGTTTCCGTAAATCGCATCTTATTTGTCGTCTGTTTCATCCTTGACGACGTTGGGTTCTCTTAGCCCTTTGAGTGCTCGGTAGCGATAGCAAAGCACGCCATAGAACTTCAAGATGGCAAGTGTTCGTCCTTTGATGAGACAAGAGCTTTCTTTGAACCCAGGACGAGATGAATTCCCTGCGACGAGTAAGTAAGTTTGCTGCGATAAACAAATACTATGAAATTGGGTTGGTTTACTCCAGACACACACTTCCGATTGCTCTCTTTCTCTACATGGCCAGCTTCTGGTTAACTACAAAAGAAGCGACTCATGATGAGAAAAACTCATACAGTGCAATTTAATAAAAAGCTAGAGGATGGTAGGAAAGAAACTATCAGTTGGCGGTCGAGTTGTCACCAGAAAGCCATGGAGGCCTGTTCAGACACACATCTGGATGGCCACGTCGTGAGTGTAGAGCAAAAGCAGACATATTTAAAACAAATTAACTGAAGTGAGAATATATATACGTATTAAGCGAGTATATTCCTTTGGACCGTGGCGCGTCTCATGCTATACCTCTTTCCTCTCTTCTTGCCTGCCCGTTTCCCCTCTCTCGCTTGACCAACTACGTCCCTCTCACTTACGACCCAAAGCTACTCTAGGAAAGAAATTTTCTTTTTCCATCCATCACATCAGAACTGCCGCGTAAATAAAAAACACAACAACCTTCGTTTATATCCAAGAACATCCCAAGGTGCGTTGACTTCTCTGGAACACGACTCCCATTCCGGCTTTCTTCAATCTCATTAACTTCACACTTGAAGCTCCGCGACTTCTCTCGTTCACCTCATAACCAGCATTCATTCACCTACTCAGTCTCCAAGGTATGTCAATAATTCTTCTTATCTGCTGATCCCTTCAACTTGTTTATCCATCCAAATTCCCCATAGCGGATCGTCACCTCAGAATCACCCCTCTCTCAAGATACCATCATTTTCTTCCATCGCTTTACCCATATATCTCCAGTGTATCGAGCTTCAGAGAAACAACTTCTTTTTCCTCCATTCAGTTCTAAGAACTTGATCGGGAATTCCAAATTTCAAAACATATTCATCTTCTCCTGGTGCGTTCACCTTGTGAACAAACCCTAGAGAAAATTGCCCTTCTTTTTCGCTCCTTCCTTCTGAACTATATTCAGGTGGCCACACGACTTTGTTTTTTCATTTTTTTTTTCACCTTTGTTGAAAAACCCTTCTCTCTGACCTTCCATCTACTTTTCGCGTTCTTTTATTCCTTAAGTTTACCAATCTTCTACCTCTTCCTTACCTTTCTTCACTTCTCAACGCCCACTCACGATCCATCTTTTCACAGACTCCATTACTCTCTTCAGCAAGCCCTAGTAAGTATTATCAATCTTTTTGTTAATCATCTTATCAATTGTCACTTCTAGACCATTTCCTGGTTTTGTCGGTTCCATCCATGGTTTCACAGATTTTCACATATCCATCTCGAACATCAACTGACAAAGTAGCAGACACTCTTTAAAAAGCGACAACAACATCACTCAAGATGTTTGGCAGTAAGTTCTCTTCCCTCGACATTTTCATTCTTCTTTTTTTTCCAAGTTAACCATGAGCCGAAACAGGCGGTAAACCTCACCGTAACGGCTACTATGCCGAGCACGATCACTTGGCCGTCACAGACGGCGCAATTCAGCGCAAGACTGAGCATTGGACTGCCTATCGCAAGTCAGATGCTTGCTTTCTGACTTACGTTATTCTCGTCTGTGCGACCCTGTTCGCTGGAGGCGTTGCGATTGCCGCCGTTCGTAAGTTTCACTCATCGTGCCTAACTGGTGTCCATGTTTCTCACACTCGATGTAGTCATTCGTGACCATATGGCTCCGGTCGACAACGCTACCCAGGCCGCGGTTGCCAACATCGTCCCTCGCTTCCCTGCCATGCAGTTCACCACCGGTTCTTTCAATGGTACCCAGTACAGCGCCAATCATACCCAGAACGCTGTCTCTACTGGCATCTCGACCGGCATCCATATCTCAACCGCCGATCCCGCCCACTGCACTGATGAGACTGAGACTCAGACTTCCACTCATATCACCAGCGAGACATCCATGGAGCAGATAACTACCATCAAGAAGACGCTCACTCAGACTCGTACTTTGCAAGAGTCTGTCAAGGGAACAACTGTGTCTTCTGCCTTGGCTGTCACTGGCACCCAATCTGGTACAACCGTTGCCTCGCAGTGAGTATCTTCTTGAACCTCAAGCTTTTTATTCAATCCTCTGACATTTTCCCAGGTCTGTCGACACTATCACTGAGTTCATTACTAGTTATGTGACTGAGACGGCAATTGAGACTGCCAGTGTAACTCCCACCGAGTCTAGTGGCGAGTCCACCTCTCAGGTCCAGACTCCGTCGATGGAAACCACTTCAGTCTTTCTTACCAAAACCCGAACTGCCGTTAAAAAGGTAACTTCTACCGTTCGGGAAGTGGTGGTCATCACCACATACACCCCCACAAGCATCGTTCTCTCAACTGTTACCGTCACTCCTTCTGAATTTGTTTCTACCCAAACCCACGAGGCTCAATGCTCCCCCGACGACCATACGGTCTATGTCACTGTCACCAAGGCTGCCGAACTCGGTTCTAGCTCTTTGGAATCTTCTACTGTCATGGCTAAGACCAAGATCGTCTCTCCTTCTTCACCCCCCTCTTCCTCACCGTTCTCTTCCTCACCGGCTCCTTCCCATTCCACTGAAACTGTCCTGGCCACCTACACTGTCACCGTGGACAGCCTGAAACCCATCAGCAAGGCCCCCGTTCATAGCAGCCCCTCTGGTGTTTCCAGCCTGATCACAACCGTCATATCCGGCGTCGAAAAGACTCTTGCTGTGACCGAGATGGCTACGCAGACAGTCTTTGAGACCGTAATTGATGGAACCACTGTTCTGGTCAGCACTGCCGTTTCTTCAGTGCTCGGTACCCCCGGTACCCCCGTCTGGATATCCCCCTCCCCTTCTACCCTCCACGGAACTGCGACCGTCACCAAGACGGTCACTGATATGGTCACCGAGTCTCTCAGTGCATCTGCTGCTGATGTCCTTGAGGCTTCATCCACCACCGTCATTGCGTCTTCTAGCAGTGCCCTCGAATCCACACAGTCAGTCTTCACCACGGTCTACCTCGCCAACTACGAAACCCGGACCTTGACTGTTGATGGCATCGCGACCATTACCCTGTACATTGACGAACCAACTTCGTCTGCCTTGAACTCCACCAATATGCCTACCAAGACAGATGTCGATGTCATCACTGAGGTCGACATCAACACCATCACAGTCACAGTCGACGGCGAGGTTGAGACTTCCGTGGCCAGTGTCCCAAAGAGCACGAACGCGACGCTTACCCAGATGAGAGTGGTAACTGAGACCGGCACCTCTACCATCACCAACACAACTCGCATCGCTAACAACACGATTGTGCAGCCCTCGGGCGTCACAGTCAACACCACCATTTACATCACCGGCACTCCGATGATGCACCCCACCACCGCGGTGCAGCAGCCGCCTTACCCCACGGGCAACAGCACTGTATTGTTCTCATCCACAGGCACTGGCCATCCGGTCAGCACTATGCCTGTCGTGGTGTCCAACGCCGAGAAACGTGCTGAGCCGTTCGGCTTCAGCGCAGTTGATCGAAACAGTATGACCTGCCAGACCTGTCTGGTCATGTTCGTTCTGGGACTCTTTGTCCTGTTCTAACTTTTCATTCTGATGATACTTTTAGCCTTCGTCGTCTTTATCTCACGCATGCACCAGACAGGACCCATGATGTCTAGTCAAAGGTCTGCTCAGTGACGAAGAGCACATTTTCTTTCTTTTCTTTTGTACGGCGGAAAATACCGCAGAACGAAACGATTCACATGATTATGATTATGATCGATACCCCATAACGATTTGGGAAGGCTGAAAAAAGTGATTTCACTGGCATTCTGGGTTTGCAAGCTTGGTACATTTGCGATGGACTTGGTCAAAGGACGTTGGAACCACGACGGAAACTTCTTGGGGATAAATAAGGCCTGGTTTCTTCTTCATTCTACTCCCCATTCTTACACACACTCAGGTAGTCTTAGCACCACCGAGACAGGGTAGGAGGAAGAGGAGTGTTTGGGAATTTGGCCGCCTGGGTAGTTGGTTGAGGATCTGGTGGCTTTGGCTTCAGGACCGTAAGCTTCATCATACAAGACACGCATTACTCATAAATGACTATCCCTCGCAACATTCCAAGTGATACAAAGTGACACGAGACTCTTCCCACTTGATTAACTGAATAATACCGGTAGGTGAACAGGGAACCATCGACTGAAGATGACCAAATCGCTTTTCATTCATTCGCATTATCTAAGTCTATTCTTTAAATCCATCCTTCTCGTCAACCTCAGTTGTGAGCAACCTTGAGGATCTCCTTCTCCATCTCCTCGAACGCGCCCACGATGGGCTGATACTTTTGGAACACGCCGTCCTTGAAGCCGTCGTCGACCTTCTGGATCGCGCCCTCCTCCTTCCACCGCTTGCCGATGAGCTCATCAAAGCTCTCGCCCTCGGCCCTCTCCAGCGCCCAGACTGCCTTGTAAGCACCGCCCAGCGCGCATGCGTTGCCGCCGACGTCGAGCTTGTACACGCCATCGACGCCACCCAGCACGTCGCCCATCACCCTCGCGATGGCGGGGTTCAGCGAGCCGCCTCCGACGAGGTAAATCCGGCGAGGCTGCGCGGGCAGGTTGTCCTTGGGGCTGTGGACCAGGTTCTGGCTGCGCAGACGCATGGAGAGGGCCTGGCTCTCAACGATGATGCGCGGGTCCGTCTCCTTGCTCCACTGCTCCGTGGACTCGGCCAGCTCTGAGCCGTCCTGGTTGGCGGTGTACCGCCACGTGCCGGCCTTGATGTTGGGCACGATCTCGGGGAGGTCAAAGTACAGGCCCAGCTTGGCCTTGTCGGACTCGGAGCGAACGTCGAGAGGTGGGGTGTCGAGGACAGCCTTGTTGAAGTTGGCCCAGGGGTCGCCGCCTTCCGGCTTGGGCAGGGCATCGCGGACGCGCTCACGGGCGAGACCGCCGTTCTTGTAGCAGAGCATGAACATGTACTGGCCCGGCGTGCAGGGGTGGTTGAAGAAGTGGTACGCCGCATCGGGCTTGTACACGGGCGTGACCATCAGGAACGTGGACGATGTGCCCAGGGAGACGATTGCATCCATGGGACGAAGGGGCAGGGCGAGGATCGTGGCCGGGTTGTCTCCAGTGAACGGGGCGATCTGGCAGTCTTTGCTGAAACCATAGCGCTCGACGAAGTAATCGGCGATGGCGCCCATAGAGCCACCGCCATCCTGGCGAGGCTCGCCGAGCTTGGAGCGCAAGTCCGCCACACCGGACTTTCCGCCGGCAGTCAGCTCAAGGAGAGGCTCGCTCCAAGCGTTGGCGGGGATATCCCAGAGGTTCATGCCGCAGACGTCGCTGATGTCAATGGGGGCAACGGTGCCGAGAAGGACGGAGGCGAGGAAAGAGGAGACGAGGGAGACGCGCGAGGTGGCGGCATACATATCGGGGAGCTTCTGGCGGAGTCGCATGATTTGTGTGCCGGTGAAGCGCTGGACATTTGTCAGTACAAGTCAAACCATCATGGCGGATGAGCTGCATACGTGGTGGGCGGCGCTGCCGGTGACCTCGGCAAGCCTCTGAGCTGTCTCGAATTGGGCATCAAACTTGTCGCACTGCGCCTGCGTGCTGTGGTCCTGCCAGTTAGGCGCATATGGGTGGGAGAAGGCCTCCTTGAGCTGGTCGACAAGCGACTTGTCGGCCTTCAAGCCGCCGAGCAGCTTCTCGGCGTCGTGACTCCAGTAGGTGCTGCCGTGCTGCTGGCATGAGCCGCTGATCCCCTTGATGCGGTCCATGGGCGTCTTCTCCTTGAGACGGGCGAGGACGAGGTCAATGGCCTCGAGAAACATAGCGACGGGTGCATACACCTCGCCCTCCTTCTCGTTGGTCAAGACGCCCTTGTGCAGGCCATATTGCTTGCCAAAGTCGGCATCAAAGTCAACCTTGGCCTCGGAGATGACCGTCAGATCGGACTGGACGACGATGGCTGTCTATATGTCAGAACATTGTGTTGAACTACAGACAGTGGTTGGCGGGGTATTGCTGGGTGGACTGACCTTTAAGTTGCTGGGTTGAGAGGTCAAACCCGAGATACAAGGGACCGGAAGCCATGATGAGGGGAGAGATGAGAAGATCGCACACTCTTTTGGGTATCTAAGTATTCTCTATCTCACAATTTGAACATGCAAGGAAAATGATAAACAGGAAGGAAGAAAAAAAGAGCACGATGCACTGGGATATTTTGGAAAGTTAGCCGCTACCCACCGCTCACACTCTACATCACCTTGACGTGGGGTGTGGACATGGAGGGGCAGGTTCGGGACAGGTCGCATGGTCTCAGCCTCGTGGCAATTCAGGCTAAAAGCAATTTGGCCAATCGTAGATTTTGCAGCTAGATGCGACGAATAGGCGCACCAATTACATTGTGACAGCTTGGCGGAAGCCAAGCCAGCCTTGTCACTGGGCTCGGGAGTCGGGCACAGCTAAGCCCGCGTTCCATGCGTTCTATGCGCATCTAGATCGCGGTCCCCGCATATTGCGCTGGACAAGCTCATAGGTTAGGATAGATGGACGGACAAGGTTACGGGAGCCGGCAAAGGGTGTGCATCACGACGAGACACGGTTGTATGCAAGCCAACAGGCTAAGACACAAATGACTCTGTTATTGGCACGAAGAGACATAGGCTCTCCGGATGACTGGCCTTTTGCTGGCCTTTTGCTAAAAAAACCACCCTAAACGCCGCCCAGATGCAACGCATGCCTGAGAGGACTCTCCAAGAATGCTCTCTATCATCTCCTGTATACCAGAAGAAAGGGAAAGGAAAGGAAAAAAAAAAAAAACAAGACGGCGGCTGATCCACGCTTCCAGACAGTGTAAGGGGAAACCAAGGGTATCTCATCGTGCATGGCAAGTCCATCCTCCAGAATATACAACTAGGGACGCGGCCGCTATTGGTGCTTGTTGTGGCCGTTCTCGTTGGCCTGGGTGTCCTCTGGCTTATCCATGTTTGCCTCGCCAGGAATGAACTCGTCGAACTTGGGCGCAATCTCAGCCTCCTTTGGGACGTATCGGACCTTGATCCTCCGCACACCACGAACGCTGGAGCCGACCAGAGTACGGACCTTCTCCTCGATTTCGCGGACGTGCTCGACAGTCCAGACTCCAGGAACAGCCAGTTCAATATCCACCAAGTAGTTTTGGCCCGACTTGATTCCGGAGATGTCTCTGATTTCTGCCTCGTGGCCCTCGGTAACCTCGGACAGGCTTCTCAGTGTGTGCTTCTCGACTGATTCCTTGACCTCTTCATCGATGCTGCGGTCGGCCAATTCGTGCAGAGCAGACAGGGTGTTTTCAGCGCCAGCCTTGATGACAAGCAGCGAAATCAGAAGGCCACCAACGGGATCCAACCAAGCAGCATTCTTGAAAATGTTTGCACCCAGAATGGCAAGCAGAGTGACGATTCCGGTCCAGCTATCGACACGGTGGTGAACGGCGTTGGAGGCGAGGACAGATGACTTTCGTTCGCGGGCGACTTTCATTGCTGCAAATTTCTTTGTCAGATCTGGTGCTTACGCTTGCTTACTCAATTGGGATTGGGTAATACTCACTGGCTTGGTATAACCATTCCTTCACGGCGACAGTGCCAAGAGCCAACCAGGCAGCGTGCAGACTCGGACCAGAGTGATCATGGCTGTGGCTGTGGCCATGGTGATGGGCGTGAGCGATGGCCTCAGCTGCAGCTGCGGCATCCAGGAACAGGTGGGCGTGTAGGGTCAGCAAGCTGCTCCAACACATGAACAGGCCGCCGCCAAGAAGCATGCTAGAGACTCCCAAGGATCCCAGGCTCTCAATCTTGCCGAAACCTGTGGGGAAGGTGTCGGTCGGAGGCTTCAGACTCCAAGAGACAGTAGCCAGGGTCAGAATATCAGAGGCCAGATCAGTCAGACTGTGCCAGGCATCAGCAACCATTGCCTGGGAGCCGAAGGCGTAGCCACCGGCACCCTTGGCGATAGCCATGCCCAGGTTAGAGTAGAGACCGATGCGAGTGATGCGGACACCAGCGTCGTTCTTGTTGCTGGAGGTCAGGTAGACATTGTCATGATGATGGTGGTGGTGATGGCCATGGCCGTGGGAGTGGCCGCCGTGGGAGCGTCGGGTCTGCTGCATGTTGGAGGTGGTGTTGGTGGCTGTGGTGGTTGTTGTAGTTGTAGAGGACATGATGGCAGATTTTGATCGGATGGGGAAAGTAGTGGTAGACAGGCCCAGGCGGAGACGGGCGGCGTTGGGGGTTAAGTAGGGATCGCAGGGAGAGGCGGCCGGGCTGGAAGTTTGATAAACGCGGACGCGGCGCAGATGAGGGAGATGTGGCCTAAAGGGGGTACCGGTAGCAAAATCGAGGCAACGGAGGAGGGTGTGTGCTCCGGTTCCCGATATTGCTGCGGCGCGTCTACCTCCAATTCCCTTTCCCATGCCAGCGACAGCTGCAGACGTCACACTCGTACGCAGCCCGGGAAGGCGGCGGAGCAGTCCCGTAGGACGCTTGGACGGGGGAGACATGTACGCAAGGCTCCAAAAAGCGACTTTTGCTAGGAATCGGAAGGGGTAGGGGGGACGAATGATGGGATGGCTAATTGCAAGCAGCGGTAGCGGTAAGGAGCCAGGGACGCGTACATGCTAATGCTAAGCAAAGGGTGAACGAGGGGTGAGTGTGATGGAGGGGGGAGTGACGGGAACGGAGGTGCGGGAAGGAGGAGAAGGTTGCGGGAAGGTGCGGGCTTGGATGCAAGAAGGGAAGGAAGCAGTGACGATGCGGCAATCGCTCTGCTCGGTCGTTGTTGCGAGATTTGTCGCAACTCCGGCCACGGCGGGTGTTGATCTGATCTCGGAAGCTGCAGTCACAGTCGCAGATGCAGTACCAAGTGGGTGCAGACACGCAGACAAGGCAAGGACGACGCAGGGCAAGGCACGGCAAGGCAGGGACAGGACAGGGCCAGTTCGCGGCGACGGGATGGCTGCCAAGCCAGAGAAGATGGAACCCGTACCTGATGGCGAACAAGGGGGGTTGGTTACAGTTCTCCAGTGAGAGAGAAAAGAACCTAAAGAATCCACAAGGCGGATGATGAAGAAGTTACTCGGTACCTTCACTACGTAGTTTGTGTAGTTGACTGATCGAATGAGCGGGGCTTGACTACTGAGACTGACTACTCTCGGCACCATTTACTGGAGAGGAAGTACCTTGTAGAGGACACTCGCTCTGAACCTCTCATCCAAAAACCCAGCCTTCAGTTGACTTTCTTCCTGCAAATTCCTCTCAAACTCAAAATGCCCGTTTTGGCCCCGTCACCGGCGACACCAGGGTTAGGGATGGGGAAGAAGCTTGAATTTTTTTTATTCAACTGATCCGGTGGTGCCTGAACCTGGGCGACAACATGCGTCAGCAACACCCACTTGACTAATGGAACCCAGCGTGGCTGTTACGATTAGGTAGGCATTGCAGCTCTAATACGAACTGAGTTTGGCTAAAACCTACTCCGGACGCACCGCTATACCCATGGTGCCATCTCATAAAGAACAGGGGGGATGCTCCAAGGGATCAGCCGGCTGCATTCCCAAAAAGATCAGCGGAACCAATCCTCCTGTTAGTGTGTCAACTCAACTGGCGGAACAATTAGACATCCATCAGACCAGCTAACAAGTTCTGTTTAAAAAAAAAAAATAGTAAATAAGAAAGGGGGGTAAAATTGTACAGTGAAAGGCAGCGATTGCAATTCAACCTTGACTTGCCTTTGGTCTATTCTATTTCACCACTGAAGCCCAAGTGCCTGCAGTTGCTCTTACTGGGCCTACCGCCCCACAACCTACATAGTACTTGACTTTTTTACCACTCTGCTGGGAAATACTGACATAATCTGCTCAGGCAAGCCACACCAGGCTTTGTCATCTTGTGGAGCTTAATGGGTCCTCTGAGGCTGCTCGCGAATCATGACGAATTGACAATTGAGATGGAATCGCCTCTTCATACTCAATATGAGATGAGCCCGTCGTATCGTTTCCATTTACACGCGTCTGACAATCCTAAAATCTCTTCCCTTGCCCTGGTGCTTCTATTCTTAAAATCACCCCCGGGTTGGCATGCCCACATATCAACCGCTTCCCTTAATTAACCTCCTTCTCCCCTCCACCTCCCTCTCCTACCTTACCTGTGCCCCTGGCCCCCCTTTGGTGATCCGGGTTCCTCCCACATTCCGACAGCCTTACGCAACACTCAACCTCGAAGCCTCGCCCCAATGCGCAAGCCTCTTATGCGCATTCCCTACACGGAACTCCTGGCTCCCCCCACAGTCCGTCCAAGCAACGCAAACACCATCCCCGGCGCTGTCGCGGCCCTCCAGAACTTCTTCACAGCTCCGCCGCCAAAGGGGCTGCCGAGGTCAACAGTTGTCCTGACTGGGGCTGGCCTATCTGTCTCGAGCGGCCTCGCTGATTACCGAGGAGTCAATGGAACTTACCGCGTGAACAAGACTTACCGTCCCATCTACTACCATGAGTTTCTCTCAAACCACGAAGCAAGGAAGAGGTATTGGGCCAGAAGTTTCCTAGGATGGACCTCACTGCACAAGGCTTCGCCAAATCAGGGTCACTATGCTATTCGAGATCTCGGCCAGCTGGGTTTGATTCGCAGTGTCATCACTCAGAACGTCGATTCGTTTCACTCCAAAGCTCATCCTGATATTACAACTTTAGAGTTGCACGGCTATCTCAGGTCTACCGTTTGTGTAACTTGCAGGAACGAGTACCCCAGAGACACTTTCCAGGATGAGTTGGCGAGACTCAACCCGGCGTGGGCGGCGTTCCTCGCCGAAGCTTTAGCTTCTGGGGCTCTTGATACGGAGAATCCTGCCGAGCGCAGGGCCAAGGGCATACGGACCAATCCTGACGGAGACGTTGACCTACCAGGCGCTCCCTACACCACCTTTAGATACCCAGCCTGTCCGCACTGTCTTGCGCATCCACCATCCACTCCCGAAGGTGCTAAGCACGTAGTTGAGACTGACCATGATGGTGCTTGGAAGTCCACCAGTTCGGCCGGGATTCTGAAGCCTGCCGTAGTCATGTTTGGTGAGAGTATCGCAAATGAGGTCAAGACGGCTGCCGAGGAGGCCATTGACGGTGCCGGTAGGCTCCTGGTTCTTGGGACCTCGCTCGCCACCTACTCTGCCTGGCGGCTAGCTAAGAGGGCTCTCGACCGAGGTATGCCCATTGCAATCGTTAACACGGGGGGCGTTCGAGGCGAGGAACAGATCTCTGCGGTGCTTGACCCAGATCCGACAGGGGCTGCAGGAGTTCGGACAGAAGTATCCACTGATGTCGTGCTTCCGGCGCTGGTCGAGCAGCTACGTCAGCTGTCAACAACCAGCGCCTCTGTTCCAGGAGGGGGCGTGAAAACCCCAAAGGAGAACCATGGCGTGTTTAAAGATATGTTGTCATAGTCCACAATGTGTATAATACAAAGCGTATCCATTATGAAGCTAAAAGAAGCTCGACATACCACGAGCCGGTGGCTTAGAGGCGTCTGGGACTGCAACTGGTGGTCGGTCTACACTCGGTTCGGGTTTGCTCTTACTTGCGCTGTCCGCCTGTCGTGCCTTATCCTGCTTCTTCTGCCGTGAGACATCCTCTCGTTCAATTTCTTTCAGCACTATGGGCTCGTCAGCATTCAAGGTAGTTAAGGGTCGTTTTGTCGCCCACGTACTCTCTTCCCATTCCAATTCTTTCTGAGGATCGCCTGTACCCAACGCCTTCTCCACATCGACTGCCTCGCCCCTTTGCAGTTTCTCGACTACTTCCCGCAAGACTCCGATGCGAACATCGGCCTGGCGCGAGAAGGCTTCGTAGGACTGCTTCGTCGACAGCATATTAATGGACATGGAGCCGATCAAAAGGAATATGACAATGTAGAAGGTAGCGGGGTTCCACTCCTTCTTTCTCTTCGATTTAACTCGCTTGATCGATGGATCATCAGGGAGCTTCTCTTCGCGTCGGAACGGCTTGGGGATTAGCGACTTCCAGAAGTCCAACTGTGCGACTGTGGGGAGGGAGCTCGCGTGCCGGGCATGGAAGTAGAGGGGGCGATGCGCGGCTTGGGCATAGACCACATTTCGTAGACAGGAAGCTGAGGCAAACAGCCGCTGGGTAGCGATTCGCGACATTTCAAAATAGTTTCGGGCAACCGATATGGACAGAGTAATTTGATGCCAGCGACACTTTTTGTCTAGTCTTTGAGAAGCAAAAAAGTTCCAAGTAGCCGCGACTGGGAGTTGGAAATGGTCCGTGCACCAATAGCTCCGGTCCCACGGACCGAACCGGACAAAGGTTGCCCTGGGCAACCCCCCGGGGCATTGTTTAGCGAGATCTGCCAAACTGCCAACTGCACCCTTTGTGGATTTGCATGAAGTCACGCCCAAATTGCTTCTCGAACATTAGCAATTCGCTTTTTTTGACCAACCCTGGTCACATCTTGGAATGAACTTTGAGGTTTTTTGACGATATGCCTAGGACCTCCTCACATTCAACCACATGACTTCATTACAGAGCAAAGTCGACGCCGTCAAGGCGGCGGCATCAACAACCACGACGTGCACATCAGCAACCTCGGTGTTGCTCAAAGAACTTCTCGCGACAGAGAACGAAACTGTCCCAACAACAAAAACTACGTCACGAACAACGAAGACGACGGCGACAACAGCGAGGGGAAAGACCACCGGATCAACACGAGCTGGTGCGACAGCAAACAAAAAGGATGAACTGAGCGCGAAGGAGAAGGCTGCCCTCGCGGCACATGTTATCAACGTCGCACTCAAATCGCTTACCGAGGCTTCCAAGCCTGCGCCTACTCCAGCGCCCACCACGCCATGCCGACGACAAAACTCGGGCGAGGACCTGCGAAAACCTCCAAGCCGACGGACACTGAGACGATCGAACTCGTTGCCAATGACACCCATGCAGCCGCGGTCGCTGAACAGAACCTCAACATCGCCGATGACTGCGTCCAAGCCGGCCCCCAAACCGACGACAACCTCGTCACCACCGACAACGTGTCTGGCGACAGTCGAGTGCTTGCGAGCTGCCTTCGCCTGTTTGAGAAGCCTTCAGACATCGGGGGCAGTGGCCCTTCCTGAGCTTCAGTTGGAGAGTGGCATGTCTTCATATGTCGGAAAGCTTGTTGGACTGGGTCTTCAAGAGCACGCGCTGAAAGAATTGAACATTCTCAAGCGGAGACTCGAGGCGTTGTCTACGTCGCCTAAACTTAAACTGAAATCGAGCAAGGCGGCAGCAGCTGAGACGAAGATCAAAGGGCTGGCAGAGCTTCTGAATTTTGGTGACGCAAAGTTCTCCGGGCCAACTCTGGGCCTAGTTGTTTCAACTCAGATTCACATCTTGCGCCTAATGTCTTCGACCAAGAAGGCTGCAATCATCGAGGCAGCTCTGCCCTCCTTGGCCTCCTCCTGCCCGACTTCGCCAACAAACCTTCTTCTGGAATCCGCGAAAGAATCAGCACAAGCAAAAGCTAAAGCTGCCCGACAACTCGACTTGCTTTCACAACTGCTCCTTTCGCTAGCCCCCAGCGTTTCAAACAAGGACGACGACACAGCGACGGATCCGCGACTGAGCTGCTCCCCTAATACCGCATTGGAGTTGCAAGCGCTTGGGCTGGAGGCGAGGCTACATTGGTGGCCAATGGCTGGTCACAAGGCAGACGTTGATAAGGACATAGTGTCGCCACTGTCTAGATGCCTCACCTCGTTTATCCGTCGGGGCCAGTCAGATGTGACAGGATCATATCGCAAATCTCTTGACGTTTTCCAGCGCGTCAACAACATGATCACCAGCCAGCACCTCAAGCCGACATTGTCATCCAAATCGCCGCTCATCATCATTTACCAGGCTCTGGGCACTGCAGCCCAGGCTGCTCGTTTCTACAAGGATTCCGGCGAGTGGATTTTGAAGATCAAGGCAACTTTGGACCCAGAGAGCGACTCGGCGGCGAAATGCTGCGCCATTGCAGCGCAGCTTGTCGCTGTATACGGAAAACAGGTGCCGATACCTCAAGAGCAGTTGGCCAAGGTTTTGGCCGAAGTCATTGATGCGCTTCAGGGATCACTCAAGGGCGACTCAACAGATCTCCAGGAACTCATGACCAATCTATCCGGTGCTCGCAGATCAGCAGTTGGGATTCTGGCAGCAAAAAAATCAGAAGTGTCGGATCAGATTATGGATTCTCTCAACAAGCTGGTGTTGCAATTCCCCCGATTTTCCGTCCGATGGCTCGGGAAGGCGCCCACGAGGGACTCGGCAGCCAAGGACCGTGTCCGTCATGAGCAGAGACGACAGATGTTACTAAGCTCCGTTCCTCAAATCATGGACTCGGCGTTGATGGTTGCCAAGTCCTATATTGACAACAGCAAGATGACGTGGGAGCTTCTCGATGGCCTTTTGCAAGAGTGTCTAATGCTGCTCGACTCCATGGGCGATATCACCGCCCCTAGCTCAAAAGCCGATCCCTCCAACTCTCACTACGTCAAGCTGTCACATCTCTACTACATGTTTTTCCACTGGTACCGCCGTAACAATGACGGCAAGCCGGGCGATAAGACTCTCCTGCGCGCCCTGAGACGATCTGTTGACTGTGTCAAGGATAGGCCCTCCGAGGAGAAGGACAAGGCGCAAACGACTGCTAAGCTGGAGTATTTCGCAGACCTTTCCAAGCATAGCGGCCGCACCAATGACGCTCGCGACGCGCTCAAACTTATCTGCACCAACATGGTTGAGGATGGCGTCTTGTCCGCAGTGGCAGCCTCCTTGTCCGAGAAGTCAGCTGCGGTGGCCTGGGGCGCTAATGTCAAGACAGAGACGTTGTCGAGAACCCTGGGTGCCATGGTCAAGCTCGACCAGTCTTGGAACGACTGGACGTTCTTTCTGGCGGATATCGAGCGGGCTGCAGTTCTGGAGCGCATCATTCAGTTGATTTTATCCGACTCGTCGGGCGACTCGAAATCAGACAACATCAAGGAGCCGGTTACCGAAGCCCTGCTGAGGATTTACTCGATCGACCGCTTTCCCGTTCGTCGCCTGCGTACTCTAGTTCAACTGCTTACCATGGCAATCGGCGACGCAAACCATTTTCAAGACCTTCGAGAACAGACCGAAGCGGTTCTCGAGGCATGTCGCACCCAGAATCTTGGGGAGGACAGCAATCTGGCAGGCTACGTGCCGGACCTTGAGGCTGGGTTTCTGTCAACTCTAGCTCTTGTGGAGTCCCAATCTGAGTGGCGTACCAGCGATTTTGAAAAGTCCATTGGTGCTTGGCGGACCATTGTTAGTGGGTGTCAGACTAAGGAGGATATGCTGTCCAAGGTTAGCGATGCTGAAGGGCTGCTCAGGCAGCTGGGCGCGATTGCCGAGTACGCGAAACTCAGGGGCGAGGACGAGTTCTTGCTTTCGATTCTCACACTATCCGCCAACATCTCGCAGAAGCTTTCTGACTCATCGACGGATCTCCTGGTTCAAGCGCACAGCAACCTCGCAGATCAGTACATCCATCTCGGCTACTCGGAGAAGGCCGAGGAGATTTTGAACAAGGCAAAGGAGTTTGTACAGTCCTCAGGCAACGATGTCGATCTTGCCGCAGTCAACCTTTATGTGTCATTCACGGAGCATGAGCTGGCAAAGCAGAATTCCGATGCAGCGTAAGTTCCTTTTCCAATCGAATGTGGTGGATTCTACTAACATAGCACAGTCAAAAGATGTTGCTTCAGGGCGAGGCCGTCTTTGAGAAGTCGTCTGCTATTCGCAAAGCTCCTAGGCTGCAGAGGAAGTTGTTGCTTGCGAGAGCCGCATGCCTATTCTCCCGCATCAAGTGGGACAAAGGTGAATACCAACATGCGCTGTTCCATGCCAAGACTAGTGTCCGTTTTCTGTACCAAGACTGGACAAAGCTTGAGGCACGCTGGCAAGGCGCAACCAAGACAGACTCGGCACAGGTTTCAAGAGAAGGTTCACCAGACGCGGACAGCACCACCAAACCACCAGAGTCATCGACAAGCTTGCTAGTGCTCTCCGACGGTCCTGACAACTGGGCCCTTGCCTGCGGCCTGCTAAGGGCGGTTCTCCATCTTTCGTCAGTTTACGCCCACCTTGGGATGTTCCAAGAGACGGTGTACTACGCAGAGAAGGCTCATCAGATTGCCAACGCCACGAATGCCTCCATCTACAGGGCTCAAGCAGCCAGTTGGATCGGTTCTGTGTGGATCAAGGCCTGCAAGCTGGACAAGAGTCTCGGGTATTTGAATGAAGCGAGGCAACTCATGGCCACGGCCGTGAAGCCCACGCGCCAGGCTTTCCAGCTCGCGTGTGAGCTCAGCGCGTCTTTCGGAGAGATGAAGGATCACGAAAACGAATTGCTGCTTCTCGAGCTCGCGGAGGTCACGCTTGGCACACTGAACAACAACAACTGGGGCGCCATTACTGGAGTCAGCGATGAGCAAGTGGTCAATAAGATGGCAAAGCTCACGCTCAAGGGCACTGCGACTGCGACGGCGGCAGCGCCCACGGCAACGCGACGAACGCGAACCACCAAGGCACCAGCTGCGGCGACCAAGACTACAGCTAAGCCGACCGCAACCACGAGAACGACAAAGCGTGCGGCGGTCCCGAAAACGAAGGCTGCAGCACCTTCCAAGGCTGTCGTCGTTGCTCCAACCAGCGACCACGCATCTGACCTGAAGGCCTCCATGCTGATGTACAAGGCCCTCGTGCACCTTAGCAAGGGTGACTGGGCCGGAGCATCGGCACTGCTCGAGGAAGCGAAGCAATTGTCGACCAACCTACGGGAATCTCTGCGGGTGCAGATCAGCGAAGCGACGTGTCTCATCGAACAAGGTATCAAGCAAATGGAGGGCGACTCCGTCTTCTCAGTCGTCAAGGAATCGACTATTTCGTACCCTTCCATCCACGCCGCCTCCGACAAGAACACCACGGAAAAGACATCGCCGACCGGGGTCTCCCCCCGGAAGCCACAGAGCCGGGCTGTCTCTGCAGACCGCAAGGCTTCAAAGGACAGTGCGACATTTGTCGAGACCTTAGAACAAGCGCAGGCTCAGCTGATGGAGGCTCAGGCTGCCGCAGCCATTTCTGGAAACGGACATCTGGTTCACCGCATCTCAGCGTTGCTCCAAAGCACCGTCATCTTTCTGTCGGCCGCTTCCCAGCATGTGCCTAAAAATATGGGCAACTTCGGATACGCTGCCTGCTCTGTCGAGTTCGCGCGAAACCTGACGTGGAAACGGGAGCGAAACACCGTAGCGACAGAACAGGTCGACCCAAGCTTCAGCGAGATGGGCTGGCCGTTGGCTCTTCAGGTCAAGGACGACAGGCGCGCGAGCATCGTCACTGCCGACGACATGTCGATCTTCCAACGCGACTACGTCGACATCATTCCCGAGGCCTGGAGCGTCCTGTCCATCTCGCTCAGCGACAACCGTAAAGATCTATGCATCACCAAGTTGCGAGCGGGTCAAAGCCCGTTTGTTCTCCGCCTGCCGCTGGAGCGTGTTGCCTCCAGAGATGGCGAAGACGAGCTGTTTGATTTCCAGCACGGACACGAGGAGCTCATGGAAATTATCGGAGCGACGAACGCAAGCTGTCACAATGCCGGCGACTACACCGCCAAGGGAGCCAAGTCGGCCTGGTGGGCGCAACGTGAACACCTGGACAACAGATTCAAGGACCTCCTCGACAACGTCGAGCAGATCTGGCTCGGCGGGTTCAAGGGCATCTTCTCTCAACACCGCCATCGTCCCGAGCTCCTCGCCAAGTTCCAAAAGGCCTTTGCGAAGATTCTCGACAAGCACCTGCCCTCGCGAAGACAAATTCGTGGCAAGAAGACGACCAAGACGCCCAAGATTGCCCTGGAACCTCGCATCCTCGACCTCTTTGTCGGCCTGGGAGACCCCTCGGCGCCCAACAGCGACATGGAAGACCCCCTGAACGACCTCCTTTACTTTGTCGTGGACATCCTCCAGTTCCACGGTGAGAGGAACGCCTACGACGAGATTGACTTTGACTCCATGGTTCTGGACACTTTTGACGCCCTGCAGGCGTACCACACCGCCGCCAAGACCTCGGAGTCCGAGGAGGGAGCACACAGCATTCTCATCCTCGACAAGGCGCTCCATGCTTTCCCTTGGGAATCCCTCCCGTGCATGGAGGGCCTGGCGTACTCTCGTGTTCCCTCGCTGTCCTGCCTTCGACGGTTGATCCTGGAGCAGAGAAAGGGCGGAAATGTAGACGGCGAGACCAATGAGGAAGAAGAGCACCGGCTTACGGTTTCCCCCCTGGATGGCACGTATATCCTCAACCCGGGCTCGGACCTCAAGAACACCCTCGCCACCTTTGAGAAGCCCCTGAAGGGGCTCGGCGACTCGTGGACAGGTATTGTCTCGCGGTGCCCGACTGAGGACGAGTTCGAGGGCGCGCTCAAGGGGTCGGACATTCTCCTATACTTTGGGCACGGCAGCGGCGCGCAGTACATCCGCGGCAAGACGATCAGGAGATTGGAGAAATGCAAGGCGGCGGCGCTGCTGATGGGTTGTAGCTCAGCGTCGCTGCAGAACGTCGGCGAGTACGAATGCCATGGCCCCGTCTGGAACTACATGCTCGCAGGGTGTCCCGCTGTCGTGGGCACCCTCTGGGACGTGACTGACAAGGACATTGATCGGTATGCCGGCCGACTGTTCGAGGAGTGGGGGCTCATGGAGAAGGGCACCTTTGCTGATGACGGCAAGGGTGTCCAGGGGGCCGCCAAGGGCAAGTGCAAGGGCCTATTCGCCGATAAGAAGGGCAAGGGCAAGAAGAAGGAGGAGACGCCCGCGGCGAGCGAGGGCGGCGCCGCGTCGCTGGTCGAGGCCGTCGCCAGGGCTAGGGACGCCTGTCGGTTCAGGTACATCACAGCCGGCGCGGTGTGCGTGTACGGCATTCCCGTGTACGTCCGCAAGGACTAGGTCGAGGGGGTTGAGAGCATCAGGGTGCATTAAACATGTTATTTTGAGCTGGGATTAAAGGGGGAGGGGGGTGGTTTGTGAAGAGCCTCTTTTTTTTTTGCTTTCTCGCCTTTTTCTTTTTCTGGGAATCCCTCTTTCCATCAGTAAAGCATTGCATGGCCCCCGGAGTTGGATGGACGACATTTGCTTTAGCATTCCCTTTACGGACTCCAGGATTCAGGGTTGTTTTTTTTTTTTTTTTTCACAAGCAGCATAATAGGGGAGGCGCGGGTATAGATTATACTACTTACTGTACAAGTGGATGTCATGATTATTGAAGACATGTTTTAAGATCAAACTTTTTTATTTTTTTCCCATCCCCTTCCCTTTTGGCTATGCTTGGTATGACTCCTATACGTCCCTCGCCGCCGTATGGTCTGAAGTTGATGCTGCTGGCATGATACCCCTGCGGGATTAACTGTCCTCACAAGCGTACTAGGGGCCGTGTGTTTTGGATGCTCTTTTTGCCTTCCCCCGGGTGGCGGTGATCCTTCTGCTGTCATAACACTCGCGATATTGCTCCCTTCTAGTCTTGGTCTTTTGGGTCAACAAACACGAAAGAAGGGGGGTGGGCGGAGGGGGGAGGGTTGATGCGTTTATGGTAAGTTGGATAGGGGGGATGGATGGGAGGCTGGACCAACGACAAGCTGTCAAGTTTGCACGGATGTTGATGCCTCGAATAGGTCCGATTCTAGCAGCTTCGTTACGGGGTATAACGATGTCTTTTTCTTGTCTCGTGCCTGTCGTCCACGCTAGGCCAATGTCCATGTGGAAGGGGAAGGGGGGGGGGGGGGGGGGGGGAACCATTCTGGAAATACTCGGAAGGGTAAAGATGGACACAGCATACGAGCTTACGAAGCTACACCTACGTGCCCCCGTTTTTCGGTTTGCTCAAGGAAGAATCCAGTCCCATTTGAACCCCCCCTGCTGATATCAGCCCTCGGGCAGCTTCATGCCGACGTTTGTGGGCAATGTAACTAGTGCTAGCCTTTCAGATATTTGGGTGATATCGTGGGGGAGAGGTTTTGCTCTATTCTTGGCGACGAAACTCGGACGCCCTGGACTGTGGCGAGTATCATGCTGCTCACGACGTGGTCAACTTGTGTATTTCCATTGGTTTACAGGAAAGATTTCTTTTACCCCTGATGAGGCCTACGGTATGACGGCCTGTCCGACGAGCATGACTGTGCAATTTATCTGCGAAACCCCCGTTTCTGACGGTGTGGCGGCGGTGTCACGATAGCCCTCATCAAGGCCTGGCCGATCTGTTCTTGTTTACAATTGGTTCTCAACAGAGGAGAGGTATATTTTCACGCTACTAATGCTTATGGGCCTTGCAGTTATCCTAGATACTGTTTGAATCACTTGTTCGGACGAGGTTGTGACGTGGGAAAAGCGGGAAAAAGGGGGCAGATCCAGCTGTCAATCTTTGCCTTGCTATTGGACTCCTGATAGATATACCATGCCAAGTTTGGCACCCGGGAGTCCACATCGTCACTGATCACGGACGTCGCCCAGCAGTCCAAGAGCCCGATCCCTGTGATGACAGGCCTTGGAGATGAGGTCGCAGCAGCAACGGTAGAGCAACGACGATGCGCGATGAGATCTGGCCAACACCGTGGTTGGAAGCAAAGATTTCATTCCGAGACTGGGGGGTCTAAGGGCCGGTTTGGACTACGGGATGGAGCGCTATATCGGCGTCGTTATAATCGTATCTGGCGATGGCTCTGCGCTATTTACGCGTCCGTTTTGTCCACAATGATGAGATGAGGCCCTCAGTAATAACACTGCGGAGCCATGGCCCTGCATGCCGGTCCCGGGAGGAGGAGAGTAGTCACACGTAGTATGCCAGACCAGACAGATGTGAACCTGTGCGTGAGCTGTGCTCAAGTGCCGGGATATGCAAGAGTGTGCCTAATAGAGTAGGCGGCGGAGAAAATCATTAACCTGGCCAAGAATTAGTAACAAGCCTCCTGGTCCTGTGATTTTTCGTCAATGAGTATTATCTTTTTTTTTTTTTGGTTCACTCATCTCAGACGTAGGCCCGGGTGCTACTCGCTAAACTCCCTTCGGATTCAGGTCCGAAATGCGGCGGTCCGGCACGCGAGGCTGCGGTTGGTGGCCTGGGTAATGCTGCTCCGGACGCCATCGTTTAATTCTTGGTGACAGTAACTTTTCCCCATTTGCGCCCTCTCCGGAAAGCCTCAAGTTCCACTGATTCCATTGAAAACCAGATGGTGGGAGCGAGGCGTAAGGCCGTGGTTGTGGCGTCGACAGTGAGGAACCAGTCGTATTTCGTTCGGACAGGCGGAGGTGGGGCTGATGGGATTGGTTAAATGGGGCTTGCGGGATGGACTGGTTAAAGATGACAAACAATTGGATGGGGTTTGACCGCGGAGCGTGCTCTAATTGAACGGGTGTGTGGCCATAACGTGTTTCCCAGACTGGTAACGAAACGTCGCCTATACCACATACGTCCACCTAGGCACGGTGCCGACAGGGACATGTGGACATAATTGGTCAACGCTAAGAGGGTGGAGGACAGTGGATTCCGCTGGGGGCCGGGCCACGAGCTGGTAAGTGCACCCTAAGCAATCCCATATTGCACCGAGAAAAACACAGTCCTTGGAGCGAGCCAAGGATTCCCTTAAGATTTTGGCTTCCGTACGAATACCGTTCGAGTATCATCCGTCAGATCTTAGTAAGAGGGCTGCTGTGAAGCCTATTCATCTTCCTCCCCCACACGAAAGTTGATAGACGCCCCTCAGGTGCACGAACGTCAGACGCATCGCACCGTTAGGCAGTGTCCCTCCATAGAGGCAAAGTTGAGTTTGCTTGGGGGGGGGAGGGCTCTGAAAGAACCATAATCTCCCTGCAACTCCTTTTGCTGTCTCCGTATATTTGCATGTTTACTTGTACTGACGAGAATGTGACGGGGAACCGCCGTGCAAAGGGTTGTCCATCAGAGACTGCTTTAGGCTTGTAAGCCGAGATCGTCCCTTCTCGAAACTCAAAATCATGCAAGGAGCCTGAACAGCGAGGCTTCACCATCTCGAAGCTGAGGGTCTGCCTGTTGTCCCTGGCTGAAGAACATCAACGTATTGGCCTAGCTTGGGCCGGAATTCCAAGAAGAGGGGCCGGTGGCCATTCTCTGAAAACCAGACCAGGTACTCTTAATCTCCTATTCGCCGCTTCGTCTTCTGTCAAAGCGTAAAGAAGATGAATGTGAGGTCTGTCCTGCATTGTTGTAGGTTCTAGCGGCCGGCGTCCGAGTTTAGCCAGAAACCATTTACCATATTGTCCGGCCAGTCCATGACTGACAGGTGCGCCGTTCCGTGGGATGTTCACGTTACGTTACTCCGGGCAGTTATTCTCCTCTTTCCTCCCCCTCGCCACGAATCTGACAGGACATGATGTGACCTGGGACCAGGTGCTTTGGGGCTCATGTTCATCCACAAACACGCGCGTGACACCAGTCACACAGGTCTTTCGCGGTGTTGCCAAATCGCGTAGATTTTGACGATTAACCGTGACAACCTCTTATAGCTACAACTCTCCACACGTTGGCTCGATGCAACGGCCTCGATTGTGGGTCGAGGAAGGATTTCGACAATTGACGTGCAGTCGATGCACCAGCTCGTCCCTGGCATGTTGTAGTTCGGAGCTATGCGAATAATACATGGCTTTAGCTTGCACAGCCCGAGTGTAATCCGACTGAGGTAGGTGGCGGCCTGGCGGCCAACCCCTCCTCTTTCAAGGCTTATCCCGTCATGGCTTAAAATCCTTCGTCGGTTGCGCGGATGCTCGGCTAGGTTACGACCATCCGTGGGGTTCAGAGCCCCTCGCTCAGTAGTGGAGAGTTTACCGCAGAGATTTTGGTGCCAAAGGCTAGCTGTTTGAAGGTATCGTGGATAAGCATAGCAAGGGTGCCATGGTTGGCGTTTTGGGTTGTAGGCGAGAACAGAGGCGGCGGGAGATCATTAGACCGGGGCTCGAGAGGGACGTGACCGTGAGGGTACATCGCTCAGGTTTGACTGATCACGTATGCTTCCTGTGTTGCAGGGTGATGAGCACACTAGAGCGGTGATACGTATGTTGCATGACCTGCTGTTGTATCCAAGCGCAGACAAGGGGCAGGCCACCTGGGGAGGTAAAGGGAACTGGGACGTGGAGATTGTACGTAGAGAACGTAACGCGAGTGAGACTTGCGAGAAAAGCTCCGAGGTACATGAGTGATCTGTTTAATGAAATCAGCAATGTCACCTCGAAAAGAGGGGGTGTGGGCAGATTGAAGGCGAGCAGACAAGAACAGACTGACGGTAATATCTCGATGCTTCGAATTAACTGGTGACTGGCCATGAGTACCAATTCTCGATTAGATACTTGCTATTTTAGCGTAGCCAAGCGGTGGTAGGGTAGTAATGGCTGTGGATGCAAGGTTGAGAAGAATCGTCGCCATCAGCCTCCCGAGGTGACGGACGGTGGTGGTAGGTAAGCAAGCATTGGGCTTGCTCGAAACCAAAGAAATGTCGCCCAGAGACAGAGAAAATCTCGCGGAAGTGCCGTCGCCGTAGTTCTTGCCAGGCCGCATGTCGTTAATCTCGGGCGAATTGTGGTGTCCATAGCACTGCACAAACCAGAAGACGAGCACGCAGTTAGTGCCATGGGCCTATTCATGATATGAGACCTTAATAGGACGGGATAAGAACAAGAACAGATCTTGAGCCGCCGGGGAGGACGTCGTTTTTCTGGATGATATCCCTGGTTCTTCCCATCTCAATTGCTACATTCAAGCAACTGGGGGTGGCGGCTAAGCTTGCAGGGCCCCAAGCAACATGGCGCAGACAACGCAGGAAAGAGGCCGCATCAGCAACTCGTCATCGCTGGGACGCTGTAAAAAGAGATTCACCAACGGCGTCAGGGGCAAGGGAGGGATGGGAGAATTAACAGGCTAGCGTTAA